GACAAAGTTGCATACAGTTTATCATAATAAGGCATGATCAAGCCCAGTCGACACCCCATTTCGGCAAGATAATTCGAATATTTGATATAAAAAGACAATTCAGTAGTGTACGTTGATAAATTAACACAGTTGTTTGACACAATTAGACAATGTTAAGGCATTTAAACACCGTATTTTGACAAAATAACATGGCAGTTTGATAAATAAATCTGTGCTTTTACAAGTCAACACCAAATTTCGACAAGAGAACACTACTGTTTCAAATGATGAAACAGTCTTTTGACAAAACAGCTACACAATTTGACCAAATAGCGCGACTAGTTGACATAATATGACACATTTCTGACAAGCCGAAACGACATTTTGACATGATAACAGTACTGTTTGAAATAATTAAACAATGTTAACAAAACTCAACATCACATTTTAAAGAGTTAAGACTACTGTTACGCATAATAAGGCAATGTTTATACAAGTCGACAAATTAGAATGGCATTACAACGCTTATATTTGACATAATAAGACGCTTTCTGGGCAAGATAAAAGAAAATGTAATAACATGAGGCAGCTATGGCGTTCCATATACGTCCATCAAACATCGTTTTTATTCAAGAATAGAGACAAAATATATCAATAACATTCTTCCTACCAATAATCATTATATTTTTGACACACATTCTGAAGTACACACATTCTGAAGAGAGCTAAAGTTATGGAACGCCATTGCTGCCTCATGTTGTTACACTTCTTTTTATCTTCCCTAGAAATCGTCTTATTTTGTCAAATATAAGTGTTGTGTTGCAAAAGTATTTTGTCGACTTGTGTAAACGTTGTTTTATTATGCGTAATAGTAGTCTTATTTCTTCAAAATGTGATGTTGACTTGTCTTAACATTGTTTAATTATTTTAAACAGTGGTGTTATCATGTCAAAATGTTGTTTTGACTTGTCTGAAATGGGTCATATTATGTCAACTTGTCGCGTTATTTAGCTGATTTGTCAAAAGACTGTCTGATCATTTGAAACAGTAGTGTTCTCTTGCCGAAATTTGGTGTTGACTTGTCAAAACAGTGCTTTATTTCATCAAACTGCTATTTTATTTTGTCAAAATACGGTGTTTAAATGACTTAACATTGTCTTTCTTGTCGAAATTGTGTGTTGACTGGGCAAAATTATGCTTAATTATGACAAACTGCATGCTATTTTAAGTCAAAAAGCAATTTTGACTTGTTAAAACTCAGTCTTATTATGTCCGAAATGCTGTAATGACTTGTCTAAACTATTTCTTATTATGTAAAAGAGAAGGGCTATCTTGTCAAAATTTGGTGTTTGCTTGTAAAAACATAGTTTTATTATGTCTAATAATTTTGTTAATTTGTCCAAATTAAGTTCTAACTTAAGAAAGCGCTGCCTGAGTTTGTTAATCTGTCCCGTTATCTTCTTTGAAAGCGGTGTTAACTTGTCCAAGACATGTCTTATTATGTTTAACTTCCGTGTTATTTTGTGTAAAGTCGGTTTTGACTTGAGATACAGTGTTAATATGTAAAATAACCAGGGTACCAGCACTTATCAAATTAATAGAACGATGAAATGAGGTTCAAGCAGTTTTGCAAGGTAACGAGTTTGAGCTTATAGTGGTTACTAACAATGTGACTGCGTCTAGACAATAACCGTTTATTAATTGTAAATCTTACTATTCAATTTACAATTTAGTTTACAATATAGTTTCATATAATAAATAAATTAGATTACAATGACCTATATTCTATCTCTCGTATTTTGTCACATACTTTACAAGGACAATACGTTGTTTACATTCAGACCGAAACAAAAAAAATTGTTAAAGATTGCTATTGTTGTAAAAGATAAACCTGACTTAACATACTATTAGAATAACAATCTTTGTAAAAAGATATCTTTCTTTTATGCTTTATCAAACTTAGTGTATCTTCGACTTTTCTCAAATTACCTTATAGTACACTGCAATAGCGTGTGAACAATTTGTTCGATAGAAGAAGTGTTATTGAATTTTCTTTTTTAAAAATCCATTTGCTTCCATTTAAATGTCTGGTCGGAATGTTTGCATTAATTTTTAATTATGGAATTTCACGGATATGCTATAACGTGTATAATTTTGTTATTGGTTCTCATAAAAACAAATCTTGGTGAGTATTTTAATTCATTGTTATGTATTATCATAATTATAACAAGTTCTATGTTTTTACTATGTTTTTAAAACATATTTTCTTTTGAAATATTATTTATATACATAGGTAAATTATTATATTGAAGATGAGTCATCAATAGAGGAAGTAAAATATTCAATTCAGTCATAATTAGTGTACTGGGCTGTAACTATTTTAATTTTTAAAACCATGCATTTAAAGTGACATTATGCTATGAGTTATATAATTAAGCTGAATTGGCTATATATATATATAACAAAATGGTTATAATGGTTAATTACCAATAATTGATAATTAAATATGTTTAGAATACAATACAAAAACTGCCTTTAATAAAAGAAGGACTTCCCAAATCTTTATTATCAGTTACACGGTAACAAAACATTCCGAATAATACTTGTAGAATTGTCTTTGAGTCACGTGGGTTATTGATTACACTCGTGAAATAGAATATAAAATTGAAAACAATTATGGCAAATGTAAAGTTATGTTCTCCCACTTTTGGATGGACATAATGTCACTTTAATTTGTCTCATGTTGAAATACTCATACATTCAAGTTGTTACATTTTTAAGCAGTAATATACTTAATTAAGGTGAAACATATTTAAGTATTCATATTTTCAAGTAGTCATAATATTGAAGTTGTCACACGTTGAAGTATACACACATTGAAATAGTCATATCTTAAAATCGTCATATATCTGGGCTTTTTTCTAAAATAATTATGTATTAATCAAAGAAGTCATAACATTATAAAAATGAGCATTTAAAAAGTCATATTTTAAAGTAGTCACATGCAATTATCATTTGATTTACCAAGTGTGACTTCTGGTCAAGTGTTCTTCAAACTTTTTTATACTTATATTGATTTGTTTATTTTATAAATGCCTTTCTTTGTTACCTGTTCATACAATGTAAAATCTTACAGATACATTTGGAACGAAAGTAAATTCTATATATTGTAAAAGAAACTGAAGAAGTTTTTGAAACAACTGTTAGTAAAATCAAGATTGATAACAGAAATATATATTAGTTGTGAACACAGGGCATATTAAAACAGCAATATTTTGAGCGAAAAAATGGTAGCCTCTTTTTTGAGTTACTTGCCAATTAAATGTTACAGTAATTGTTGTTATTTTAGGACATATCAATGTAAGATTAATTATAAGTCACATCAATCTTGTCTTTTTATGGTTTGTTTTTGTACTTGTTGTTCTACCATTGTATCTTTATTTTCAAAACAAAATTTTGTGCAGTTCTGTCACACCTTTTTGTTTTTTTACTGAGTTTAAGTACGGAGGCGGATAATTCATTTTTTACAAAAGTCCTTTTTAAAGAAGGGTAGCATCGATAAAGGTGAAGAAAAACTACTCTTCACCTAGAACAACGAAGGCCTTTGCGAATGATCTGCCCTTGTAATAAGCAAACGGCGCTTAAAAAGTTTCTGCAATCATATTCTAATAGCATTATCATGCCAACATTAAAAGCCCAATATGCCTAAGAAATGATTTTATTCTTTTTTCTCAAAAGCCCTTTTAATGTTGGTTGTCATGTTATAGTTTCCATAAAACTTAAACTTTGCCAATAACCTGAACCAACTGTTGCTCTGTTGGATTTTGGTTAGTACTCTTTAAGCAACTTGTTCACAAAACAGTAAAGTCAAGTATTTTGCCTCCCATCCAAACTATTGTTTTGTTTACTTCTATGACGAATAATTTCACATAAAGGACGACATTCTTTGGGTAGAATGCATTCAACGTGCTCTCTTATTTAAAATTTATGAAACTCATGTTTACTCTTTCTAAATTTTATTCGTTTCTGTGGCATTTGTGATTTAAAATAATATTTTTATAAGAATTTTAATGTGTTTTGTGTCTTTATGTAACTTTAGCATACGCTTTAAATGAAGAGTACTAGTTTGCATACTATAGATGTACAAGTTGACATATATATTTTATTTATAATTTTTACGTAGGTCAGCTGTCTTCAAAAGAAGAACTGATCACCTTTCACAGTTGTGAACTATCAAATGTCAATATTTCCTGTGAAAATGGTCACGTTATAGCTGTCCAGTCTCTTGATTTCCGGTATGAACCAACTTGTTTAAAAACATGCTGTGATTTCAACAGCAGTCACACGAAATCTGAAGCAACTGCAAACGAAATATCTGATGTCCGCCGTGTTTGCTCTGGTAGACAAACATGTACAGTAGGTGTAACAGGTACCCGTGACTTTGGTGCTGTCGGTACACATGAACCCGAATATGTTATCATTCAATCCTACTGTATTCCGGGTAAGAATCTATTTTAAGTGTTATGCTGCATCAGGAATAAGCAGTTTAGAGTTTTTGATGTTTTCTGTGTATAAATTGTGTACATTTGTTTAACATTCTTATCATAATTTTACGATGTATTTATACTTTTTTCTTTTGGTTCCATGCCACATCGAAACCGTACAGGTTATATGGCGACTTTCAAGTTTTATTGACAGAGGAGGAAACCCTTAGGTAGTGTAGAACGGCTTTCCGGTAGCTTCCTCACAGTCCCTGTCTAAAATCGAACCGTCACGAAATATTGATCTGGTTAAATACTTATTTAACAAAATTGACTTTTTTTTTCAAAATAGTATGTGAATGCGTGCGGCACATATTTTTCTTAATTCTAAATGCTCGACATCTTATATCTAATATCATCGAATTTGCGATCTAAAAATGTATTTTATAGAAGCTTTGTTTTAATTGAAAATTTGCACACAATTTTCAACTGATGTTCAAGAATACATATTTTGTTTTTGCCTTACAGTAACAAGGATAACCAATATTTGTTCGAATGTAGGACATATTTACAGTGGATTACCAATTTACTTAACGAATGAGGGTTATCCGGGGGTAACTACTGGATCCAGAAGCTGTTCGTGCTCTTTAGAAGTTTCTCCGTGCTCTGAAGACGTGAATCTGTATATAATAGATGCAGATTTATATCTCGACTCTACTCATTGTGAGCAAAGTCTGGATTTTGTAAACGGGACCAATACATCTTTATACAATATACAATGTGGCAACTATTACACCAATAGTATAAGTGTTGTTAACATTAATTCACGCTACGTTAAGATTTTTTTCAACAACACCTCAACACAAAATCAAGAGGGGCTTTTCTTTATTGGATTGGAAGGTTAGTTTAATCAAAATATTTTCAGGGGACATAAAAGCTTTGGAACGGACAAAACTGAATTTTAAGAATTCCCCATAATATCTATTCCAGTGCTGATAATGGCTTTTATGAATGAAAGTAAGCAAGTAGAGAACAAAATGCTTCATTGAAATTCTTGCAGGTACACATTAACAGTTTCAGTTTTTATTTGGCAAATTGGCATATTTAACATACCTTTGGCCAATTTAACAAAAACAATTGACGAATAAGGCCAAGACATATAACATATATAGTTTACAAGATAAATATATAAACATATAAGCAAACATGTACATTTTCAAAGTGTAAGCTTCCGTTTCTAGAATATTTTCCTTAACTGGAAAGCCTCATATATGTATTTAGCAGATTTATACAGCTTACATTTACTACTTCAAAACATAATACTCGTATTAATAAATTTCTGTACATTAAGCCATGAACAATTACCCAAATATTTAGCCCTCAGATCAACATATGCAGGACAAGTTAATAGAAAGTGATACTCTGATTCAATCAGTTTTGAATTACACATTTCACAGATTCGTTCGTGTCTTTGTGAACCACTAAATATTCCCAATTCAACTTCTAGGTTGTGAGAACACATTTTGAAACATGTTAACATTTTATCATTATTTATAATTCAGATAACTTTCAAAGCCAAAACGCATTTTATACTTTCTATAGTAATCTAGTTTAGACATATTCAATGTTGTCTCACTCCAAGATTGTATAAACTGATCTCTAATACGCTGTTTCCTAGCAGGAAAATAATTTACATCTTGTCTAAAATTCAGAAGATTATTGTAGCCTAAATTGTCAGTTGTGTAATCTTATAGGCCCAGCAAATCACATTATTTCCATTGCTAAGATCTAAATATAATCTATACATAGGTGAATGCTGATTTTTCATTATTTTTAACCAGTATTAAATAGCTCTTTCTTTGCAAATAACAGAAAGTGGGTACCTACCCAGTTCACCAAAACAGTTAAATTAGGAGTTTATTGTTTAATACATTTTATATGTATTTTATCTACTTAAGGAAATTCATAAATACCCAATACCTCAGAGCTATAGAGAATAATTTATACAACCAAAGAATCAAAAAGTGCAAGCTTCATTTTGATATCAAATTTGACTTTATCAAAAAGAGACAAAAGTGAATTATAGGCTTTGAGAGCTTGATCTGACAGTGCTTTAACAGATTTTTTCATGTTTCCTGTATAAGTAAAATTTACACTAAGATAAGTAAAATTATCTACTAAATCAATTTGTCATCATTTATTTTCCAAACAAAATTATTTACTTGTTTTCTTTTCTCAAAAATACATATTTTTGTTTAATAAACATTTATTTTAAGGCCCCATTTAATTGAAAAGTTATTAATAATATCTAACAGAGCTTGCAAAGATTCAGGGTTAGTTGTGAATAAAGCAATATCATCAGCAAAAAGAAGCATTTACATACTTAACTGATTAAAGTCGTTTTCAGTTTATAGGTTAATATCAAGATTTATATTAATGTCATTAACGAAAAAAATAAACACTAACGACGAGAGCGGTTCCCCTTGTATTAAACATATAGACACGTCAAAAAACTCTGAAAAATTCATAGCAGACACTTGTACACAAGATTTAACATTTGCATATATAGACTGATAAATTAATGTATAATACAATTTCGATTCATTAGTCAATACTTTTTGAATGATGGAATGAAGTATAAAAATACAGTCAGCGGTAGAATGATTATCTCTAAAACCAAATTGTGATTCATTAAATAGTATTTATTTACATGATTGTTTCCAACACTATTTATTCAATTAATATCTAAGCAATAAAGTATCTGTAATTAGAAGGATTTGTTACATCGCCTTTTTTTGTGAATTGGTAAAATTATACCCTTAGTATAAACCAGAATCATAAATTTTATCAAAAATGGAAGCAAGGTACGGGGAGATCAAACTATTACAATCGATAAAAGAATCAGCTACATTCCTGTCATAATTAACGGAGAAAAGAACAACCTGCATTATCCACGAGAGCACGCACATTGTGCAACTTTTTCTAACTGGGGTAACTCAGGGCGCGATGTAAAAAGTAAAGACGGTCCCGTTAGTTTCATTACCAAAACATAAGTGTCAAAATGGCATCGGACCAGCACTAGGGAAGCATTTTAAATGGTTAGATGAGTAAACCCGGAAATATCGGATTTAATATTATAATTTTATGCAAACATAACGTTTATCCCCCTATTGCTTTTAAATTAGTTCATGAGCACCTGAAAAAGACCTCGTACCAAAGGCTCAGTCTTTTAATGCATCCTTGTTTTTCAGCAGATGTTATTGCACGAAAAAAGAGTGTTAAAAATTCAATATATATACGGATATAATAAAACAAGTAACACCATTCAATATATAAATGAAACAAAATACATAAATAACTTTTCAAGTAGGTTCATTTTGCTACGTTAACATTTGCAAAGATTCAAAGTTCCAAATTTGAAAACAATATATTTTTGTTTGCTACATTATAGGTCATATGGCGATGTTCCAGCTGTCCTGGTGGAGGAAGACCTCATATGCCCTTCTGTACATCATTTCAGGCTCGAAAGGGCATCTAAGTTGAACAAACGACGTACTGTAAGCTAGTTGGATAGCTTTCTCACATGAAAGAATCCAAAGTCCCTTTTGGGATTCGAGCCCTTAGCGGTGAGGGGCAAGTGATTTGAAGTCAACAACCTTAACCACTCGACCACAGATGCTCCTTACTGATTTAAATATAATATCGATGTTTAACTTTCTTTTTTAATTAGGTTTGTCACTTACTCAAATGAAATATGAACGTAAAGAGCAAATTCAAAAAGAAATTTTAAATATGATCGTAGAGATCATTTCTATATTTGTGATTATATTTCAAATTGAGATTGGAATGTAACTGTGTATCAAATAACTCGCATAGAAATTGTGTTGGTATGATATACAATATATATTTCTTTACTCAGCTTAAATTAACTTGTGCTTGCAAAATGTTATATAATAAGTATGAGGACATGCAGAATATATTTTGGTATTTTGTCTTTTATTTTATTTCAGCATTCGATCAAAACGCTAATATTACTCTTACATGTCAAGATATACCGCAAACAGATATGTGCACCGGTGAGTTGCTAAGTGATGACTTACTTATATCTCATAGAGTTCATAATACACGGTTCATAAGCAAAAACCTTTAATTTAACCTATGTTTATTGTCTCATATATTCGTTCTGTTGTAAATCCATGCTTTCATTGTTTTGTTTAAAATGGTCGAAGATAGGGTAATGGAAATCATTTCCATACGTATTTAAACTATTATCTTAAGAAAATAAAAAAATATGTGTTTTGCATTATTCACATGCACTCTTTATATTTTCTTTAATTTCACTGTATTAACAGATCTTGTGCTAATTTGTATGTGTTTTCTTTCATATTTTGCTTTTTTTGGCAATACGATGACAATTTCGTTGTTGTTGTTTTCCAGACTGTGGAAATCTTAATGTCGTCAACGGTAATTTCAGTGCTCCATCAGGGACAGGATTCGGACAAACAGCTACTCAGTCATGTAACACCGGTTACAATATTTCTGGTGAAGAGACGATCACTTGTACAGTGACAGGAAATTGGAGTAGTGCTGCTGCTGTTTGTAAAATTGTCGGTATGATTTGATAGATGCATATGAAACTTTATTTATGCTATTCAATATTAATATAATTTATTTTTTTGTTTTGTTGTGTGTTCTTTTTAATGACCAGAGATGTGTAGAGAACATCTGAATAACCGGAAAGTATATATCTCTAGTTATAACGAAATTTCATTTTTAGAACATATGTATTTCCTCTATTTTCTATGTGCGTTTAAATGAAACAAAAACATCAAAATTGCATCAAAATAAGATATGTTTTGCCAAAAGATAGTTAATATTGGTTTGTGACCCCACTTACTTCATAGTCTGCAACATATGTACATTCATGGTAAAGTTGAAAATGTTCATAATAAACGATCATTCTTTATTTTATGTTTTTCAGTGGATTACTGATTTATCCGTGAAAATTATATTTGATAATTATAATTTCACAATGAAAATTATCAAAATATAATTTCACACTTTTCAATGACGAAACTACTTTTTTAAAGATTTTCCTATTGTGGTACCTCAATTTTATTTTGCTAACAATTCTGACAATGTCAGGCTGTTTAAAAAAACAGCAAAGCTTAAAATAATAAATAACTTAAATGCCAAAAGTAATAAAAAGAAGAAAACTTACTTCTATTCATTCGAATTCCAATCACCAAATTTCGTCTCTAAATTTTTTTGTTTCATTTTTACAGTACTTACTACTTTACTGGCGTTCGCTCTACACGATCACGCCAGTATCCGCGATGAAGGTTGTGGTCCACCGCAGATCCTCAACGTCTCCGTACAGCTTCTGCTGGAGTGTTGCACCTCGGGGCCACGTTGCTCCTCGCTCCTGGTCGTGTCTTTTGCATCTTTGGAGGATATGCTCTGTAGTCTGGTCCTCTTCTCCACAGGGACATATGGGGGACGGCACCAGTTTGTACTTCCTGCACATGTGTGCATTCAGTCTGTTGTGTCCCGAGCGAAGCCTGACCATCACCACTTGTTCTGGTCGGTTAAGCATGTGGTAGGCATCCACTTCCTGTCTTGTCTTGGTGAGAGCCTTGATGATGGTGGCTTTCTCCTTGTATGTCACCTGGTTATCTGGTTGCTCCAACTGGGCTCCTAACCTAGCCAGCTTGTCAGCCTCCTCATTTCCGGGCACTCCACAGTGAGATGGTATCCACTGAAAGGCAACATTACAGGACGACCCAAGCTTATTCACGGCTTGCGCTAGTTCAGGGACATTGTTGTTTTGTAGGGCCTCCAGAACTGATCTTGCATCTGTGAGGAAGACTACAGAGGTGATCTCTTCTGGCGAGTCTTCTATCAAAAAGACTGCCTTCATGAGTGCCTCAGTCTCTGCTCTGTAATTGCTGCAGTGCTTCCCAGTGGCGATGTAATGGGCTGTTTTCTGGCCTGAAGGGTACGTTATGTGAATACCACCGCCTCCATCCTTAACGGCTCTAGTGGCTGACCCATCTGTGTATCATGTGTCCGAAGGATAGTCTGCGTAGATAGCCGCAAGTGTCAGACTTCTACGGATGGTCTCATTTTCCTGTTTGCCCATGTCTAGTCCAGGAATAGCAAGTGCCACTTTGACTGCAGACAGGTCATTTGCTGTAGGGTTGCTGATGTCTGAAAATACATTCCTTCCACATGCGAAACTGCTCTTGATGACATTTGGGCATATCCTACGAGCAATAACTGCCATATGCTTTATGAAAAACTGAAAAGCAATGACAGCCATCAGCTCGTAGAACAAGTTAACCACCCAGCGTTCCTGAGCCAGTTTTCAAGTTTTCCATTGTCCTAGCTGCTATTCTGAATGTTTTCACAACTGTCAACACTTATTTTTTGTCTGTTACAATCTTCATATAAGTTTTCTTTCTTTTAAAAAGGTGTATGACTAACAAATCCAAATAATATCCCTCTGAATCAAACACAATTATTTTCCTCCCGTGAAATACACAACTTTAAAAAATGGCCACTTACATTTAACATCTAAGGTCTAATATGAATTCGCAGTAATTAACAGAAATATTGATGGATGGGGCGACTTTTTCACCTACAAGAATTGCTTGTTTTTATTATTAAAACAAGCGATCTAATAAAATGAATAATATCACCGTCATTTAACGTTTATTGTCGAACTTATTTTTCAGCTCAAGACTTCTTGTTTTTAATGGGAAATTCTGACTAAATGGGGCTCTCAATGGGGAAAACAGATTTTACTATTAACGTTAATATTATGGAAATTTCGTTTTAACTTGTTTTTAAGCATAAAATAAAAAGAAAAATTGTTTGTTCTCGTGATTTTTAAAAACAATATTCTCACGAGTGGCGTAGCAACGCCACTCGTGAGAACACTGTTTTTAAAGCCCACTCGATGAAATAAAATTGCATCTCACACACATACAATCAAATATCCTCTATGTAAACACATTCAAGCACTCATTATGATATTGTTCCAATGTTAAATGACGTTGTGTATTATTTTGAATTACTATAAATGTGCTGTATTATGAAGTAAATACAGGTAAACTGTCACCTATTTTAAATCAAAAAGGATTATTAATATTCAGAATTCATTAATCGACTTTAATAACATTTGTATTTCATACTCAGTCCTACGCATAAGCCCAAGATTTCCAGTTTTCCCCAAAATTTCCTATCTCTGGTCACTGATGAGCATTTAATTATAATTACACTGCTTGTCACTGTATTACTGATAGCAGCACCCTTGAATGTTTTATGACCCTATTATGTTTCAAGAATGTATAGTTTAAGCTGGAAGATATAGATGTAACGAAAAACTAAGATTTAACTTTTTAGTGTAAAGAAGACAAATAAAAATTGGATTACAGTAAAAAAAGGTTTTTAATCACTTACAACTCACAATGAAAATAATTTTGTAAATAACTTTCGTATTAAAAGCCTATATCATACCTCAGTGATTTACATTCTTTTTCTTTTTTTCAGAAGGAGCAAAATAATGTTTAGTAATAATAATAATGGATTCAAAGCATTATTGTAGGTTATCATTCAATCTAGTAGGAAAAGAGATGAATGTGATTTTTTTTTATAAAAAAGGTACCAAAATGATACAAGCAAAAAGTAAATAAAGTTTTTAAAGTAAAATTCTAAGTTCAAAGAGGAAATATCTCTTGAAATAAAGATACTGGAGTTAAAAACCTTGTCATGCATGATGTGAGTAATGACAAAGGACAATTATCTCAAGTCTAGAGTTGATGTCATTTATAATAACAAGGATAATTGTTAGAAATATATTAATTTTCAATAAATCCCTAATTCAAAAATGAAATGGAGATAATTCTAGAAATACAGGACTTAAGTTATAAATCTAATCGCACCTGATAAAGGTGTTGATAAAAACATTTTTATGCCGCCGAAGGGAGGCAATTAAAATCGCACCGTCCCTCTGTCTGGCTGTCTGGACGTCCGTCTGTCTGTGCATCCCCACTTCATTCCTGTCCGGACTATAACTTTGTCATGCATGGAATGATATTTAAATAACTAGGCATTAATGTCTACCACATCTTGCGTCCAAGAATTACGTCCCTACCTCAGAGGTCAAGGTCACACTAACATTTTGAAGTTTCACTTTTTCACAATAAAAGTTTATAGGTTCACGCATTTGTGCCCGGAATGTAACTTTGTCATGCATGGAAGAATAACTTGGGATACATGTCTTTCACATCAAGACTGTCGTGCATCAAAGGATTACAAAATAACTAGGCATAAATACTTTCCACATCAAGATGACATGTCACGACTAAGACCCCTATCCCTACCTTCAAGGTCAAGGTCATATTTATAGGAAAATTCTACGTATAAAGGGATGATGATTCTGAAAATATTGATGCTAGAGTTATAAAGCTTGTCATGTTTTTGTTTAAAGTTATAAAATATCAATTTTTATTCAAAACAAATTTGAATGGGGTAAATAATCCTGGAAATATTCATGCTACAGTAATGAATCTTGTCACACATGATAAGGAAATATATTTGAAGTTAGAAGTTGATACCTTAAGAAATAAAAAAGAAAGTAAACAGTAACATTTTTTGAGAGGAAAAAAAATCATTGGGAGATAATTCTGGAAAAAATTGGTGTTAGAGTTAAAAAAAAACAACATTGACACATATGATGAAGTTGATGATAAGGAACACATGTTTGAAGTTTAAAGTCAATACTTTAATATGAAATAAAGATGTTAGAGTAAAATATAACATTATTTTAAGTTCAATGGGATATAGTTCTGGAAATACTGGTTTTAGAGTTTTGCACCTTATCAAATGATGTGGACGATGAGAAGGAATATATATTTGAAATTGATACCTTAAGAAATAAAGAAGTTATAGGCGCATTTAAACATTAATTTAAAGTATGGACGCTGAGGTCGACTTGCAAACCAAGGTGAGTAGGACAACTCACCACATTCTTAGTATAGTCGAGCTAATAATAAAAATATCACTTATCTGGTCATTTTAGTTAAGAGTCTTGCACTTTTCAGTAAAAGTTACATCTATGAACAGTTTTTTGTTTTTGGTTTTTGTTTTTTAGCTGGCCGGGAGGGGGTTCAGTCAGTAAGATGAGTAACAGCGACACTTAACAATTGAACTTTATTTTATTTATTATTAACGTATGTTATAAAGTATATTTACAAATAATTGCTAGGTTTCACAATTCAATTGGGCCACAGACCCATAATCAAAAGAAAGGGGAAAAAACGTTGATAAATTTAGTGACTGTATCTTCTGTAGAAATTTGATCCTTCAAAGTTGGGGCCATTAGATAAGAATACAGAGGGGCAATAAATAATGACAAAACTCTCAACTCAGTGGACGTGTTAATGGGAGATATACAGTTAATAGTAATTTACTAGCTGATAAGCCCTTACTGAGATTCAGCAGGCTGGAAGGGTTTATGCGTAGGACTGTACTTGCTTTCTTGTCTTAAAGATGAGAATCCTTTTGTATCGTTTCATTTCCAGACTGTGGAAATCTAACTGTTGTCAACGGAAATTTTAATGCCCCATCAGGAACAGCATTCGGACAAACAGCAACACAATCATGTAACACCGGTTACAATATTTCTGGTGAAGAGACGATCACTTGTACAGAATCTGGAGATTGGAGCGGTGCTGTTGCTATATGTACCATTGTCGGTATGTATTTGCTAGAAGGATATTCAAATATAATTATGAAACATTTTTATGCTATTCAATATTAATATAATTTATAACCTGCTTTGTTTTTGTGTTTTTTGTTTGTTTGTTTTTTTAAATGACCCGAGATGTGAAGAGCACGTTTGAAAACTGGAAAGTATGTTTCTCTAGTAATAAACTTTTATTTTGAAAGCATGTTTATTTCTTATATTCTACTATGCGCGTTTACATGAAACAAAAACACCAAAAAGTGCATTAAAATAAGAGGTTTTTGCCAACAGGTAGCTAATACGGTGCCCCCAGTTGCTTGTTATTCTGCAACATGTACTTCATGGTAAAGTTGAAAATGTTCATATTTTACGGTCATTTTGTAAATACATGTACATTCATAAACTCATTATGATATTGTTTCAAAAGTAAAATGACGTTGTGTATTTTTTAAACAACTATAAATATGCTGTATTGTACGGTTATTGCACGCCTCCGTGGTCGAGGGGTTAGAGTCGATGACTTCTAATCCAGTTACCTCTCTGGGTTGGGTCCGATCCCCCGGAGACGCTTTGGTAGTTTAACACGGAGGAAGGTAGTCTAGTTTTGGTGTAACTCTCCAGGAACGATGGTTAGGAAACTATCCGCCTATATGACTTAAATACTGTTGGGAAAAGGCGTAAAATGAAACAAACAAGCAAATAAACATTATCGCCTGTTTTTTAACAAAAGGTATTACACGTATTCATATTCAGACATTCATTAATCGACTTAAATAAATTTTTATTTCATTATATTTGCTTTTTTGCCTTTAATATAGGAATCCTTAGGCTTTGGATTTTTTTTATTTCCAGACTGTGGAAATCTAACTGTTGACAATGGCAATTTTAATGCTCCGTCAGGAACGACATTTGGACAAACAGCCACACAATCATGTAACACCGGTTACAATATTTCTGGTGAACAAACGATCACTTGTACAGAATCGGGAGATTGGAGCTCTGCTGTGGCTGTTTGCACACTTGTCGGTGTGTTTTTTTTATTCAGACATATACAAATATAAAACATCGGACCCTTCTTGTAACTCATGATGTCACTTTATACAACTTTATCAAGAAATTGATGAAACAAAATTTCTTCACAATTTTATACGTTTTGCCGTTGACAGTTTAAAAATTTTACATTTCATCAATTTGTTACCAGTTAATTTAACATCAAATGAGTTTAATCGTTTAAGTAGTGTTTATATTCGCATACATGAACACGAGTGAAGTTTCATGAGTGCTTCAAAATTTATTAAATTTTTTGTATATTTAATTTTGGATTGGCAGACAATTATTGATAGCAATGAAAATTAATCACATTAATTGCAAACGTATTTTTGCTTTTAAAAGTATTTGAACGGTTCTTTATCATACGTATTTCTTTTTTCATAGACCGTTTTTTTTTTCGCAAATCATAAATTAATCATTAATGATCATTTCTGCATTCTAAAGGACAATTCATAATATTTGAAGCGACCCTGAACTTTTCTAAAGATTTATTGCTATTATAACAGACTGCGGAGATGTGACTGTCGTCAACGGACATTTCAATGCTCCATCAGGAACGAGGTACGGTCAAACAGCCACACAGTCATGTAATATCGGTTATACTTTATCTGGAGAGGAAACAGTCACTTGTACAGAATCGGGAAATTGGAGTGCCACTGCCGCTGTGTGCACCATAGTTGGTAAATGCGTTTTATCCCAGCGCTTTTGCTTTCTTGTCAATCTGCCCAATATGACTTGTTGTTTGTTGTTGTTTTTTTTTGGAAAAATGGAATGAGCAAAAATTCTTTAAATCTTTCCACATTGGTTTATTGGTCTAGGTTTACATCAATAGTATAACATGTCATAGGAATAAAATCAGTCTAATTTTATCAAACACAGTGAATTCGGTATGGAATGTCGTGGTTTTTGTCCAAAAAATGACATAAGTTTTATAACAAATGAGTATTTGAAACGTTACTGGCCTTTATTCACGACTCACACAGTCATGTAACGTTGGTTTCACTTTATCTTTATCTGGATATGAGACGGTCATATGTTTAGAATCCGGAAATAAGAATGCCATTGGCGTCGTGTGTACAGTCGTTGGTAAATGTGACCGTAGAGATCAATTCTATGTGTGTGGTTACAATCTCAATTTGAGTTTGGAATGTAACAATGTATCGAATTACTTGTATAGCAATTGTCTTGGTATATTATTCAATTAAATATTCTTTACTTAGATGAAATTAACTTGTGAACAGGTATGAAAAAAACAATTACATGTATCTTGCAAAAATCTTTTTTGATATCTTTTTGTTTTAAATTTTATTTCAGCATCAGATTAAAACGTTAACAGTTTTGCAATAAAGATGGTATAAAAACCGTTGATATGTATGTATCATGACTGATAATTCCTTCTATAGAGTCAATTGCATATTTCGAATCTGCTGGTGAATATTAAGATGAAGTCAATCGGCTTAATATGACTTTTTATCAAAAAGAAGTAATGAAATTATCTTTTGATATTCTAACTACAAGAGACTTGCGATGATTAGATCATTGGCAATGCAATTATTTTTATATGGTGTCTTCATGTTACTTCGAAATAAATAAAGGGCATACGTATATAATGTTATAAAGAAATAATTGAAATGGAATCTAATGTTATAGGCGTCTGTAAATTTGCAGTGCATTGCAATTGTAACTTTTTGGTGCAATATTTCGATTGAAGAGCGACATGTTTTGTATATAAATGCAATATAGACATTTATCAAAATTGGCATCATAATACTATAACAAAAAAACAAGATTGAATAAAACGTGATGATGAAAACTACTTAAATGAATAGAATAAAATACTGATATCGTACGATCTGTTATAAATATACTAAGAAATTGATGAAATATTTTCTTCACTATGGATTGTATGTATTGCCATTGACAGTTTAATTATTTTACATTCCATTCATTTGTTACCTGATAACTTAATATCAAATGAGTTTAATCGTTTCAAGTAGATACAAAAAAGTACAGTTTCATGAATGTTTTTTTTAATTGTCAGACATTGATAGCAATGAAAATTAATAAAATTTATTGCAAACGTGAGTATTTTTACGTGTCTATTTTCACTGACCGTTGTTTTTTATTTTGAAAATCACTGATTAATCGTAAATGATCTGAAAGAAAAAAATGACAATTTATAATGTATTTGAAACCATATTGAACTTTTCTAAAGATCTATTGCTGTTATAATTATAGACTGTGGAGATCTTACTGTCGACAACGGAAATTTCAGTGCTCCATCAGGAACGACGTACGGTCAAAATGGCACACAATCATGTAACACCGGTTACACTTTATCTGGAGAAGAAACAGTCACATGTTCAGAATCGGGCAAATGGAGTGCCTCTGCCGCTGTGTGCACCACAGTTGGTAAATGCTTTTTATCCCAGCGCTTTTCTTGTCAATCTGCAGAGTATGATTTCATATTTTGGAAAAATTGACATATTTTCACATACTTAAGTTATTTGTCTAGGTCTATATGAAATAGTAAAACATGCCATAGGAATACAATTAGTCCAATAATGTAAAATACTGTAAATTAATCTAATTTTGTTGGCATGTAATGTCGTGGTTTTTGTCAAAAATGACATCAATTTATAACAAATCATAGTAATTTGAACGATACTGGCTTTTATTAACGACTCATTTCAATCAATAATAGATTGTGGGGATCTAACTGTTGCCAAGGGAGATTTCAACGCACCGTCAGGAACGACGTATGGAGAAACAGCCACACAGTCATGTAATACCGGTTACACTTTATCTGGAGAAGAGACGGTCACATGTACAGAAGCGGGAACTTGGAGTGCCTCTGCCGTTGTGTGCACCATAGTTGGTAAATGCGTTTTATTACAGCTAATATATAATGCGTTATCGCTTTTCCTTCTTTGTCAATCTGCACATTACTTCTTTATATTTTGGAAAAATGGACTAAGCAAATGATTTAAAACTTTACATAGATTTTATTTGTCTAGATCTTCATGAAAAAGTACAACATTTCACACAATATAATTAGTCCAATCATGTCAAAAATCTTCAGTGGCGTTTCTTTAACATAATCTAAAATTTTGAAACATATAATTTTATAATTCAGATGTTCATTAATGCCCAAAAATATGAACTACATGTTATTATAGTTCAACCCAATAGTATAAAGCATACCGTGAATTCACTTTATTTTGTGGGTATGGTATGTCGTGCTCTTTGGAAAAAGAAATATGACATTAAGGCGTATTCATACATTCGTGGATTGTTTGCGTTTGTAAAAAGTAATATGCTTGTAATGTAATAAAGAAAATCATACAGCAGAATATATCGCTATATTTTATATACGAGAATTAGCCTATCCATGAAAATACACGAATAGTAATAAAATTGTAGTTTCCGACTGATATTTCAAAACATTTATGATTTTGGTCATGACTTATTTCATTACTTTGCAGACTGTGGAGATGTGACTGTCAACAACGGAAATTTCATTGCACCATCAGGAACGACGTATGGAGAAACAGCCACACAGTCATGTAACACCGGTTACACGTTATCTGGAGATGAGACTGTCACATGTACAGAATCCGGAACCTGGAATGCCTCTGCTGTTGTGTGCACACTCGTTGGTAAATGTGTTTCATCATATCATAATAGGTTAATTAAGATATGTAAAAGTTACTCACTTTTAAATGGAATTATTATACAATTATTTCATGAGTATTTGTGGAACAGTCAAAACTGTTGCCTCGATGTATCAGGGATAACATTTGAAGCTTTTGCCAGCGGCCGAATGCATGCCAAGGGTTACAGAAAAAATATCATCCCTGATACCGAGGGATAACAGTCTTGAATGTTTCACAAACCCCCATGAAATAATTGTTTTATTACCTAATTCTTTGCAATCAAACTATATTTGATACTGCAACAACAAACTAATAAATTTTTACAACAGTTTTAATTGTAAACTGTTTACAAGTAAATCATACAGACGCTTGATTTTCTAAACAGCACTACCATTCATTGAGCTGAGCGTTCTTTGACAGTTGTAAACAGTTAAAAATGTTGAGCAGTTCATTTCAACACTGCGCATGAACAGGATTTCAACGGTTCCATTACACAGTTAAAAATAAGGAATTAGTATTTATAGAAGGTAGTAGGTTATAATTCACATAATTTTAACTCTAGAAACATTAAGATGTTTTACAAAACATAACAGAAATAATGGTTAAAAATATACAACTTAATATACATCTGTGTTGCCAGTGACACATATTCTGTGATCAAATTGCTTTATTGTCAATCCATAAAGTTAAGATTTAATAAATGCATAAATACTGTGTAAATTAAAACTTATATAAATTTTTAATTTTCATTTATTAAAATTAATTGCAAACAATAAATATTGATCACGCTTTGTAATCATTGCAAAGTATGAGTTTAACATATCCATGATTGATCTTTACGTTTTTTAAATAACTTTCAGGACGACTGATATTTCAAAACATTAATGATTTTGGTCATGACTTATTTCTTTACTTTACAGACTGTGGAGATGTGACTGTCAACAACGGAAATTTCAATGCTCCATCAGGAACGACGTACGGTCAAACTGGTACACAGTCATGTAACACCGGTTACACGTTATCTGGAGAAGAAACAGCCACATGTACAGAATCAGGAAATTGGAGCGCCACCGCTGTTGTGTGCACTATAGTTGGTAGATGCATTTTATGTTATCACAATATGTGAATTTAGATATGCAAATATAATTTGCTTTAAATATCGTAACGGTACTATTTCACAATTCATTGTTATTCTAAACAATCTCTAAACATTTAAGACATTAATTCTTTTTTCAAGACAGATTTTAAGTTACAAAATGCGTAAACATTGTGTAAATCAAAAATCTTATCATCATGTCAGAAGTGATTTCAAAATTTCATACTTTTCTTAGATTGTAAAGGAATTTTCGCTTTAACAATGTCCACCCATACCATGGGCATGCATTGTTGTAACGAATGACTTGACTGTGCTTTTAACATTATTCATTGATCATATCTGCATAATTATGTAGTCGTAACGTGGTCACGTGATTTGAATCGAGTAGCGTGTTTTTTCTCTGTGAAATTAAATCTGGATTTTACAAGTTTAAAATGCATTTTTGGAACTTTTTTGGTATAACTGTGGATATAAACATATAATGAGTTCAAAATCGACCAAAAAACATAAAAAGCGTAAAAACAGAAGCAGTAATGAGGAGGAATTTGTCAATCTGAGTAAAATATATCGGGCGCGAGGCCCGTCAGAGGAGTCTGTTTCGGATAATCAGACCAAACCGGTGAGCGAACTTTTGTTTGAAACTAACAGTGTATTGTTTGACATTTCAAATAACGTATTTGAAGATATTATTTTCGACAATTTGGACAACGACGTAAACCTTGCTACTCAGCCCGGAGGGGAAGGTGGTCGCACGATGGCGTCCGCCCCAGCGTCTACACCAGTGGAATCGCCTGCTGAACCCTCACCTTCAAATAGTGACATTATTGGCGACGCCGGTGAGCGGCGTCGTCTATTATGGAACGCTTTTTATTTTTGCCTATGGAAGGAGCTGTTATTATTAGCAGTTAATTTCATGTTGTGTTAATTAGTTTTATTTTGATTCGTAAAAATCAAGTAAACAAATGTGTTATTATATTTGTATTTAATAACTTTTTATAAAAAGCATGTGCATTGTGATATTATTTTCACGAAATTTCAGGTTAAGTTTAACAGCTTGTCCCTTAGTTTTAATGACAATACTAAAACCCGGATTTCGAATATCGTTGTGGTCTAGATTGAGGCCGTATCAGTTCATTCATTCATTTATACATTTTCAAAATTTTCCTACAAGAAGAAAGTTCACCTGCAATTGAGTATAAGGATAGGTAATGGAACTGTTGTAAACGATTATCCTATTGATTTTATCCTTATTACATTTATCTGTTGCGCAGAATGGTTGTTTTTACAAAGTGTACCAGTATCCGGATGTTGAAAGCTATCCGATTTTCTGCAATTACTGCTGACACATGGCCATCTATTTTTTTATGAATACATTACCATTAATTTGCATGGCTTGATAAAACTGAACCTGCAGCATTTCATAATTTTGCTGTTTAGGGTGTTCTTTTGGTTTCAGGTTTTCTTTATTTTAAGGGGAAGTAACTCATGTTTACTAAATTATTTGTTCTTTTCTGTCTATCTTAGGTATTACTTATAATACTATTTTTGTTGTATATAATTCACCAGTTGTAAGGTCATCAAAAGCATGTTAATGTTAGGATTTCATATATATTTAATATAAACTGGGAATTATTAATGTTATGTGCATACATGTATATCTTAGACAGTAGTATATTGATATGTTGAGACTTATATTTTCTGCATTTAAAGAGATACAGTTATGTCATTATTATTAAAGGGATGAGACTTTCATTTATAGTTATAAATGATAAAACTTGTATTGATTGAAAATGTCCTTAAACTTGGATCAAGCAATGTAATTAATAAAGTCTCAAAAAATCATATTCTGAATAGTTATTCTTTTTTTTTTCTAACATGTGCATAGTTTGAAAAAAACAGCTTCGGTCTTATCTATTTGTAATGAAGAGACACCGGTCTCAACCTCCAGGTCTCCTGAGTCAACCCGACAACAGACTGTACATAGAGTAGATTGTTACTTGCCCTTGAATAAATTTGTGCACTAAATTTATAGTGGGTGATTTGTGCCACATGAAAACCAACATAGTATAAAAAGTAACTGGGCGCCAGATGAAAACAAGGTCAAGGTCACTATTACTTTAAAACTGAAAACAGTTTCCGGAACGTAACTTAAGTTCCATTTGGCCCACAGTGTTGAAACTTCATAGGATGATTGTCCATATTGGGTAGGAGACCCCTATTGATTTTGGTGTCACAAGGTCAAAGGTCAAGGTCACTGTTACTTTAAAACTGAAAACAGTTTCCAGAGCATAACTTAAGGTCTATTTGCCCGGTGCCCTTGATGCAAAATACAAATCAGCCTTCGTAAAATTTCTTATGTTGGTCACAGGTTTGAGTTCTGGTCAAGCTCAAAGTTTTTCTCATCCTGTGACTGCATATAAGCATGAGTTCAATTTCCTATGCTCTGTAACATAAGAAATTCACGAACACAAATCGATATAGTGGGGAAATATGTTGTGGTTTAGAACTGTTTCATTATTAAAGAGAAAATGTGTAGCAGGCCGGATAGCTCAGTTGGTCTTCTGAAAGTCATGGGTTCGAGTCATGGTCAGGCAGTTTCAGTCCGGGTTTAGAAGTGGTTTTTTCAACTGACACATGTTTGATTCATTTAACAGATTGCATTATTTGAAATGGACAAAGGCAGTTTTGCATGATACTTTTAGATCTACAAAGGGCATTTGATACAGTTGAACACACAATACTGCACATCTGGGATGAAGAAGTTGTTTTTCTTCTTCTTCATGAAACTTCAAGCATCTGCCATATATAATGACATTCTTACATGGTTTAAGTCTTATCTCTGATAGTAGCTGGTTGATGTGGCTGGTACTCATTCTACTACTGCTCTGGGAGTACCTATGCTGTCCCCCTGATGTTCATTTTAGGTCCTCTTTTATGTCTAATATATGTCAATTACATGTCTTCAACCCTAAGCAATAAGCTTTTATTATAATGCACAGGCACGAGTATCAGACCTTGGAAGAAAAAAATATGGCCAGATTGATAAAAAAACCTGTGTTCATCTTAAAAGTGTCAACAACCAAAATAAATGTAAATAATGACCCCCCTTTAAAAATATACTTCAAGTTGATAGTATATTTTTAAAGGGGATCATTATTTACATTTTTTGTTTTGGTTTTTATAAACACAGTTTTTTTATCAATCTGGTCATCTGGTCATATTTTTTCTTCCCAGGTCCGATACTCGTGCCAGTGATTATATGCTGATGACTCAGGAATCCTTGTGTCTCATAAATAAATCTGAAGAAATTCTTTCTTATAGCATAAGTCTTATAAGATTGCTCAATTGACTATAAATTGTCTTTGCATCTTGGCAAGACAGAGTCTATTCTTCTTTGGTTTAAGTTTCAACTTAAACTGGCCCTAGCCTCCAGGTCACATGTAATGGTACTGCTATAAAGTACACATCTTTTGTTAAGTATTTAGGTGCAAATCTGGATCAAATTCTTTTGGCGTCGCCCTTTGATGCTTTGCATCAATGATTTTCTTGTGAAATTCTTGAAATGTCTGGAAACTAAGTTGAACGCCATGGAAACACGTTTGAATAAATTGGATTCGCTAGAGGAAAAGGTGCTCTCTTTTGATAAAGACATGAAACTTTTGAGCGTCCGTGTACACGATCAAAATAAAGCATTGGATCATACATTGAGCAAGATCGACGAGCGCATTGAGCGAGTTGAATTTATCTCTGCGGAGTACCAATCACGCATTGACGTTCTCGAAAAAGAAAACACAAACCTCAAAGATAAAGTTACATACTTAGAATCTCAAAGCATGCGGAACAATCTAGTGCTAGGTGGGCTCAAGGAGGAGCCTGGTGAAAATTTGGATTTAAAATTTCGTGATTTCTTAGTGAACAAACTCAAAATGGCCCAGTCAATAGTGGAGTCCATGAAACTTGAGCGCATACATCGTATGGGAGCGCCCGGCTCTCGTCGGGACCGCAACGTGGTTATAAAATTTGCGTTTTTCTCAGACAGGGAGATTGTTCGTCGGCAAAAGCGTTTGTTGAGAGGATCGGATTATTACCTTTATGAACAATTCCCGCCGGAAATAGCAGCCCGAAGAAGGAGGTTTAGTACCCAAACTACAGGAGGCAATTAAGGCCAACAAAAAAATCACTTTATATTTGATACTATTGCCTGGAACTTTGGTTAACAGACAGCAAAAAGAATTTGTTTCTAAATGCATATGTTTTTCAATTTGATATAGAAAATTTTACTACATATATATTTACTTATGTGAGGTCTATATTTATGGTAAAGCTAAATGCAATGTTTTTCGATGAGTCTATATTTATGGTCGAGTCCGGCTGCTAATGTTATTGATGCGGATCTGTTCGAACTATTAATGCAAGACATCTATTACTTTGATCAAATCGGATGTATTTTATTGGCGGGGGACTGGAATTGTAGAGTAGGGAATAGGCCAGATTATATACTTTGTGATTCAAATATAAATTTTACGGACGATTTGAATTATATACCCGATGAGACCCTTCCCAGAACCTCATGCGACATCGTATGCAATAGCCGGGGATTAAAAATGTTAGATCTGTGTAAAGCAACAGGTTTGCGAATTGCTAACGGGCGTTATATAAACACGGACTCCTTTACATTTTTTAACCGTAATTCAAGCAGTACAATCGATTATCTTTTGTTGAAAGAGTTTCACGTACTTAATTCTTTTGAAATATTACCTTTCAACACATTTAGCGACCACGCAGCGTTGTCGTTTAATATAACTGGAATTGAGCCGTGTCGTACAGATACAGATGTACATTCTTCCGAATCACATATTTACTATAAATGGGAAGCTGATAAAAAGGCATCATTTAGAAGCAATATTATTGGAAATTTAAATATTTTTAATAATACTGTTTTTGATGACACTCTTGACGTAGATTCAGCAGTAACGCAGTTCTCGCGAGCTATTTTAGACGCGGCGGATTCATTATTTAAAAAAGAATATACGGGTAATTCAAATAATAGGAACACGCCGCGTGATTATAGTTCTCCATGGTTCGATGATGAATGTTTAATGCTTAAAAATGAATATAAAAACACACTAATTTTATTTAATAACTGCAAGTCTGATTATAATAGAGCGCAGTTGTGCGACGCAAGGAAGCGTTTCAAATATATTTCACGCAAAAAGAAACGTGCACATAAAATAAAGAAATCAAGGGAATTGACCGATCTAAAAAATAAAAAGCCTCGTGACTTCTGGAAACATTTTAAGACAAAATATAATAATTCAAATGGTAATATATCGCCGGATGAGTTTAAGACATATTTCTCTGAATTATTTAGTGATATTAGGACAACTTCCATTGATAATGTTGAAACTTTCAACGAAACTTCTGATTTTAATGTGAATGATTCAACATTCAGTGAACTTAATGGCCCTATATCGCTACAAGAGGTTATCACAGCAGTAAAAAGTCTTAAGCGCAACAAATCATCGTGTCCTAGTGATCACTTAATTAACGAATATTTAATAGAAACAATTGATATACTTGGTAGCCATATTACTGATTTATTCAACAAAGTGTTCAATTCTGGACAATTCCCAGAATCCTGGTCTCAAGGATTTATAGTGCCTATCTTTAAAAAGGGGGATAAAAATTTGCCAAATAATTATCGTGGGATCACTTTATTAAGCAATCTGGGAAAATTATATACAAGTATACTGACAGGTAGAATTGAAAAATGGTTCGAAAAAAACAATTTTATTTCAGACGCTCAGTTTGGTTTTAGAAAGGGTAGGAGTACAGTTGATGCGGCCTTTGTATTACATAACTTAATAGAACACATTTTATCACAAAAGTTGAGACTGCACTGCGCATTCATTGATCTGCAGAAAGCCTTTGACTCCGTCTACCGCAATGCACTGTGGTTCAAACTTTTCAATATGGGCATCGATGGTAAAATTCTACAAACGTTTAGGGCAATGTATGCTGTAGTAAAATCATGCGTTAAAAGTTGTAATAAGTACTCAGACTTCTTCGAAATATCAATCGGTCTAAGACAAGGTCTTAATAATTCTCCTGCCTTGTTCGCGTTATTTCTAGAGGATTTGGAACTATTTTTGCAAGATTCGAACACGTCTGGTTTAACAATGTATGATATTTGTGTAATATTACTAATGTTTGCAGACGAAATGGTTTTAATTGGTAATTCTGTTCAGGACTTACAGACTAGTTTAAACAAATTATATGAGTATTGCAATTACTGGGGACTTCAAGTTAATATAGAAAAAAACCAAAGTCGTAGTGTTCCGTAAAAGGGGTCCTGTTAAGCAAGAAGAGCGCTGGTATTATAACAACCAACCTCTTGAAGTAGTAAATGATTTTTAATTACTTGGGGGTCGTGTTTAATTATACCGGTTCATTCGTTTTGCATAATCAGTACGTTATTGGAAAGGCGATTAAAGCTTCAAACATACTTTTAAACAATATCAACAAATATGAATTAAACCCATCGTTATCTATGAAACTTTTTGATGCATTTGTCGGTGCGATCTTAAACTATGCCTGTCCGATTTGGGGTTTCTCGAAAACAAAGGAAATAGAACGCGTGCACTTGAGGTTTTGCAAGTCAATCTTGGGAGTCAAACAAAGTACTAGTAACGCAGCCGTATATGGGGAACTAGCGCGGTATCCGCTGCATATTACAAGATATTATCAGATTATTAAGTATTGGTTACAAATTCTAACGACGGATAACATTATAATTAAACGTGTATATGACGAATCGTTGAAAAGATGCCTAAATAGTAATACAGTAAGTTGGGCCGGTAGAGTTAAGATATTACTCGATCAGTATGGGTTTTCTGACGTTTGGGAAAATCAAGATAACGTAGATGCGAAACTCTTCCTACCTTTATTTAGACAACGGCTATTTGACTGTTACGTACAGAGCTGGCGAGCTGATTTGCAAGCAAATAATGTTCTGAACACTTTATATGTATACCTTAAAGATGAGTTCGTCACGAGTGACTATCTGAATGTTATAAACTCTAAGTATTTACGTCAGTCTTTGACAAGAATACGCGTATCGGCACATAGGCTGCGCATTGAAACTGGTAGGCACGGTCGAAATCGCATAGAACGGTCCGAGCGAGTTTGTCAGCTTTGTGATTCTCAAGAAATTGAGGATGAATACCACTTCACTATAATTTGCAAAGCCTATGAAACCTTGCGTCATAAATACATTAAACAATATTTTTACAGGCGCCCAAATATGCACAAATTCGTACAATTAGTATCTGCTAAAAATAAAGTTATCACCAGAAACCTGGCGAAATATATTTACCAAGCGAGTCGTATTCGCACAGAGCTGCTTTATACAATACAGTAATAATGCAGTTTTATTTTAAAGTTTGAATATATACGTTTCCAAAGTGATAAGCAATATCAACTATAAATCGTTGTGTTTTTTTGTCACGGCCTGAACCGACATCAACGTATTAAACATATATCTGTGGTCGATGCTACAATAGTACTTTCCTATAGATTGTTGCCTTTTTCTCAATAAACACCAAAAGTAATATATTTATGGCATACTCATGCATAATGTCTACTTTACTTAATCATGTATCACTATTGATTGAAACACATGCTGAGGACATGTCCATATTATCAAGGACTATATGATATTCCGTTCGTTCTCCAATAGTACTTTTTATAAATTGTTTTTCTTTACTGCCAAAAATAATATTTGATGTAATCAGTTTAAAAAAATACTTCTAGAACAGGTGTTAATTTTATTCTAATTTGTATGATTGTTCAATTGATAGAAAGTATTTGTTCACTTTACTTAAGTTAATTTTCAAACCTGACTTTTCTTTTTCTAAGATGAATACTTAAGTACATATTTTCTAAGGTAATGTCTTAAGAACATACACATAATTATTTAATTTTTCATAGATATAAACTTTACTTAAACATTATTGATTGCTGATACAGAATGTTAACATTGTCAATCATAGTGACCATATGCCATGTATTTTGTAAATGTATATTGTACAACGATGTACCATATGTTGTGTACAAGTTGAAAATAAAATCATTCTTCTTCTTCTTCTTCGTAACGACATGATTTAAATATAGCTGCAATCTCATTGGTCCAAACAGTTGTCAACAGAACTTTTTATAAAACCATATTCACTGGTTGCAGTATCATATTCACTGGCTGAATTGAATTTTCCCAGTCTAAAAATAGATTGAAACTCATATACAATGACCATACACCGTTGACTGTTAATTACGCGTTTAATTAAAAAAAATTGTTGCGTTTGTTTTTTATGGCATATTTCTATATTCAAATAGCATTGCTTTACAATTATACTTAAAGGCTACACCGCAATGATGTGTATGAACTTGAATTACTTTTGTATGCGCAGCATTCGCGTAGACGCTGAAAGCCTAACACGTACGTCTTTTTTCCCGCGCTTCAATGAGTCAAACATTTTACATGTTATATAAAATTAAAGTTGTACTTTTTGTGTTTCTTTTTTAATTCTTAGCCTATTTATATGATTAAATATTTATTGCCTAGTGAGTCATTGAATATGATGTGATATTCACCGACAGAAAGTCATATTGATCTCGGCTTTCGCTTTGGTCAATATTATATATGCCGGCAAATATTATATCATATTCAATGTATCTGTACTGTTTCCCGTCCTTTTGCATGACTTATTTCTATCATATTCAGACTGTGGAAATTTAACTGTCGAAAATGGGAATTTCAATGCTCCATCAGGAACAACATATGGTGAAACAGCAACACAATCATGTAACATCGGTTACACTTTATCTGGAGAAGAGACAGTCACATGTACAGCATCCGGAAATTGGAGTGCTTCCGCCGTTGTGTGCACTATAATTGGTAAATGCATTTTATCCTTTTGAAAGATGTCAATTTAGCTCAGAAAATATAATTTGCATTAAAACTGTACTGTTTCATGTACACATGTATTACCCTTGGAATATAAAGCATTATACAATACAAACTAGAAAAATATGGTATAAATCATTTAACTGAAAGTTTATATTGCAAGTGACTTTTTTGAAATAAAACATATTCTGTTATAAAATTGTTATCAAATTGTTCATTGTCAATCTATTAACATTGATGGTTAGGAGCTACCCGCCTATTTGACTGAAATACTGTTGGGAAAAGGCGTAAAATGAAACAAACAAACAAACAAACAAACAAACATTGATAAAATACGTTAATAATGTTTAAATAAAAAATGACACAAATTTAAAATTGTCACCAATTTAGCATTGATTGCAAACTTGTTGTCTCTTGTAATAGAATTTGCATGTTTTGCATATCATTAATCTTTACTTAATCATATCTACATGTACGAGTTTATTCTAGTTTTCATTACAACCGATTGAATTTCAAATAATTACTGATTTTGTTATTGACTTATTTCTTTCCTTTACAGATTGTGGAGATCTTATTGTCGACAACGGAAATTTCAGTGCTCCGTCAGGAACGACGTACGGTCAAACAGCTACACAGTCATGTAACACCGGTTACGTTTCATCTGGAGAAGAGACTGTCACATGTACAGAATCAGGAACTTGGAGCTCCGCTGCCGCTGTGTGCACCATAATTGGTAAATGGGTGTTATCCCCATCGAAATATGTATTATATTATATAAAAAAAATATTTCACTCACTTTTAAAATCATTTATACATATTCTAACCCTTAGAGGTATAAATATATTGTTTCTTTAAATGCTTTAAACAAGGTTTGTAAGATAACACCACAGATAAATTTATATTAAAGTAAAGTTTTTGAATTAAACATAAACATTAATGACATTACTTTATAGCTTGTTACAATATGTGTAAATTATGTAAATTACAACTTGTCAACATAGTAGTGATTGCAAACTTGCAATCTTTTGTTCAGCTTGTAAAGGGAATTTTAGATGTCTTTACAATTTTAATGGTTTATTTCAAAAGATATTTTAAAAGCTATATCTTATTAAATATTTCTATACTTTTACAAGAATTTTAGATGTACTATATTTTGAAATTCAAACATTATTTTTTTCAGTTTTGCTATTTTAAGTATGGTTTAAGTATCCGTTAATCGAGTATTACGTGATTTTAAGCACTTAACTACCATATTTACTTTTACAAGAATTTTAGATGTACTATATTTTGATATTCAAACATTATTTTGTTCAGCACTAATATAGCTTTATATACTTGAAATAATTCGTTCTTAATATTATGCACTGATAATTAATGAATTATACGAGTATCTGCATCTTGAAATATTTCCTTCGACAAAGAATAGTATCTGAACTGTTACTCGTCTTATGACGTATTTTAATAATTTACAGACTGTGAAAATCTAACTGTCGAGAACGGAAATTTCAATGCTCCATCAGGAACGACGTTTGGAGAAACTGGCACACAGTCATGTTATACCGGTTATACTTTATCTGGAGAAGAAACGGTCACATGTACAGAATCCGGAAATTGGAGCGCCGCCGCCGTTGTATGCACTATAGTTGGTAAATGCATTTTATGTTATCAAATGCGTAAATTAAGATATGCAAATATAATTTGCTTTAAAAACGATATTTTTGACAATATTTTACTCTTGAAATATAAAGCATTTTACAAAACAGGCTAGAAGAAATTGTATAAATTATTTAACTGAAGTTTAAGGAACTTTACTGAATCATAACTATGTCCTTACAGTGTTTTCAGTATCACATATTGTATTTCAAACAGTTACTTATTTTGTTATTGACTTATTTCTTTTCTTGGAAGACTGTGGAGATCTTACTGTCGACAACGGAAATTTCAGTGCTCCGTCAGGAACGACTTATGGTCAAACAGCTACACAGTCATGTAACACCGGTTACACTTTTTCTGGAGAAGAGACTGTCACATGTACAGAATCGGGAGCTTGGAGCTCCGTGGCCGCTGTGTGCACCATAATTGGTAAACGCGTTTTATCCCACATCAATATGTATAATATTATATGAATTTGTTTCATTTCATTATTATTTTAAGGAAATTCGAATTACACATATTGAATTCAAACATGAATTCTTTTTCCAAAACAGACTAAAAGACATTTTTGTAATTTACAACTACAAGTCAGTCAGTTTATATTTAAATGAAGTTCGAGAATTCATATACTTCAAAAGCTATCATTATTTCAGAGGTAAACATGTCATAGATTTAAAAGGAATTTCGCATGTGTTTACAATGATAACGAATGTGTTTTGATAGTTAGTTGTTCATATCAGCATCATTATATACATGTAACGACACATCTTTGTATCTGAATTGTTACTCGTCTTTAAGTACGACTTATTTCAATCATTTACAGACTGTGGGGATGTTACGGTTGAGAACGGAAATTTCAATGCTCCATCTGGAACGACGTTCGGAGAAACTGGCACACAGTCATGTAACACCGGTTACACTTTATCTGGAGAAGAGACGGTCACATGTACAAAATCTGAAAATTGGAGCGCCGCCGCCGCTGTGTGCACAATAGTTGGTAAATATGTTTAATCCTATATAAATATACTGAAATAAATATTTTCATTCCAGTATTATTTCACAAAATTTTACCTTTTGAATTATCAAGATTTATAAACTTACTGGAAGGAATGGCATCAAAGATATAAAACTGGAGTTGTTACTTTATTGTTCGTTATTATTTAGAATTAAACTTATCATGTCATAATGTTGCTTCGTTGTCAATCCATAACAGTTCATAAAATTTAATACTGTTTGAATAAAAAGCTTGAAAATTAAAACTGTAATTAATTAAGCAACAGTTGCAAACATGCTTTCTCTTGCAATAAAATTTACTCAATTGATAATTATTTGTATGGCTTATTCCATAAAATGTGTTTCTATACATAAATAAATTTGTATTTCAGGACAACTGATTGTATATCAAAATAACTGATGTTTTTCATATCATATTTCTTTTCTTTATAGACTGTGGAGATCTTATTGTCGACAACGGAAATTTCAGTGCTCCGTCAGGAACGACGTACGGTCAAACAGCTACACAGTCATGTAACATCGGTTACGTTTTTTCTGGAGAAGAGACGGTCACATGTAAAGAATCAGGAAATTGGAGCTCTGCCGCCGCTGTGTGCACCATAATTGGTAAATGCGTTTTATCCTATCATGATATGTTAAATTTAATGTAAAAATAGTTTCTGATATTTACGGTGGCATAGAGGTGACATTTGCGGCCTTATTCTATCTTGTGGCCTCAAAATATTATCTTGTGTCCACGACTTATTATCTTGTGGCCTCAAGATATTATCTTGTGTCCACGACTTATTATCTTGTGACCTTAAGCTATTATCTCGTGGCCATGACGTATTAGTAATGAATGACGTAAATTTTATTATCACGCTTTCCACGTGCTTCACACTATCTCAAATAGAAAACAATAGAAAACAGACAAATATCGCTGTCCCCTAATTCAATTTTATATTGAGGTAAAAAATAAAAACAGTTCTATCTATTTTGGCTTGATAATATGGCCTAAACTGAAAGTTAAGCATGTCATTTTTTCTATTTGTCACCTACATGTGTTCATCTTTACATGATTATTGCAATTCTGTTTGTTGTGAAAGAAATATCTGGGAGAAAGTTTAATCTATGTTCTAGAAAATGTATATCAATTTCGAGTGATAAGAGATAATATTTTGAGGCCGCAAGATAATAAGTCTATTTGTCACCTACATGTGTTCATTTTTACATGAGTATTGCAATTCTGTTTGTTGTGAAAGAAATATCTGGGAGAAAGTTTAATCTATGTTCTAGGAAATGTATATCAATTTTGAGTGATAAGAGATAATATTTTGAGGCCGCAAGATAATAAGTCTTGGCCAGAAGCTAATGAGTCGTTGCAACGAGATGAAGAAATACTGCAAATGTCGGATTTATGCCACTGTGGCACGTAGACACCTGAAAGTAGAATGTCGCAATCACACATTTAATTTGTTTTCTTGGCTTATTACCCTACACTCATTTACACAGAAATGACCGGTTGTTAAGAACATATATTAGTTAATGTTGATTGTAAAAACATTAATACAAGACAAAATTATTTTCATATCAACAGATTGTGGAAATGTGACAGTCGTTGACGGACATTTTACAGCTCCATCAGGAACAACATTTGGTGAAACAGCCAAACAGTCATGTAATACCGGTTACAATATTTCCGGTGAAGAGATCGTCACGTGTACAGAGACAGGAGAATGGAACGCTACTGTCGTCACGTGTACAATTGTTGGTATGTACACTTTAGCAGATAAATTTATAGGTTATGTTCAACTATCAATACTTTGCAAACATTTTAAATTTTTAATTAGTCCTCGAATTGAGACCGACTCGAAAATAAAAACATCCCTCCAAAGTCCGAAAAGTAGTTTTTTTATTTCATGCTTTCCAGTGTTTTATTGTAATATATCAGATGATTATATTCTGATAAACCACTAGTGAAATTTATCAAATATAATTTTCACTGTAGCCGGACTATATCTGAATGCGGATGAAAAGAAAATCATAACTTAATGGAATAACAGGCAGAAATAAATGCCTTTATACGTAAATTTTGCTTCTTTAGGAAAAGAAAGTCGATGTCCCCATACATCATGTTAAAATGTAACAAAGTTAGAGAAATTTAACAGAACTATATTTCAAAATTGATGATGTGACGTCATGATGTGATGACGTCACAAAGGAGAATGCGCGACGTTACGCGGCAAAATCGGTAAAAAATACTTAAAATCACTTAAAAAGCATGAAATAAAAAGAAAATTTATTTGTTTTACATATAAGATTGAAATATATTTCATTCGTGAACACCAGCTATTATATTTTCACTCGTGGCTACGCCACTCGTGAAAATATTGCATCTGGTGTTCACTCAGTGAAATTATATTTCAATCTTACATGCAAAACAAACAAATATCCTCTATATAATTAGCATTTTACTGTATTTTTATTTGAATTTGATGAAATATGAATTGTAATTTGTAAGAAGGTATGACTGATACATTCCGAAAAGAATAGTAGATGATAAGCTCATTGTGATATGGATATCAAAACTATATATAATTGTAAGTTAATTATTTTCTAGAATGTGGAAATCTTACAATTGTCAACGGCCATTTCGAAGCTCTATCTGGAACAACGTTTGGACAAAAAGCAACACAGTCTTGTGACACTGGTTATATTCTTTCCGGTGAAGAGACGATGAAATGTACAGAATCTGGCGAATGGAATGATATAGCTGTATGCAACATTGTCGGTATGTGTGCTTATTATGCATATCATATTATCATATGTACATATTCACTTTTTTGCCTTGTGTATGTTAAGCTTTTTGCGATGAAACGTTTTCAGTACATGTTAAATCATACACCAGCTAAAACATCTATATTCGTGTTATATCCAACAGTACTTTTTCTTACAAGAAATTTTTCTCAGCTTTGTAAAACATCCGTGTAAGAAATGTAAAAAAACCATACCTCCTTGATATGAGTAGAGGACAAACAATTGTGTTAATTAACGGATTGTACGTTATTATAATTACATGTTTAAGTTGTTCATTACGACACACTAAATTATAAGTATTTTTTTATTATTTGTTGGAAAAATAACCTTATTGTTTTTGATTAATTAAATTCATGTAAGGAAGTCAAACGTTTCTGGCTTTAAAGTATCTGAACAATTTATCATAATTTCTGATTATTGGTTGTTCTTTCATCTCCAGATTGTGGAAATCTTACATACTTCGAGGGCAATTTCAGTGCCCCGTCAGGAACAACATTTGGACAGTCAGCAACATTAATATGCAACACAACTATCAGCGAAGAGACAGTGACGTGTCTAGAGTCTGGAGATTGGAATATCACAGCTTTATCATGTCCTTTGATTGGTAGATCATATATTCTAGCATATTTAATTATAAAGTTAAATCCTGTTCCAGGGGGCGTGAGGGATGTTGTACTTCTTCAATATCTCACATGTGCAGATTCAATGAAACAGAGTCTGCATTACTTTTATAATTTTGCGATTTTCAGTGCTTCCGACGAATAACCCTTTTACAATACTAGATAATTCGATTTAAAAAAAAATGGTTTCCGTGTTCCTTACAAAAACAGAATGCATAGACAATGTTTACAAAAGCTCAAAATTTTAATCATACATTTTGTCTTCAGAACTATATATTTTAAATTACTGTACTTTTAACTCTTCAGCACATTGATTGTAAAACCAGTTTAACATAGTCTATGTATAAATCAATCTCTAACGGAGCTTGCACAATATTTTCCCCGAATTGGATATTATTTTTGTTTTATAAGGCATAATTATATAATAATTTGTCATTGATTCAAACGAAATTGGCCGTTTACTCAAATGAATATTATATAGCATTCTTTCGTTTTAGATTGTGGATACGTTACAGTTATAAACGGTCAGTTTGAAGCTCCATCAGGAACAACTTATGGACAAATAGCCACGTTAGCATGCGACACTGGCTTCACTCTTTCTGGTCAAGAGACAATTATTTGTACCGACTCGCAGAAATGGAACGCCACTTCTTTGACATGTACCCTTGTTGGTAGGCACTTGATAGATAGAAGTTTATAACGACAAGTAATATATCAAATATAAAAATAAAGATAAACAAGAAAAGGTGGCATTCAATGAATAAGTTTGGCAGTTTCGACGTCGGGTCTTACTTTACCAATGAGCATAAATTGCATGTTAATATTTAGATACATCGAATCCTGCAATGCATTTTGGATTCTTTTATTTGAGGAAGCTATTCAGCTAGCTTGGTGTATGTTGGTGGTTCTACTCAGGTGCCCATTTGTGCCAAGAATGATGTACGAAAAGGCACCTCAGGTTTCCGCAATCAATAAAGCTCGAAAGTCGCCATCATGTTGGTGCAAAGTAATTCGCTAAAATGTTGGTGCGACGTAAAGTAAAACAAAAGAAAGATGACATAATATCAGTTTGTCCGTTATTATTCCTCGCCGATAGATCGGGGATATTGTTTTGGCGTTGTTCGTCCGTCCGTCCTTCCGCACTCACAGGAGAGTAATTATGTGGCTAGAGGGACAATAGGTAACTGTTTTTTCTCTTTGATGTCATTCATACAGTAATGCTTTTATGTGGCTATTTTCTTTTGTGTGGCTAAAAAGAACAATAGAGAGAACAATAGAGTAGCCACATAATTACTGTCCTGTGAGAACGTCCGTCCGTCCATCCGTCCGTCCGTTTCCGGACTAGTTCTCTGCCACTTCTGGCTGGAATTCAACGAAACTTTATGGGAAACATCAATTTCAAGAGGAGATGCGCATATCCTCTAGAGTTATGGCCCTTGATTAGTTATGCTGTAAGCATATAGAGTAGAAATCGTTTCCGCGCTACTTCTCTGCTACTACTGGCTGGAATACAACGAAACTTTATGGGAACCTTCAATACCAAGAGGAGATGCGCATATCGTCGCCTTGTTCCGGTCAGACATTTTAACTCAGAGTTATGGCCCTTGATTAGTTATGCAGTATGCATATAGAGTAAAAATCGTTTCCGCGCTACGTCTCTGCTACTACTGGCTGGAATTCAACAAAACTTTATGGGAACCTTCAATACCAAGAGGAGATGCGCATATCGTCGCCTTTTTTCGGTCAGACACTTTAATTCATAGTTATGGCCCTTGATTACTTACGCAGTATGCATATACAGCAAAAATCCTTTCCGAACTACTTCTCTGCAACTACCGGCTGGAATTCAACAAAACTTTATAGAAACCTTCAATACCAAGAGGAGATGCGCATATCGTCAGCTTGTTCCGGTCAGACACTTTAACTCAGAGTTATGGCCCTTGATTAGTTATGCAGTATGCATATAGAATATAATATTCGATTCCGCACTACTTCTCTGCTACTACTGGCTGGAGTTCAATGAAACTTTATGAAACCTTAAATACCAAGAGGAGATGCGTATATCATCGCATTGTTCCGGTCAGACACTTTAACTTAGAGTTATAGCCCTTGATTATTTATGCAGTATGCAACCAGAGCAATAATCGTTTCCGCACTACTTCTCTGTAACTACTGGCTGGAATTCAACGAAACTTTATGGGAACCTTCAATACCAAGAGGAAATGTGCATATGGTCGCGTTGTTTCGGTCAGACGCTTTAACTCAGAGTTTTGGCCCTTGATTAGTTATGTAGTATGCATATAGAGCAATATTGCTATTTCTTTGCAACTGCTGTATTGATTTCAACAAAACTTTATGGCAACCATGGATACACAAAGGCAAATTACGTCCAGATATTACTATCTAACACAGAGTTATGGCTCTGTTATTGCCCTGAATATTTATCAAGTACAAAGAATATTACTGTTTATGCCATGATAAATATATAAATAAAGCCTTATGTCTTCAGGTCTTCAAGTAATAACCAGTACTCGGCGGGGGATATAAATTCAACGAATTTGCTTGTTCTTATTGCAGCATATCACGAAAGCAAATGAAAAATAGAGGAACTCATTTAACTTGTTCAAATGTGTTTTTGAATGTTTCAGACTGTGGAAATCTTACTGTCGTAGACGGAAGTTTTGATGCCCCATCAGGAACGACGTATGGCCAAGAAGCCACCCAGACATGTAATATTGGCTATACTTTTTCCGGCGCAGAGACCGTTAAATGTACAGAAACAGGAGAATGGAACGCTTCTGCCGCAGTTTGCACCATCGTTGGTAAATTAATAATTGATCTTATCTTTTACCATTTTTTGTACCCGAATGTTATATTACCAGTATAAAACCTGTATGCATGCACATAGTCTAATCAAAGAGCTTACCAAATACGGTTAATAGCTTCATTTTTGTTTTTTATATTGAAATCCTCTAAACTTTAAGTAGACTGTTTCACTTTCAAATCTTGGCAAATTTATAACAACATTTCAGCAGATAAGGGGATACATAATATTGGTCTGTAAAATATGAGATAGATAAATCATGCTGTTTTTTTCTTTTAAACAACTATAACAATAAAATCAAAACGATACATTTAATATGTATACATAAGATACATTTGATAGTATTGAGCGTTTCAATACAATTCTTTATCTCGTTTAATACTGTCAATTATTATCGTACTTTTTTCAATATCATATGTAAAGCATTTGCCGGATGATAACAATATCCGCCTTAAGTGCCTTTTGAAGTAGAAAAAGATATACATACATGTATATATTTTTATATTCTCGTGTTTTCATTTTGTGATAATTCTCTGGAGTCAACGCAATTTAATTTGATTTACTGTGATATATCTTATGTATACTAATTATGGATTATACAGTTTTTATGACGCGCATGTATCTAATATTGGACTAAATAAGAAGTAATAAATTAATCGGTACTTACATGTGGTAGGTTTTTCCATTTATAACACAGATTGTGGAGACCCAACACCCGCGTTTGCATCTGTAAATGACACAGACTTCACGTATAATGGCACCGTTATAGGAGTTACCTGCGATGCTGGATATAACATAAGTGGAAGTTTAAATTTTACTTTAAACTCGTAAAGATTTATCAAGAAAATTGCTGTTTATTTTTATGATGTCGTTAATATGTAGCGATTCTTTTCAGACTGTGGAAATCTTACTGTTATTAATGGAACGTTCAGTGCTGAGTCAGGGACAACATTTGGTCGAACGGCAACTCAAGCATGCAATATTGGTTTCACTTTTGCCGGCGAAGAGACGGTCACATGTACAGAGTCAGGAGAATGGGACGCAGCTGCCGCAGTTTGCACCTTAGTTGGTAGGCAATGGACTTTTTAATGTTAATAATGAGACAAGTAACAAATATTTCCGTTTTTTTCATGACACCATATTCATTGTCGGTGCTTTTATACTTAATTATTGCATGTCAGAGAACATTGAAATGGAAAAGAATGAGCACATCGTTTCAAAATAATGGGTCTTGTGCATGGAGTTAGTTATAAACAACATGAATTTAAAACTAAATTAGATTGGATAGATGTTTATTTCAGTGTTAAATCAAATAAACTTGGCAATAGCTTATTTGTATTCTGTCGGTCAGGGAATGTTTCTGTTAGCTGCCTCAGTTCTAAAACAAGAAAAAAAATTACACATTTTTGACTGTCAGACTTCGAAAAATTACTGTCGTAAATAAGACGATTTTTCTGCATGTTTGTTTTACGGATAATTTCTTCTTTACATATAGATTATTAAAAATAGAGGTTAAAAGATTATTTAAAATATCTTCTTTTCTTTGTTTTTGATAATGTGTTCAGACTGTGGGAATCTTACTGTCGTAAATGGGCAGTTTACAGCGGTGTCTGGAACGACATTTGGACAGACAGCCACACAGACATGTGATACTGGTTATATCTTTTCTGGCGAGGAGACGGTCACGTGTACAGAATCGGGCAAATGGAACGGAACCGCTGCAACATGTACAATTGTCGGTAGGTATTTAATCGTCAATAGTACTAAGTTAAGTTATAAATACGGGCAACAATGACTTTAATATTGAGCTTTGTTTATAAAGGAGTCTTGAATCAAACCATATTTGTGATATAATACGCATTCATATTTGAAAATACTAAATACTTGGAAAAATATTCAATAATCATTTAAGTCGGTGCTAATAAAATATTTGTTCGTGGTATCCTTTTCATCCGATATTTCAAAACGTTATTAATTAAACTGACATTATGCTCATATTTTCACTGTCAAACTGAGAAAAATTAGTTGTATATTTCAAAAGATTGCCTATTTTATTGGCAAGGGAACAATAATTAATAAACACGTATGTTTAGAATATAAAAACTGCATTAACTAAAAAAGACTGCCCCACTATTTTAATAAACTGAACATTGCTTGTCTTTTGCTTAGAATATTTATAGGCATTTATGTGGATCAACCGATCAAATGGGTAATTGATAACATATACTAGTATGTGTTAAATTCGGAGTAAAAATAGAAAAAAACAGTGTTTATGATTGATACATTATATAAATCAATTTTATATATTTTACAATAATGCGAAGCTTTAGATCCCTTAAAAGATAATGGGCTTTAGTGATTCTGTTTTTCTCTATTTTATGCTACAGGTCCTTTACGGGTAAAACTATTTTTAGTTAGAGTTATACATGGTATACATTTTCATATATTTGCGTTTTATTATTGTCTCCCAATATGTTACATTGATCTGCTAGATATTATGATAATATATTTTAAGTTTACTTATGGTTGTTAAGTTTACATAATTTAAATGCGTGTAGTATTATTTTGTTAGTTAGTTTATTTTATCATAATTACCTTAGTATATAAACTTTCAATATTGTCCTTTTTGCAACAGATTGTGAAAATCCTACACCGGCTTTTGGTTCTACAAATGACACGGACTTTAAATATGGTACTGTGCTGGGAATTACATGCGCAACTGGATATGTCATAACTGGAAGTTCATCTATTTCTTGCATGGCTAATGGAAACTGGAGTGATATTCCCTACTGTGTACCTTTTGGTAAATACTTCGTGCTATTTACTTTTTGTGAATACTTTTATAACAAATAGACACATTAATGTTGACATTCGAGATGGGAAGAAAGGGAGATCCCTCAAGTGCAATGAAATAAAAGAAGTAGTTGAAAATCGCAAAACTTAAAAATTTAATAACGAAAACTAGTGCAACATGCACACTATCTTATGTATCCTTGCAGCGGCAATAGCAGTTTTCAAACCATGGCACTTTAAGTATTTAAAGCGTTATTCAAAATGACTCTTAACACATATAAAACATCAGAGATGAAGTACAGCGCAGCTTTTACGCTAAAGTATATTCTTTTTTAGTTGTTAGCAAGTTTGCATACAAAAAACCGGTATTGTCATATGTTATATTACAATTTGGTTTTGAAGTATGAAGTTTTTTATTGATTCTACATTGAGTCTGGAAAATAATTCCACACATGTAGAACAAGATTTTCACATTCACTGGTATGTTTTCAGATTGTGGAAATCTTACTGTCGTAAACGGTCAGTTTACTGCTTTGTCGGGGTCAACATTTGGTCAAACAGCCAACCAGTCATGTGACACCGGTTATGTCATTTCTGGTCAAGATTTAGTCATATGTACAATGACCGGATGGAATGCACCCGCTGTGACATGTACTATTGTCGGTATGTATAGATAGAATTCTCTAATTATAATGCAAAACAAAAAAAACGAAATTCTGAAAGACATGCTTAAAGGATAGTTAAGCCATTAGAAAGAAACTAGGGAATATGGCAGCGATAAGCAATAGCTTGTATTTAACATCTTAACAAATATACTTTTGAACACTGATAATTGGAAGCTGGTTTCGTTTGCTTTTGTTGGTTGGCTTTTGTTGTCGATGTTAACACATGTTTGGTTATATTTTTGCGACGTTCGGTCCTCATGGACAACTTACCGGTATAACCAATTTCTTCACAAGTGACTGATTATATTTTTTATCATGATTGAGAAACAAATGACCGTTAGACTCGATGTCTGAGGAAAGTTCGAATCGTCCGAAGATCAAACCATCAACCCTTAGAGTAAAAAAGCGATGTTTTCCCTATTGAGCTTCACATTTGAAAATACTGTATTTCTAAAAGCAGTCTTTCAAATACTTTAAGCTTATTCGAAATAATATATTTTACATTTCGATTCATTTCGATTTAAGGAAATTGGAAATATTCATTAAAATTAATTTTCAATCCTCTTCATGATCGAAATCAATTCGATGGTATAATTTTGAAATATGTAACTACATTCTTTAAATATGATTAATGCATGAAAAAATATATTTTCATTCAAGACTGTTTAATGCCCAGTGTCGCAAATGGGACAATCGCCGACACTCCAAATGGCACAACATTCAATGAAACGGCTTTTATATCCTGCATTGATGGGTTTAACCTCAATGGAAGCTCATCTGTAACATGTGAGGATGACGGGAACTGGTCAACACTTCCAACATGCGATATCAGAGGTACAAAAAATTCTGTGACATAATTTTTTATTATTTAATTGATGAAACATGACAACTTTGTCAGTAACCGCACTGTCTGGATCATGTGATTTAGTGCATGTTGTAGTTTGCAAAGGAATTGATTCACCTCAATACAGTGTTGGAGCAGTATTTCTAACCGCTTGCAGAAATCATCATCTCAAAGTAGTAAAATATCGTTTTTCTTCGCCAATTCCTACATTTGTCATTCATTATTGTATATAAATCGGCGTATATTAATCATATTGATTATTAGAAATAGAGGATGAAAGGTTATTTAAAATATCTTATTTTCTTTGTTTTTATAATGTGTTCAGACTGTGGGAATCTTACTGTCGTAAATGGGCAGTTTACAGCTATGTCCGGAACGACATTTGGACAGACAGCCACACAGACATGTGATACTGGTTATATCTTTTCTGGCGAGGAGACGGTCACGTGTACAGAATCGGGCAAGTGGAACGGAACCGCTGCAACATGTACAATTGTTGGTAGGTATTTATTTGTCAACAGTACTAAATTAAGTAATCAATACGGACAACAATGACTTTAACAGTGAACTATGTTTATAAGTGCGTCTTGAATCAAACTATTTGGGATATAATACGCATATATATTTGAAAATACTAAATACTTGGGACAATATTCAATAATCATTTAAGTCGTTGCTAATAAAATATTGGTTTGTGGTATCCTTTTCATCCGATATTTCAAAACATTATATATTAATCTGACATTATGCTCATATTTCCGCTGTCAAACTGAGAAAAATTAGTTGTATATTTCAAAAGATTGACTATTTTAGTGGCAGTGGAACAATAATTTATAAACACGAATGTTTAGAATAAAATATAAAAACTGCATTAACTATAAAAGACTGCCTCACTATTTTAATAAACTGAACATTGCTTGTCTTTTGCGTAGAATATTTTTTGGCATTTATGTGGATCAACCGATCAAGTGGGTAAATGATTACTTAGGCGACGTCTATTTTTAAATTGAAAACAATTATGATAAAGGTAAAGTTATTTAATTCTGCCTGAACACTCACCATTTACTCTTGATTTGACATTAAACCACCTTAAGAAGTCTGCTTATATGTTAAGAATAAGATCTCCTAAGCAAATCTTGAAATGTCAAAAACCAAGTTTTACATATACAGTGCTATTTGCAGATATTTGAATTGAAAGGGAAAAAAACATTCTTTTGCAGTTTTGTTTTCATGATTCGCTTAAACACCAAAGGACAGCCAGATGCGTTTGCTGTTAGCAGGATAAGTATATCCCGTTTGAAAAAATACTTCTAGTCCTCTTTTTTTATTATGTTATAAAACAAAACCAGTATCATTATCGATGATCAAGATTTGTCAATAAATGAGATAATAAGAATTACACTTATGGTATACATGTATATCATAAGAAGAATAAAGGTTTGATTCACAACTGCTTGCAGATTGTGGAAATCTAACAGTCGTCAATGGGCAGTTCTCAACTCCATCAGGAACAACATTTGGACAAACAGCTACACAGACTTGTAACACCGGTTATACTATTTCTGGCGAGCAGTTTATAACGTGTACAGAGTCAGGAGTATGGAACTCTACTGTTGCTGTTTGTACGATTGTGGGTAGGTATTTCATTGATAATGCATGTATCCCAGTAATTGTAATTAATATTGACCGAAACCGTTCGTTGGCTGAACATACTGGGTTGGGTGCAGAGTTATGAACGGAAATATGAAACACTTTGAAATGTCGTATTCTATTTTCATTAACATACCCACAATTTTCTAACAATAAATTTGTTCTGTAGCTTTTCATTTGATTTTGTTAATAACGAATTATTACATAACCTCTATAAGTCTGACAGACAAAATCAGAGCGAATGAAAGTCTTGCGAGTAAGACATTATGTTTTATCAGTTTCATCTGACATAGTGTAGACTTCTGTCTCTTGAACATGGCTTGAAACTTGATGCATGCTGCCTCTACTTGTTATTTCCTCCTTTGCAATATTAATTATTGATGAAGCATAAGTCCATGATAGGTAGATACTAAAAATATATGTATCTACATTTTTTCATTTTCTTACAGACTGTGGAAATCTTACTGTCGTCAATGGACAGTTTACAGCGGTGTCAGGAACGACATTTGGACAGACAGCCATACAGACATGTAATACAGGTTACACATTTTCTGGCGAGGATACGGTTATGTGCACAAAGTCAGGAGAATGGAACGCAACTGCTGCAGTTTGTACCATTGTTGGTAGGCATTTGATAAAATAATACTATTTTGGGGAATGGATCAGAGGAAACACTAAATTAATGCTTTCGATGGTTCGTTCCTCGGGTGCAGTGTAATTTTTCTGAGGCAACAAATATATATCAGACATTGACTTATTTCTCCGCGTATTAAGAAATCTCCTGTTGCTAAGTATTAGCAGTCGGATTGTCACTTACGAGGAAATGGGCAATTACTGCTTAGTCACCAGGAAACCCGGATTAGGTGGATCGATCGCCCAGATATGACCAAAATACATATACTAGTATGTGTTAAATTTGAAATAAAATAGAAAAAAACAGTGTTTATGATTGATACATTATATTAATCAATATTATTTTATATATTTTACAATAATGAGAAACATTAGACCCGGCTTTAGTTATTTTGTTTTTCTCCATTTTATGCAACAGGTTCTTTACGAGTAAAAATATTTTTAGTTAGAGTTAAATATTGGTACAAATGTATACTTTTTTTATATATTTGCGTGTTATTATTGTCTCTCAATGATTTTACCTGAATTTGCTAGATTTTATAATAACATATTTTAAGTTTAACTTATTGTTATTTAGTTATTATGTCATTGATTTAAATGTGTTTAGTATTATTTTGTTTGTTAGTTTATTTCATCATAATTTCCTAAGTATATGAACTTTCAATATTGTCCTTTTTGCAACAGATTGTGGAAATCCTTCACCGGCTTTTGGTTCTACAAATGACACAGACTTTATATATGGTACTGTGCTGGGAATTACATGCGCCACTGGATATGTCATAACCGGAAGTCCATCTATTTCTTGCACGGCTAATGGAAGCTGGAGTGATAATGCCAATTGCGTACCTTTTGGTAAATACTTCGTGCTATTTACTTTTTGTGAATACTTTTATACAAATAGACACATAAATGTTGGCATTCGAGATGGGAAGAAAGGGAGATCCCTCAAGTGCAATGAAATAAAAGAAGAAGTTGAAAACTGCAAAACTTTAAAATTTGATAACAAAGAAAGTGTAACATGCAGACTTTCCCATGCAGTGGCTAGAGCTGTTTTCAAACCATTGCACCTGAAATATTTATGTGTTGATCACGAATGACTCTATACACATATAACAAACCGGAGACGAAGTACAGGGCAATTTGTACGCCGAACTAAAGTAAATTCTTTATTAAGAATAAGTTGTAAGCAACTTTGCATACAAAAACAACTACGATATTGTCATATGTTATATTACAATTTTGTTTTTAAGTAAAACGTTTTTGGTGATACGGTATAAAGTCTGAAAAAAATCATAACATGTGTCGTACGCATGTAGAAAAATGTTATCACACTCATTGGCATGTTTTCAGATTGTGGAAATCTTACTATTGTAAACGGCCAGTTTACTGCTTTGTCGGGGACAACATTTGGTCAAACAGCCAACCAGTCATGTGACGCTGGTTATGTCATTTCTGGTCAAGATGTAGCCATATGTACAATGACCGGGTGGAATGCACCCGCTGTAGTATGTACTGTTGTCGGTATGCATAATGAATTCTCTAATTATAATGCAAAACGAAAAAAAAGAAATTCTGAAAGACGTGCTTAAAGGATTAGTTAGCCATTAGACAGAAACTAGGAAATATGAAAGCGATAAGCAACAGGCTTGTATCTAACATCTTAACAAATTAATATACTTTTGAATACTGATAATTGGAAGCTTGCTTGGTTTGTATTTGTTAGTTAGCTTTACTGCCGATTTTAGCACATGTTTGGTTTTATTTCTGCGGCGTCCGGTCCAACTTATCGACTATCTTGGACAACTTACTGGTAGTTACCAATTTCTCTACAAGCGACTGACTACATATCTCACGCAGTCTGGTCAGGATCCATGTATCAGTTTCTTTACTTGTTATGGAGTATGTACGCGAAAAACATGGATCCTGACATCCTGAACAGCATCTGAATCCATGCTGGTCGCAAACCCATTATGTTTGTTTCGTCATGGCGCGGCTCAATGTCATGACTGTTAGACTCAATGACCGAGTAGAATTCGCCTTGCCCGAAGATTAAACCAGCAACCTCTAGAATTCAAATACCATGCTTTCCCTTTTGAGTTTCGTACGCAATCGTGTTCCCGAATGCAGTCTTCCAAATACTTTAAGCTTAGTTGAAATAATTAACTTCAGTAGGTATATGTTGCATTTCGATTTATGCAAATTAGAGATATTCATTAAATACAATTATCATTCCTCTTCATGGTCGAAATCAAGTCAATCATATCATTTTGAAATATACAACTATATGCGTGCATTATCTTTTTTTATTCAAGACTGTTTAATGCCCACTGTTGCAAATGGGACAATCGCCGACACACCAAATGGCACAACATTCAATGAAACGGCTATTATATCCTGCATTGATGGGTTTAAACTCAATGGAAGTTCAACTGTAACATGTGAGGATGACGGAAACTGGTCAACACTTCCAACATGCGGTATCAGAGGTACAAAAGATTCTGTGACATGATTTATTTTTCATTACTATTTAATTGATGATACATGACAAATTTTTAAGTAATCGCACTGTCTGGATCATGTGATTTAGTGCATGCATCATGTAGTTTGCAAGGGTATTGATATAACTCATTACAGAATTGGAGCAGTTCCTCTAACCGCTTGCGGAAATCATGAATCGTTTTTATTCGCCGATTCTTATATTTTTCATTCATTATTCTATATAAATTGTCGTGAACAGACTGATTAGACATGTAAGGGTGCATTTTTGCGGGTGAAAAGGGGGAGATTATAGCATTTATTAATTCAAGCGCCTTGTCCGGTATATACCGGAGTTCGGTATTAAGCTAGGTACTCCATCACCAGTAAAGCTGGAACGTCGCGATACGACCTATACTGTGTCGATGTGACGTAAAACCCAAAACAAGACAAAACAAATTAAGTGAGGTGCTTCATCACCTTTTAGTCTCACTCGTTTGCAAATGATAATTAATTGTTGTTGTTGTTTTTTGTTGTTGTTCTTTAGCTTTTTGTGTTTTTGTTTCTTTTTTGTTTTAATAATTTAAATCTTTTGTTAATTCGTCCTTTTAAACATGTGTAGGTTACGGAAAATATTTTCTATTGACTTCTATTGACTTCTCAGTTCAGTATTGTCTCCTTTGTTCGTAATAAGTTAACTCATGGACTGTGTTTTTTGTTTTATTATATGTGACTTTTTCCCGGCACTTGTTTTCATTTTTTGTATATATAAAGATATTCTAGTCATTTTACTTATTTCCCAGTATCAGTCATAGTGTTATTACTTGACCTTTACTTATTATAACGCAAAAATATTATAATTATAAATACATACTGTCATTAAATGATAGATTGTGGTCCAATCACTGTTGAAAATGGAAATGCAACAACTTCACATATCGGTGCAACACTAGTTGGAGATACGGCTGTGGTGTCGTGTAGTGTGGGATACATTGCTTCCAGGATCTCAATATCGTGCCTTCCATCTGGACAGTGGGAAAACGTGACATGCAGGATAATAGGTTACTGTATTTTGTAACTGACATACTGTTTGTAAATGTCTAATTAAACATATATAGCTTGATACATAATATTAAATATTGAAATTAAGAGTTATGCGTGTATGAAATTGCGAAATTAAGAATTGAAAACTTAAATGGTAAAATTTTAAGTATTTTTAACAAAATTGACTGTTTAGATAAATAGCTTGAAAAGTTATATCTCTGCTGTTGCTAGCTATTGTACTCTGGAGTACTATCGCAAAAAGGGAAAAGTAACAGGATATTTACCTAATTGTTGAAATTATAGTTCTACATAATTGGCCGCGACCCGAATTAATACACATACATTTAACTCAGATCTTCGGCACGAAGTTGAGCTTGAGATATCAGATAAAGTTAACACTAAAAAAAAGTATACCTTGATGCCTAGTGTAAATGTAAGCACAATTAGGCAATCTGAGACAACTTCGGCTCGACAACAAGAGTTGTCACTTTGGACTTCTCAGCTTGGCATCGCTACGACTTCCTATACAAAAGTTATCGGATTAAAATTGTACTGCTACTACTAGTGGTATAGAGATTGCTAAAAATCAGTCGAGAATCCTCGTATTGTGTAAAATACAATCGGGTAGATATAAAGAAATCATCTTGGAGCTTGGTTATATAGTTGTTTAATTTGTTTTGGTATTTCTGTTAATTGGCTTGTCGCATATAATCGGATCATCTTTGGAAAAACTGCTTCCAAAACGACATAAGTTCCATAAGCATTAGAATTAATGTTTACTTTCAGATTGCGGAAATCCCCAAATTATTCTTCATGGATTTTTCTTACTTTTGACTGATACGGTTACAACATACGGTTCATCAGCCAAAGTTGTTTGTGATGAAGGATATGGAAGTAAAAAACAGAATATATTATGTCAATCAAACGGGATGTGGGAGACAGTATCTTGTATTAAAACAGGTATTACATTTTTATTACGAACAAAAATTAATGTTGTTTGATACATGTACCTTGATAAGTGAAATATTTACGACATGGAATATTTCATTACATTACATGTTCAATGAATTATTTTGAAGATTTCCACAAAATAAAGAACCTTCTTTTTTGTGTTTGTATTGTAGGTATTTCTCTCAATTGATCGTGTGCAAATGAAAGATGAAATAAATTATGGTATTTTAAGTATGAAATCTCTTACAAAATGGTTTAAGCATCATAATTGATATAGTATATAGATATAATTCAGAAGATATGTTTACGCCATTTATTGTAGATGACCAAGGTGTCTCTACGACCATTCTTGTCTCCGTCTTAGTGAGTGCAGTGATCGCCGTCACAGCTGCCGTTGGTTTGGTAGCTTTATGGAACGTAATTCCTAAGAATCAAGTACCAAAGCCAACTTTTGAGGTACAAACTTGTTTTTATTATACACCAGATATACAAGGATATAATATGATTTTTTAGTGTTTATTTGCAAGTTTTATTGCAGCTGTTTAAAACATTGAAATTGTTGTTTTTTTCATATTATTAAAAAATGATGCAGAATCAAAGTTAAATTTAGGCACGTGAACATAATTGTTAAGGAAAGAGCATAGTTTTTCTTTTATTTCTGCCTGATGTATAAAGAATAATGATTAATGATATAAGTTTATGTTTTCGCGCTTATTAAAAGATACATCAATTAATAAAATTTACATACTTGTACTTATTGACGATAGTATTTAAAAATATCATATTGAAGGCCTTAACCATATGTTACTAAGTCTTCATGAAACAGTGACCAATGACCTTCATGAGAAAAAACGATCCAATTATCTTTTATTATAAGAATAATGTAAATTAATAAAACTAGAAATGTGTCCATAGGACACGGGTGCCCCCACGGCGCCACTGTTATGTCAATCTTTTCACCAAGTCAAGGGAAATAACTCTACAAATACTGGATAAATCCACAAGCGAAACCCCAGGTGCAAATCTAAATATAATGAGCAACCTGCCCATAAGGTTTAATGACTATGTCAAATCCTTTTTGAGTAACTTGGGACACAAGTTGAAAATTGCAAAAAAAATCTTAGTGAAGGGCAATAACTCTAAAAATAGTAAATAAATCCAGACGAAAATACCTGGTGCACAACTGCATTTGCTGATCAATATTCCTGTAAAGTAACATGATTCTAGGTCAAATACTTTTTAGTTACGTGTGATACATGTTGAAAATTGCAAAATTTTACTAAGTCAAGGGCAATAACTCTAAAAATACTAAAAATATCCACACGAAAATACACAGGTGCACAACTACACATTCTGAGCAACATTCCTGAAAAGTTTCATGACTCTAGGTCAAATACTTTTTGAGTTGCGTGTGACACAAGTTGAAAATTGCAAAATTTTACTAGGTCAAGGGCAATAACTCTGAAAATACTAAAAATATCCACACGAAAATACCAAGGTGCACAACTACACATGCTGATCAACATTCCTGTAAAGTTTCATGACTGTAGGTCAAATACTTTTTGAGTAACATGCGACACAAGTTGAAAATTGCAAAATTTTACTAAGTCAAGGGCAATAACTCTGAAAATACTAAAATTATCCAGACAAAAATACCCAGGTGCACAACTACACATGCTGATCAACATTTCTGTAAAGTTTCATGACTCTAGGTCAAATACTTTTTGAGTTACGTGCGACACAAAAGTGAACGGACGGACGGAAGGACGGATAGACAGACGGACGGACAAGGGTAAATCTAAATGTACGCCACTAACGTGGGGGCACAAAAAATAGATAACAGAACTTTATAACGGTATCTCAAATTGATAAGAAGCTCAAAATGACAATAAGCTTGCTTGATTTGTCATTTATGACCCTCCCCACTCCTCAAATACCCGATTAATATTTATTTGTACAGTTATTTACAACGTCTGTGCAAGTACGTATGACATGGAACGTGTGTCCGCCCGGTATGACATTAAACACGTCCGCCCGTTATGTCATAGAACATGTTCAACCGCTTAGCTCAGTAGAGAGAGCACGGATTCGATCCCAGGGAAAAGAATCAGATACGGAAATCATGAGGAAAAATAGTCGGTCAGTTGCAGATTAACTGGTAATTGCCAGTTAGTTATCCAGGAAGGCTGGTTCGATAGAATGCCCGTCTGGATATGAATATATAAAAACTTAGCGATAAAAAAAAGAAAACGTAATTACATTGTAAAATTGAGTAGAGAGAAAAGTTGATCTTCGTTGCCATACTGTTAGAAACGAAAACAAAATTGTCTGACATAGAAATATCTATTTTAGCATTTTTTATTTCTATATCACTTAAAGACTGAAACCACACTATATGAAATCTGTTTTCACAAACTATTTTTGTATTTCAGAAATCTGTTGAATCAGGGGTATCGCTGGTTTGGAACAGTAAAATTAATGCAATGAAAGAGGAAAACACTTATGATTTGAACTTCGATGGATATCATTACAATGGAAAACTTTGAATACATGCTTTAATGCAGAATTCGGAAGAAAATCAACACGACGTTTATCTTCACACTGCCGCCATGTGGACACACGGTTGCTTCCCGTTATGATTAAAATCAGCATGGTACCTGAAAGAAAAAAATATGTTTTAAAAGCTTATGCATGATTAAATGAGAGAACATATATACGTTCTCATATATGAACGTTATTATATAGATTGCGGACATCAGACATTATTTTCAACTATTTACGAATTCTAATATTTTTTTTTTGTTAAAGTTCATAAAATTTTTTTCTTTTACCAAATAAATATGTAACATTATGCTTAAAGTGAATTATGTTTTCGTTCATATGTATGTAACAATTTTTTTACAATGATCGGTATTTTATTTGATAACAGATTATAGCACGAGGAAAGAGTGCTGTTACATTTTTTCTTACCTCGTAAAACTTGCACTTTAAGACATTAAAAATCTTATATCTATTATTTTTTTATGTACACTTTCTACTTTGAAACGTGCTTGTGTTTTTTTGTTTGTTTTTGTTTTTGTTTATTTTTTCATAAATGAAAACATATTTATAAATGTTTTAAGCAAATTTATCAATCTCTAGACGTTTACGTATACTCTATAAAGTTTTTTTTCCAACGTGTATCCTTTGTTTATTCTGATAATCAATACAATATGAGTTATGTTTGTTAGTTTGTAAAATGTATATCTGTTTATACGAAATGGAAAATAAAAAGGTAAATAAAACAACAACAAAATCTTTAAAAATAATCTTAAATTTTATAAAATTGCCTTAAGTTTTATATATTGTGGAGTATAATAAACATGCTGTGTTATCTGTTACTACGATCAAGTACGATGATATCAAGATATACGAGCCGCGTCACGACAAAACTAACGTAATGCGTTTGCGACCAGCATGGATCCAGACCAGCCTGCGCATCCGCGTAGTCTGATCAGGATCAATGATGTTCGCTATCAGTTTATCTACTTGTAATATAGTTGTAAGCGATCCTGATCAGACTGCGCGGATGCGCAGGCTGGTCTGGATCCATGCTGGCCGAAAACGCATTATGTTGATTTTGTCGTGACGCGGTTCATATACTTGTTTAACGTATTTACTATCCTAAGTTATCATAAACCGACTAAAACATATAATACATATGAAAAACATTTTGCAACGTTTGTGGTGGGTTTATTCCTTGTCTACTTCAAGTTAAAATTAATTCTTTTATACACTAACAAATGCACAGTAGCCACAATTATAAAGGAAATAAAAGGATTACATACTTGTGTACGAATATGATATCTATACTATGTATGTAAATTTTCCCCATTAGTTTTTGAGAGGTTTCAAAACAAGTTATGGAGAACAATTAACCGGAAATTATTGCAGGCTTAATACTTTGCATCTCAACATGTTGTTCAAGGGTAATAATATGTTCCTTGAATGAAATTTGTTTCAATCATGAATAGTTGATCAAACAATCATGGTTGTAAGAAAATGTCTTTTCGGAGTTTTAATTTGTTTGTGTTTCTATTTTGGAAAAGGTATTCAGTAACAATTTATTTCCAGTATTTTTTAAATAATGATAAATTAATAAATATATATTTTGTAAGAAAATAGTTTCTGTTGTTATAAGTTTTTTTTTTAAAAAGAAAAAATGCCAATATTGTATTCACTAAATATTAAAACTAGCACCAATTTTAATGTTGGAAATTAAGTACAATATTCTCAAACAAAAAAGAATTATGTTTTATAAAGTGTATTCGGAGATCGATTTTCTAATTTAAAATAAACTTAACAGGTTATATATATATTTGAGCCGCGTCACGACAAAACCAACATAATGGGTTTGCGATCAGCATGGATCAGCGGATGCGCAGGCTGGTCAGAATTCATGCTGGTCGCAAACGCACTATGTTGGTTTTGTGATGTCTCTGCTAATTTATTTCTTATAATTATCTAAATGTTGTTCCAGGACAAGTCGTCGTTTCATTCGAAATGTTACAGAATGAGACTTTTTGTGACCTCAAGAACGTGAATATTACTTGCGATAATAATGAGATGATTGCCATCGAATCTCTGAACTTCTATTATCATCCAGATTGTAACAATACGTGTTGTAGCTTTAATTACAGTCATCATAATGTCGGAGCAAACAACAACGATTTCCAGAATATTCGTCGTAATTGTTCAGGAAAATCTAGCTGTGCTGAAGACCTAAATGGAACTCGACAGTTTGGATCGATTGGTGAAGAATTACCTTCCTACGTGGTGCTGAAATATTACTGTATACCTAGTAAGACTAAGCAACTTTCTAGTAGTACTATAACATAATGATATATTTGACACTTATATTTTCAGGTTGAATTTTATGTAAATATTTTAAGCGTATCTTATACATACAGCCATAAATCAAAAGATTTATTTTCATTCTTATTGTGTATTTGTTTGAAACAAACATCTGCAATAAGGAGAGTGTGGTGTTTACTTCCTGTTATCGTCAGAAAAAAAACCTATTTTGAATTTTCCACCTCATTCTCCATAACATCCATAAGTAGTTTGTCATTTTTTTTATTTAACATGTAGATAAAGAAGTAAAAAATTGTGCTGAAATATTACTGTATACCTAGTAAGACTAAGCAATTTTCTAGTAATAATATGATATGATATCATTAACACTTATATTTTCAGGTTTAATTTCATGTAAATATTTTAAGCGTACCTTACATATACCTCAGGAAATCAAAATATTTTTTTATTCTTATTGTGTATTTGTTTGAAACAAACATCTGAAATATAAAGAGTGTGATGTTAACTTTCTGTTATCGTCAGAAAATTTTGAATTATAAGTTTCTACCACATTCTCCATAACATCCATAAGTAGTTTGGTAAGAAATTCAGTCATTTTTTCACTCAACATGTATATAAAGATGTAAAACATTTTTTTTAAATTTCATTCCCCCATCCCTAATGACAATTGAGAAGTAATTTCCGCGTCTATTATGTTTTATGAGCTTTTTGATTTTATGAAACCACAAAAAAATGTGTTTGCATGGTGAAATGCTTATGCTCAGTTAAGATAGCTAAGATCGGATAACAACCATGATTAAGGAAGATGTATTCATAGAATAACCGTTTTATTCTGAAGACCTAGACCACATGCTGAACGCTATAAAATTTCGTGCCACTGTTGATAACTGTATTACTGCATCAATGTTCCCACAATGCATAAATTGTAGTGACAGCGAGCTGTTATGAGAATGATCATAATACCAACCCATTCCTTACACCGTTTCTAGGAATATGTTTCAAAAATGAAATTCCTTTATTTGTTTAGAAAACAGGACATCAACAATTTGCTCTGATGGAGTGCTGGAGTCAACTGGACATCCGCTGTACTTAACAAACGAAAATTATCCATCGCTTGCTACTGGCAATAGCACTTGCTCATGTTCCATAGAAGTCAACTCTTGCGCATCGAATATAACTTTGTCCATGTTTGATGTAGACTTTAACAACCATCCAGCGACCTGTGAACAAAGTATTGAGCTTAAAAATGGAGCGGATGATGTGTTGAAACAGATTCTTTGCAATAGTTACAATAAGAACAACAGTATAATGGTCGAACAGATCACGTCACATTATCTGAAGATAGATTTTATTGACAATTCCTTACAAGACCAAGGTCACTTTTTTGTTGGATTTGCAGGTACCATTACGGAATGATAATAACAATTTCAGCACTGATTCCATTTAAAGATATTTATAAGTTTAACAATATTTTATTACAATTTTGTAACATATAAAATGTGTATTATAATAGAAAACAAATGTTCATTAGTATAGTGCAAATGGATTGGCCTAAAGTTAGTACAACATTATCTTTATCCTTCCCCACTTAGTTCATAATATATAATGTCCGGATGCTTTTGTGAGAAAAACTTCAAATAACTAACTGAAAATGGAAGTGACAATGAAAAAATAAATATTATAATTTCGAAAAATTATATAGATTAAACTAATAGTTGAAGCACACACACGCGCACGCACGTGCTTACACACAAACGCACACACAAAACTCTTGAGGAAAAGGATAAAAACACACAGTCAAATGTAATTTTAATTCACGAGAATTGTCGATATTATGACTTTGTGTTTAAAATTTCGTGTCGATAGACAATCTCCTTCAAATCCAGACACTTTACTTACAGCTTCAGCGTTTCAAAACATTGTTGTCTGCTTATTGCTATTTACAAACAAGTTTCATGAAAAACAAGCATACTATAATATTTACCGTGATTAAAATATGTGTACATGTATATGTTTATATTGTAAATAACACAATTTCATGTCATTTTAAAAAACACTTAACTTATTTATTTCAGCATCTGAGGAAAATGTATCATTCAGTCTAAGATGTCCTTACCAGCGGGAAACAATCTGCCTTCGTAAGTACTTATCTTCAGGATAAATTTCCTCTGAAGTAGATAATAAGAAGTTTTCATATCTTGATGAAGCTATTAAGTTTTGAGTCTTGGTTAGAAGCTGTAAATTCGCGAGTGTATGTTAAATATGAAATATTAATTCATTTACACATACAAAACTACAATTATGAACGCACTGTAAAAAGGTAAAAGGTTTAAAATAATATTATTGATTGTAACAGTCATTTTTATATGCCGGAAAGAATTTCGGGCATATTATGATATATACCCCCTGAAGTCCGTCTGTCTGTCCGTCCGCACTCACAGGAGAGTAATTATGTGGCTAGAGGGACAATAGGTAACTGTTCTTTCTCTTTGATGTCATTCATTCCGTAATGCTTTTATGTGGCTATTTTCTTTTGTGTGGCTAAAAAGAACAATAGAGAGAACAATAGAATAGCCACATAATTACTGTCCTGTGAGAACTTCCGTCCGTCCGTCCCTCCGTTAGCAATTTGGTTTCCGGAGCATAACTTAAGTTCCATTTGGCCCACATTATTCAAACTTCATAGGATGATTGTCCATATTGGGTAGAAGACCCCTATTGCTTTTGGGATCACAAAGTCAAAGGTCAAGGTCACTATAAATTAATACTGAAATCAGTTTCCGGAGCATAACTTGAGTTCCATTTATCCCACAATATTCAAACTTCATAGGATGATTGTCCATATTGGGTGGAAGACCTCTATTTGTTTTGGAATTACAAGGTCAAGGTCACTATTACCTTTAAACTGAAAACAATTTCCGGAGCATAACTTAAGTTCCATTTGGCCCACAATATTCAAACTTCATAGGATGATTGTCAATATTGGGTAGAAGACCCCTATTGATTTTGGTGTCACAAGGTGAAAGGTCAAGGTCACTATTACCTTACAACTGAAAACAGTTTCCGGAGCATAATTTAAGTTCCTTTTGTCTCAAAATATTCAAACTTTATAGGATGATTGTCCTTATTAGATATAAGACTCCTATTAATTTGGGGGTCACAAGGTCAAAGGTCAAGGTCAGTATTACCTTGAAACTGAAAACAGTTTCCGCTGAATAACTTAAGTATTAATCAACCTACAGCTGTAAAATTTTAAAGGATGAACAGTCCAATACATGACCTCTATTGATTTTAGGGTCATAAGGTCAAAGGTCAGGGTCACAATGATCTTTACATTGAAAATTTGTGGTTGCTGGAGAATAACTTAAGTTCCATTTGGCTCACAGTGTTCGAACTTCATAGGATGATTTTCAATATTTGGTATAAGACCCCTATAGATTTTGGGGTCACAATGCCAAAGGTCACTATTGCCTTAAAACTGAAAACAGTTTCCGCTGTAAATTTTAAAGGATGAACAACCATGTCCAATATTTCCATCCGTCGTAGCATTTTGACTTACAAGATAACAACTTGATGGTGGTGCTTTAGAAACAGCAACTGTATTTATATGAAGGTTCTTCAGCTATAAAGGAGGATTGCTTTTTGAAGGAGGTAATACTTAATTTAATTTTCCCATGTCTTACAAATGCTTCATCCTTACTAAAAAAACACTTTCAGGCATATAATGCTCCGCCTAGCGGTGCTCTTGTTAGACTTGTTTGGCTTGACCTTATAGGGTGATACGTTCCGTGAACAGTGATCTCCATTTTGAACTTTTCTTTTTATTTATATTCTATTCTTGTATTTGTAAATTTCATGGAACGAAATTAATAGTTACTAAAACAGATATGACTCATACTTCAATCAAATCGAGCCTGCAACATTTACCACTTTGCCGTGTTTGGGCGTTCTAGAAGGATACTTTATTTTCCTTTTTTATACCTTGATTAGGTATTATTCATAAAGCATCGACTTATGAATTCCTTTAGTGAATATCATACCTTGACAATTACCTATTACACTGATAAATATTTATATATATCGCAGAATGTGAAAACATGGTTGTCATTCCCCATGGAGATATGGTACTTCATGACGATGAGAACACAAGCGAAGGTGCCCTTGCTAATATAACTTGTGACGATGGATATGATTCAGACAAACCCACCATTGAATGCTTGAACAATGGAAAATGGGAAAATGCTACATGTCATCCAAAAGGTTTTTGTCATTTTACCTTGATAATTGTTATAGACCTTTAAACAATGCCTTTATTATTATCACAATCAAGCTTCTTTTTTGTTACACATATCTGAATGACTGCCCGCTGCCCTTGATTAGAATGATAAAAACCTACTGGTCTGTTCTTACACTATTAACATACTACGGCATTTGTGCCGTATTTAATTTCTAGTTAACATGGACGGTATCGTAAATATTTATTAATGTAATTACGTATTAAATATCGGGAAATATCATTGGTGCCATCCATGGATACGTCTATGAATTCTGGTATGAAGTGTTTACCTTAGGACTGTCACTATTTAGTTTTTCCCTCCTATAGCAACATAATAGTTGGAGTTTAATCGGTCATCAAACGTGCTTATTACGCTTATGCTTAACGTCATTCAAATTAAAGCGATGCTGCTGCTTTCGAATTGTAAAAATCTACAGTTATATATACGTTCCAGATTGTGGAAATGTATCAGCCATATCAAATGGCAAGTATGAACTGAAAGACGAGGCCAATACAACATTTGGTGCTATGGCGACTGTAACATGTGTTAAAGGATATGAGTCGGACACTAATATAATCACATGTTTAGATAATGGACAGTGGTCCGATTCCACGTGCACTGCTAAAGGTTAGTGGTTATTTGCTAAATTAAATAATAAATGTTCGACTACGTTACAATTTATTGCAATGTGCTTTCTGTTACTTTGTTCTTGTGACCTTTGTTTTATTAAGTTAAAATGAATTGAACGATCGTGCACTGGTTAACAAATATATGTTTTACATTATAAAGTTTACAGTTACCTTTGCATGAAGATACCGATAGAGTGACCCATTTTAAAAGACGGTAGAAGATTTCTAACAAAAATCATATATTTCTTAATTTTAAGTTTCGGATTTAAAAATGAATTGCGGCATTTATAATTATAAAGTGTAAATCACCACACACGATGACAAACATGTCATACTCATTTGAAATAGATGATTTTTTTTTAATTTCAAACATTAAGGAGTATAAAGGAAAACAATAATGACTTCTATCTGATTAGTTGATATAAAGTTGTGTATATTCAAGATTGTGGCAATGTCTCTGCGTTATCAAATGGCATATATGTGCTAGACGACGAAGGCAATACAACATTTGGCGCTGTTGCGATTGTGATATGTGACAAAGGATATGAATCTGATAGTAATATCATCATGTGTTTAGATGTAGGTCAGTGGTCAAACTCGTCATGCACAGTCAATGGTAAGCAATTATTACGATCATTTTTGGAATTGCTGATAATATTATTATTCATATATAATTCAATATAACCTTTTACTTGCGATGACAGAATAAAACACGGCTACAATAAATTTGATCGTTCAACATTGATTAATGCAAATATGCATGAAACTTTACAAACAAATGGTGATATGCCTTTAAAACGCAGTTGCTTGCGATGCTATTAGAAATGGCAAGCATGAGTGAAAAGTAATAACTAAGAAAATCGTAAAGTTTTATTGCTTTTAAATGTTTATAACGCTTTATGCACCCGGCGATGGTGGCAATGAGAGCAATGTTACATTAAGAAGCAGTATAACAAAATTTTGGTTTAGGTTATATCACTTAAGTGATATGAAAACAACAAAAAAGTACAAACTTTATCGCCGCAGTTTGATCGTGTCTGTTCATAAAATACTGCTTGTCTCGACCTATGCATGAATCAACAGACAATGGTATGCACATTTCTGTTTAAATGAACAAATCTGTGTTTGCATTTTCAAGATTGTGGAAACATCTCTACTATATTACACGGCAAAATTGTACTGAAAGACAAGGCCAATACAACGTTCGGTGCCATGGCAACTGTGATATGTGACAAAGGATACGAATCCGTCAGAAACAATATCACATGTTTAGATAACGGACAGTGGTCTAGTGCATTATGTTCTGCCAAAGGTGAATACATTGACGAAAATGAAATGAATGTTTTCTAAATCAGAGACAAATATAATATTTCTTAAGAGGTTATAAAAAAATAGCGATAGCATCTAGTGTTTTCAAGTTATGGAACCGGAATTTATATACGTGACTTGGAAATGACATTAACAAATTAGATCTCCTTAATTTGTACTTAAAAAAGAACTAATGTCTGGCTTAAGTACAAGAAACATAGCTAAATTATATAGAAATATTGATCAATAAACCATTCAGAGATTGTTCATACATTAAGTAGAATGATTGATTAAGTTAAAACCATTTTTTATCAAAATATTTACACAGCAACGCTTGATTTCATAAATGGATCATTTCTAAACGCTACAATATTTAATTTAACACTATTTTGCATGTCCTTATTATCATTCTACCGGAAATCAAGTTAAAACCTATTGTCACATGTTTTCAAGATTGTGGTAGTGTCTCAGCTATATCGAATGGCAAGTATGTCTTGGAAAACGAGGACAATACAACTTTTGGTGCTATGGCAACTGTGATATGTGACGAAGGATATGAGTCCGACAGTAACGCTATAACGTGTTTAGAAAATGGTCAGTGGTCGAGGGCATTATGCTCTGCCAAAGGTAAATAAAATGACGAAAATGTAATGAATATTTTACTAAAACTATGACAGTGACAATTTCATCATGTCTTAATAAGCTATAATAAATCGCGCTTTAAGAGATAACATCTTTTAAGTTTATGAACCGGAATTTATATACGTGGCTTGGAAATGACGTGAACACACTAGATATCCTTGATTTGAATTAGGAAAAAATACTATTAGGTAAATTATTCGGAACTGTTTATATAGTAAATGAAATAATTGATTACGTTTAAACCATTTTGTAGCAAAATGTATACACATCAACAATATGTTTTCATAAATGGATAATTTCTAAACGCTAAAATATAAATACTATTTTGCATGTCCTTATAATCAATCTACCGGAAATCATGTTCAAAACTATTGGATTATTTATAATGTCACATGTTTTCAAGATTGTGGCAGTGTCTCAATTATATCAAATGGTAAGTATGTCTTGGAAAACGAGGACAATACAAGTGTATTCATACTATAAGCAGGTCAATAAACTATTGTGAATTATTACAACGTTATATGTTTTCAAGATTGTGGCATTGTCCCAACTATATCAAATGGCCGATATACTCTGGAAGACGAGGGTGTAACAACATTTGGTGCCATGGCAACTGTGATATGTGATGAGGGATATGAGTCCGACAGTAACGCTATCACGTGTTTAGAAAATGGTCAATGGTCGAGTGTAATATGTACTGTCAAAGGTAAACACTATGTTTTATTTTCATTCGATATAGATTTCTTAATAAATGCTGTTTAAAGTTGAGAAAATATGTGCAAATGTTTGACTTGATGAATGTCACAGACATAATTGCAGTTTTCTTTTCATATGAAATCAAACATACTTAATGGAACAAAAGTAAGTTTAAATTTATTATTCGGTCATTTATACATGAAATATACATGCACCACGTTTAACAAATTAATGTATAAAGTAAGGCAAATGTTATATATTATTGATATTATTAAATTCACTTGCAGTATTATTTACACTATGTCGTCAATATGTTAATAAATGAATATCATAAAAATGATTATGTATACAAATATGTATATTACCGTAGTTCTTTTGATAAATGCATAAGAAAACGCAAATACTATCCGGAATCTGCTTCAAAATAGTTTGATTTGTTCACCATAAAAAAAACAACTGATAAAAGATTACGCAGCATAGGTTATTTTTCATATAATTTTAATTCACATACTAGTGTATTAGCACGTCAATAAACTATTGTGAATTATTACAACGTTATATGTTTTCAAGATTGTGGCATTGTCCCAACTATATCAAATGGCCGATATATTCTGGAAGACGAGGGTGTAACAACATTTGGTGCCATGGCAACTGTGACTTGTGACGAGGGATATGACCCCGACAATAACACTATCACGTGTTTAGGAAATGGTCAGTGGTCGAGTACATTATGTACGATCAAAGGTAAACGATATTGACTTTTAAATTAGATTTATATAAAATTAGTGTTAGATATCTTAACAATTAAAGTTATACTATTGTCATATTAAATAAATGAATTAAATTAAACATAATAACATTCTTATTATGTTTTCATTTATAAGCAATTGGCAAATATTTACCTTACAATACAAAACCTTTATAGATTAAGACAAAATAACAAAAACAAAACACTTTTGGACATCTTTTAATGTTATAGATTGTGGAAATGTACACCAAATTGGTTTTGGTACAGTAACACTTTCATCTAGTGTTACAACCTTTGGAGCTGTCGCTACTGTAGCTTGTGAAACTGGTTATACCGCATCTCTTTCCACTGTAGAATGTCTTAGTACAGGAAAATGGGAGGCGGCTACATGCAATATTATAGGTGTGTTTTGATTACTGTTTATATTTTAAATTCCACTGATTTACCTTTGTATGTCTAATTGAATGTAAGTTAACGGGGGACTTACAAACGTTTCAATTGTGTTCTGTTGGGTGAACCATACGGTTTAGACTTTGACTATTTAATATCAAAATTGAAAGGTAAAGAAAAGGGTATTTATAAAGAGATTCCACTATACATTCATGCCGATAAGTGTTCACATTATGCTAACATATTTTTATAATGATCTTCTTAATGACTAATCTTTGCACTATATGTATATAAAAATAGTAAGTGTATATTTAATGAAATTATATTATTAAGCCAAAATCTTAAACGCTGGTCACAGTTACATGTATATACACATACTTGTAATCTACATCAAGCATATTTGCACAGTCACATTTTTTTAGCCATTCTTTAAACGTTTGAAGAATATTATTTGTATATGAATTGCTTCAGATTGTGGAAGTTTATACCAAATTGATAATGGTACAGTGTCCCTTTCATCGATTTCATCGACTGTAACAACGTATGGGACTGTCGCTACTGTAACGTGTGATGCTGGTTTTAATGCGTCCCAATTAGCTATACAATGTCTAAGCACAGGGAAGTGGCAAGTTGCAACATGCAATAAAAAAGGTTGGTTGCTGAGATTTTTGGGAATACACAATACCATAGTTTATCTGCGTTTAGATAAAAAAAAATCTTGTTTTGGGGGATGATCATGCCTTTATACCTCAGTGAAGGTCCTTTTACGTTGTTTTTTTATGATTTTGGTCTACATCACATAAACCAATACGATAAAGGTAATCGTGACCGCCTTCATCTTCTCTATTACGATAAGAACATTTAGTTTACATTGTGTTCACTTGTGTTACATTCGAACTGCTGTTACATAAGTTAAGAACTCTGTTCGTTTGATTTATATATTTAATACACAATTTCTTTTATTTTGTTGAAGTATTTAATCTCTAGCAGTTGTTACTTACTATCAGTGCTGGAGTGGATTTCTGTTCCTTACGTTGTAAAGACAGTTTGAGTTTTGTTTGCCTTGACATTTTTTAATTGTTTAATTTCAATTTCAATATTTGGAATAATATCAAAAATCATCTGTACATATGATTAAATATTTTTTTTTAAAATTCTATTAAGACATGTTTCAAAGAAGATCGAATATGCGATATGATTGCTAAATGTCTAGATATTTATGTTAATTTTTGGAACCATAATATCTCATGCTACACAATGTAATGTATAGACTTGAAGCACTGTTTGAGTAGAGATTACACTTTCAGCAAGATGCCAAAATAGCTCTCATGATCTGGTACACTAAATGTTTTATCAATAGCATGAATTATACAACTGATGTATATCCTATTAAAGATTGCGGAGAGCCAGTGATTCAGTATGGCAGTGCTACATTAAAAGAAGTTTCAATATCAACTTTTGGTTCCGCGGCAGAAATCAAATGTCAAGAGGGATATCAACCGAAGAAAACGACAATAAAATGTGAAGAAACAGGCTTATGGGAAAGCAGTGCTTGCGAATATATTTCAGGTTATTTTTGAACATTATTTGTTTAGTATTGTTTTTGAGAAAAAATATTTCAAAAGAAGCATTTTAATATTATGTATTAATCTGAGAACACATCTTGTATCATTGCTAATGCTGCAGAAAGAGAACAAATATTTAAAGTATAATTATATTGTTATTATATTTCAGACAAGGGGAACGGCAGTACTATCGCAATAGCAATAATTGTATCGGCGTTGTTGATTGTAAGCATTGTAATTGTTGGTCTTGTCTACAAGAAACGGCAAAATCGGGGAAATATGTTTATAGATGGACAAAATACTAATAACATTAGGGTATGCATTTGAATCAGCAGGAATACAAGCTAATAGCTAAGTCATATTAAATGTACAGAGTCAAATATATTCAGCAAATTTCATTGTTTAGGATGTAAGTCTATATGACCGTAATCACTAGGCAAAAGTTATAAGACAAAATATCGTTAACATAAGGAGAGATACCGGTACATAGATATCCGAAATGCTTTTTTATGACGAAATATAAAAACTTCGAAAAAGGTTTCATAAACATGCAGCAATAGCTGTGTAAATACATTAATGACGGTTGTCACAATAATCGTCCTTACATTCTGCATTTCCTATACTATACTATACTATACTATAATGCCTTAAGCCTAAAAGAAACTTAGTTTGCCTTAATACTCAAGTAATGCTTATTAAACGAGTACTTGCACCAGTCATTAGATTTACAGTTTATATCTAGATATACTCGTATCTATCTTTATATGAATTGACACAAATATGAGTAAAGAAATAAGAAACTCTTATCAATATTACTTTCCAACTTTGTATCAATATTTTACAGAATGACCGTGTGTATTTCAAACCTACAGATGCTCTAGAAGATGAAGAAAGACATTATACAAATCTAAGTTTTAAAAACAAAACAGAAAATCCTTATGACGAATCTCTGGTAAAAGACGAAGGTGTCATCGACATGAAAAGCTTTCAAAATACGGTAATACCTCTCAAAGATTTAGATATAAATTTTTGTGTTACGGATGAGGTAGAGGAACAACGTCAAGACGCGAATATATCAAATGATGTTTGGAAGGATGGTGATCCTAAAGAGGACGAAAAGGTTCAAGAGCCTTGTGAAACAACTGAGGTTAATAAGGATGATCCAAATGGAGAGGTAAAGAATCTGGAATCCAGTGATAAAACAAGCAAGGAAGAGAATGATGTGAAAGGCGATATGTCTAAAGGAGCAAATGAATCTAGTGAGATAAGTGAACATAAACAGGAAGAACAAAATCAAGAGTCGAAGAATGAAACTTGCAGTTTAAACAGAAAAATCGATCTAGGGGATGATGTGAAAGGCGATTTGTCTAAAGGAGCAAATGAATCTAGTGAGATAAGTGTAAAGAAACAGGAAGAACATGAACAGAAACAGGACGAACAAAATCAAGAGTCGAAGAATGAAACTTGCAGTTTAGACAGGAAAAGCGATCTAGGGGATGATGACGACGGTGAAGAGTATTGCCCCACAAGTGATGAAGGTGAAATTGACGATCCATAAGTCAGCAGTTGGGTTAAACTCAATAATAAATTAGCAATACAGGTAACCAGATATTAGACAAACAAAATAAAAATCTGGTTAGAGGCGGGAGCAGAATGTGCTGGGTACAAACAGAAAACAGTTGGTTATCATGTATTCCGTTGAAATGTCAAAAATTAAGATTTAGGAAAGACCTTAACAAATTTATGAAGAAATTTGTACAAAAAGCATGGAAAACAATTTTAGTACCCTTTTTGATTCATAACTGTTACATATAATTGTTTATCTTATTTTATATTTTCATGAACTAATTTAAATGCTTCATTATTCATGTATGTTATGTGAAGAATGTTTTTAATTCGACATGACAGTTCCTTCTCTTATATGCAATTTCTTAAACTTCTGATGTCTGTATAAATGATGTATGAATGGTAAAAATGAAACAATGTTTAAAGATTTAATCGCAATTTCTAACTTTTCAACTTTGTAAAACTTTCCAACTTTATATTTCTTTCAGCTTACTGATCCAATATAAATTATCTTTATTCATGACAAAATGCTTTTGTTAACGCATTCCATGAAAACACCTCAAAATGTAGGCTTCCGAAAGAATTTTTGAGGAACCTAACAATAAATTATTAAAGTGTTACATACTATATCATATTAAATTTGATCCTCTACTGCTGTATTTCCTTCTTATTATACAAATACATAGTGTGTTTCGTCATGATGTTTTAAAAGGAGCTCCACTTTGGTTAAAAATCTCCCCTACGAAGCATGAATTACAACAAAATGGAAATTTTGGACTTGATTCAATTGAGTGTGTACATGAGGGGTTATGACAAAGTACATCACCCTCACGCCCCCTAGCACCGGCTTGATAAATTTTCAATACTTAAAAGTGTTGGAATCAATAATCCCGAAGGAACAGAAAAATGTAGCATCACTGAAGTGATGTAAGGGGCAACATTTTACACCTGCCACACAGCGATTGACACTGCTGTTGTGAAGCATAAAAATCTGGACAAAGTGTGATTCCTCGGAAGCATTTATCACAACAAATGACATCTTTGCATCGCATCTTTACATGAGGGATAATGACAAAGTACAACATCCCTTACGCCCCCTATTACTTGCTTAAGCGGTACTAAATTTTCAACATTTTAAAGTGTTGGACTCAATGATCCCTAAATACCAGGATAAAATAACATCACTAAAGAGAAGTACGGGGTAACTTTTTACAGCTGCCATACAGCAATTGGCACTTCTGTTGTGAAGTATAAAAATCTGGACAAAGTGTGACTCCTCAGAAGCATTTATCACAATAAAATACCATGAAAAATGCAAGTTTACATTAGGGTCAATGACAAAGTGCAACATCGCTCAAGCCCCCCCCCCCATTAGCACCGGCTTGAGCGGTACCCAATTTTCAAAACTTAAAAGTGTTGGTATCAATAATGCCGAAGGACAAAAAATATAACAACACTGAGCCGAATATCGGTAAAATTTGAATCCTCATATAAAGGTCACCTAGGACATTTAAATCGGCAAAAAGAAGCGATTGATTTTATGTTAATATACTAAGTATTAAGTTAGAAATCGTTTTATGTGATATTAAACCTGATATGATTTAAAAGCGTTAGAATACTTAATACCTGAGTTAATGTGCACATTTAAATGGTTTTCAACAAACAAACGGACAGAACGATTGTTCTGAAATTGTGCATACAAGTTATTGGTCCTGACCTACGTCTAATGGTATAGACCTCTTGAAAAGGTGAATCAAGTCTCTGTATACTCAATTATGAAAAAGCTTGCCACGTATTTTTACATCATACGAGAGTCCACCTCATGAAACAGATCAGTACTGGTGTCAAATTAGGAAGCATGGTCATGACCGCATTAACATGACCACTCTAATATAAGCAGCATACATTTCAAGGCCCGTTCAGCCTAAAAATGCATTTTCTATTTCTCAAAAGCTTTTTATTTTTGTTGTCCTGTTATATTTTTCAAAAGAATACTAACTGACCAAGTGCCTGAACAATGGCACATTTTGGCAATTAGTACAAATAAAGTGATTAATTATTTTGTATAGAAGTCAAAATAATTCTTTGTTTATATTTAGCTACTTTTATGACAATTGTTTTGCAAGTCAGCAATACTTTCTTCAGGTTGAAAACATCTTAAATGTTGTGAAGCCATTAATTTAACGTTATGAAACTCATCTTTGCCCTTTCTAAAGAAAAAAATGTTTACTGGTTTATGAGGCATAATGTGCGTTTCATCTGGAACTGAAAACAAAACAAAAGTGTCTTTGTCAATAAGGAAACAAAAAACGAAGGTAAACAGACGTAAATCGCTCAGAAATGATCAACGTTTTAAATGCTACAGTGTACTGAAAGAGCAGATTAAAGGTCACGTCATTTTTTGGTCTAAACGTGACTTCACGTAACGATTTATCTCGGAACTGTGAGTCGGGGTTCATCTCACTTTGAAAGGCACCGGAAAATTTGCAGATTTTATCATACACCGTGAATGATAATTCATATCTATATTAAATATATCAGAATTATATCATTTCTCTAGGTTTATCTCATCTAAATAATTGACAGACCAATTATTTCAGTTTTATTATAATAACAATAACAAATATAAAAGAAATTAATTAAGGACAATCTATGCGATGTTCCTTAGTCAATCTTAAAATCTCGTCTCTATGGTATGAGGCTTTGAAGAAATTTTCTAACCTCAAACTCACATCTCAAGTACTTGAGTGGTCAGAAATTGTCACAGAATATACATTGACCAATGAAGTCACTGCGAATTGAGAGAGAACTCATAAGATAGTTTTATAACCTCGAGGGCTGGTCTCCGTGACTTGTACTGTTCAAAAATGTTTTTCAAATAATGGGAGATAAAACAGTTTAGCAGGTTAACGGTTAATTAATCCTTTTTCAGTTTTTGTCTTAGTTTATTAAACTGGTTTCTTCATGTGAACGCAAGCGCATAGCCAATATTTTCTTTATGTTTCTGTTCTGCCAAAAGAACAATGTAATTATATTACTACACCTGCAGTTGCCAAATCAAATTTTATGTTTTAAAATTAGATAAAATTAAAGTTACTTAAGATATAAATTTTCCCATGGATAATATTAATCAGTTTGAAATTTGGGAAATGAGAGGAAAGAGATGAAAATACTTTGTCAGCTTCTATAATGTAATTAATCAAAATTACATCTATCGGTATACTTTTTCAAGCGTATACCGTACATAAATGTTGTAATAAAACACCAGATACATTACTATACAAAGGAAAGTACATGTATTACAAACAAATTTAAAGTAACTGTATCTTCCTTGATTCACTGAAGCTTGACACCTCAAAATAATTGTATGTCACTTATTTGAAATTATGAAAGCGTCTGTGAAATCAAGGTAAATGTTCAATGTGTATTTAACTGCAATGTTATAATAATTTTTCGCATGTCATATTGAGAAAAAAGAAACGCATTTTTATAACTAATTATAGTAACACATATGCAATAACAAACTTTATTGCATATGTTACTATAATTAGTAATAAAAATGCGTTTCTTTTTTCTCAAAATGACATGCCAAAGTCCCGTATTTGAGCAAGTGTGCCAATAAGCCATATTGGCGCACTTGCAAAGTGTGCCCAAATCCCATATTGAGGCTATTTCCGGTCGTCACGCACCTGTTATCTAGAAACGGCAGAAAGTCCGCGCGTATTCACGTTACGTAACTGACAACCGCATCGAAAAAAATGGCCGTCGAGAGGACATTGAAATCTTTGGCGAAACGCTTGATGGATTTAGATAATCTATCGAACAACAATATCTATTTTCAAGCAATTAATGAATACATTAGAACAATTACGTTATTGCTTTATTTTATTCAAGTCTGAAAAATTCCTGCGGAACATATGCAATAAACAGGTCATTACATGGAGCAAGTGTGCCTTTAGTCGATATTGGCACACTTGGTTCAAATTTGCCCTCGGGCTAAAACTCTCGGGCAAATAAGTCGCCAAGTGTGCCAATATGGATTAAAGGCACACTTGCCCCATGTAGTAACCTTTACTTATATCCTCGTTAACTACGTACTATATAGCATAATATGACGTCACATGGTGTTATTTCATCTATCATCCTGATAACGAATATTAAATACCCGGTCAATATTTTCCCCAGGGGCAAATAATCTTTATGGACTTTACGTAATGTTTGGTTCTCTCTCCTGATAAAAAAACACCAAAATACAATGACGAATGTGTTAAAAATGCATAATTGTTAAAAAGTACATTTAAATGTTGGTTCAGCTCATCATTGGGTGTTATTTCAGTTCTCCGGTTGCTAATGTGCACTTTTACATTTGGAGACATTGTGTTATTTTTATAATATTAATAAAAGGTGCAGAAACTTACAAAGATGGTCTATATTAATATGCATCATTCGCCCCAGACTCTTCTTATCACTTGAATGAAACCGAATCCTATCTATGCTCTCTTTCAGTCGCATAACCCATAAAGTAAACATAAAAATGTATTCTACTATAAATGTATTATACAAAAAGTTATGTTCAACAGTCTGTGCAAATTTACTATAATTTCAAACTTCCTCTTTCGAAATTGTTTAAACGTGAAAACCACAAATTAAAGTATAAAATGTCATACGGTTTCAAATGTTTTTAACGTTTTTAAACTATTTTATCTCGCATAGGTGAACCAGGTTATAACAACTTATTAGTTTACCGACTTGGTATTTATATTATCATTTTATCACGTAACTCGTCATAGCACAAAATCCCAATCTGACTTAAGTTCAGATCTATTTATTTCTACCATGACGGCCGTATATGTTTCGCCTTCTTTGTAATTCGGATTTCCCGAGAAAGTTATTTTTAGCCATGCAATCAAACCGGTGTTTACAGATAGGCATCAGAAGAAGTATCAAAATACCTTTATCCGTGGATTTTTTTTATTGTTTTTGTTAGAAAAAAATGTTTGAAGTTTCAACTTGGAAAAATAGATTCAATTTCAGTTTCTGTACCTTAAGTTAAATATGGAGTGATACCTTAAATATTTTATTTTAACGGTGCACGTGTATTTCGTGGGTTAGTGAGGTATTAAATATAGTGTTTTCGCGGGTTTTCTACACTCGACGCTTGCATTTGGTAGTACTTCAAGAACTTGTTTAAATACGAAATTATGAGTGTTGAAGAAAATCGGTATTCTCAGCCACGTGGAGAATCGTCACAAAGAACAGAAATTGTTGACGAATTGAGGAATAATTTTGAATCTAAATTCAACGACTTCAAGAGGAGCGTTCAGACTGATACAGAGTGGATTGCAGAAGCTACAAGAAAAAGGTTAGAAAAGATTCATCTGTTACTCTAATAGGTTTATCTAACAATAAACAGTATCAATTCAATTGTGAACTTGATGATGTGCTTGACAGTATTGATAAGGCTTTTTAGCTAAGACATGCAGGCAAAACTCATGAGTATATTTCTGAAGCAAAACATCTTATCAAACGTAGAAATAAACCGATCAGAATTTCGCTGACAATTCTCCTTCCGGTTTGGGCACCATTCAAGAGTATGAGAAATTAGATGTGGCTAGCAATTCTGATGACGATAAAATAATTCGTAAAGCTGAAGACCAGGCCAAAGGTCGTTTCGAAAAGGCCTAACTGTCTACTAATTTTAACCAAAGCTCTCAGTTTAATTTTCGTAGCTTTCGCCGAACACCGTAATCAAGATATGCCATGGCTGGCGGATCCTCCTACCAACAACAACTTCCCTCAACAGTCGTTTGCTTCAAATGTGGACAGTTGGGACACATCGCATCTGGATGTACACGGGTCAGGACAGGTCCATATACAAAGCCCATCGGTTCCTCAACAGAGTCAAGAGCACCTGAATGTGACAAGCAGGAAGTCAAGATTAATAAACAATTAATCACAAGATTTTCTTTTGAAGATGATAAGTATTGTTTTTTGGATGACTTGCAATTTTTGTCATCATGAGATATTTTGTGAATATACAGAAAGAAATATCAAAATTTCTGATTTATCAGTTAAAGGTCGATTTAAACAAGCTTTAGATTTTTGGGAAACTTCGATACAACCTATCGATGATATTCTATCTTGCATAAAGAACGGCTATGTTATTCTATTCTTATCTCAGCCACCAATTTTTTTTTTATGAGAAACAATTAGTCGGCACAAGAGAATAGTGATTTTGTAGGCAAAGCAATTGAAAATTTGTTACAAAAACAATATGTTTATGAGCTGCCTTTTTTTACCTCATAATATCCATCCGTTGTCCGTCGCTACAGATTCTTCAGGGAAAAAACGTTTGATTCTCTATTTAAGTGTTTTGCATAACTATGTTAAGAAAGGTCGTAATAAATTTGAAGATTACAAGGTTGCCACGGAATTACTTTTTCATTGTGGTTTTATATATAAATTTGACCTTTCAAGTGGTTATCATCATATTTCAATCAAACCAATACATCATTCTTACCTTGGTTTTTTATGGATTTTTCATGGAAAAAATCATTACTTTGTTTTCTCCGTATTGCCTTTCGGTTTGTCGTCCGCTCCATTCGTCTTTACTAAATTGTTTAGACTTTTAGTTAAGTTTTAGCGACAAAAAGGGTTAAGAATTGTTCTGTTTCTGCATGATGAGTGAGGTCAATTTGAACATGCATTGTGTGATGCAAATTTTGTGAGTTCTACATTACTTAAAGCTGGGTTTTTAACTAACAAGGAAAAATCAGTGTTTGTCCCTGTTCAAAGATTAGAGGGGTTAGGCTTCATTTGGGACCTTCAACATGGGACTTTGAAAATACCCTATCGTCGTATTTAAAACATTTTATCTTGTATTAGGGTTATGAAGAGTTTTTTGTCCGAGGGTTACTGCTAGGAAGTTGGCACAACTGGTAAAATAATTTCTATGATGCCTTTTCTAGGAAACGTGGCTTTATTACAAACAAAATCTTTTTATCAGTTAATAGAAAGAAGGGTTTCCTGGGATAACGAAATGAATATTTCAGAATGTTATTTAACTGTTCAGTTCTTGGAAAGTCAATTGTCTTAGCCATTCAATAAGAAGCTGTTCCAAGACTTTTTACCTTCAGTTATTGCATACTTTGATGCTATTAATGTTGCGGAAGCAGCATTTTTAGTAGAATGTGACAAGGTTAAAGCTCATCGAGCGTGGACAGAGTTTGAGCAAAATCAGAGTTCTACTTACAGGGAATTATTAGCCATTCATTATGGTCTTAACAGTTTTGTTAGTAAACTGGCAGGAAAATAGTTATTTGGTACACTGACAGTATAAATTGTGTCAGTATTATAGAAAAGGGCAGTTCAAAATCTAATTTGCAAGAGTTATCTTTACATATATTTCGGCTTTGTGTGCAAAATATAGTATTTATTTGGATATTAATTGGATACAGAGGGATAATAATAAAGAGGCAGACATGTACAGCAAATTGATAGATTATGATGATTATGGGATATCACAGGATTTCTTTAGTTTCATAGATCATTTATACGGTCCACAAACAGTGGACAGATTTGCTAATGATTATAATAACAAACTACCTCGTTTTAATTCTTTATATTTCACTCCTTCATCTGAGAATGTGGATGCTTTTACAGTAAATTAGGGATCGAAAAATAACTTAACTGTTCCTCCAGTCTATTTGATACCAAAGGCTTTAAACTATTTATTATATTCTAAAGCTAATGGTACATTAGTCGCCCCTTACTGGCCTTCGAGCCCTTTTCCCCGATGATTTTTGGGGAAACATCAAATCTTAAGCGATTTGTTTGTGAAACACCTTTGTTTAATGATCAAAAGGATATATATGTTCAAGGCAGAAACAAAGAAACTATTTTTGGTCTACGTACTTTACTAGCAAGGTAATTGTTGCTAGAATAGAATGTTGTTAGTTTTGACTCATATATTTTATGTTTTATGATTGGTTAAAAGGTCATTTTTTGTGAAAAGCAATGCTATAATAATTAAGCATAATGAAATATTTTGTTTTATTATTGTTTGTCAATTTAACAGGCATTTTAACCAGTCAGCGTTGGTTAGATGTACAAGAAATGTGTACATTTTTGCCTAACAACCAGGAGCTTTTCTCAGAAGTGAGAGACGCCGTGATGTCTTGCAAAGAACAATCTACGATGCGTATTATATAAATATTCTTTTGACAAAGTTTTAAAATGGTGTACGCAATTACAGTTTTCTTTTTTTTGCCTGCCTCACTGTATTTAGTGTCTTTAATGCAGTACGAGAATGAGTGTTGTGGGAAATCAAAATTAAATACAGCGTTTTATGCTATTAACTGTGCTCACGAGTTAGCTTCTTAAGAAAATCCATGTAAAGACAATTGGTTAAAATTATGTTTGGAAGGTTGTGTCAGGAAAGTATGTCGACCAGAGCAGAAAAAACAACCTATTTCTCCTGATATTTTGAAAATATTATTATATACTTTTGCTTCTAAGAATTGTTATCTGGGAAATTTGAGAATAGTTACCTTGTGTATTTTGTGTTAAGCTGGGTTTTTTACGAATTAGTGAAGCCTTAGATCTAAAATGGCCCGATGTTGAATTTTTTTATTCTTATTGTTCTTTACACATAGAAAAGTCTAAAACTGACGTTTATAGAGATGGTCAGAATGTACTCATTGCTAAAACAGGAAACACATCATGGCCTGTAACTCTTTTACAAAGATATTTACACGCTGCGAGGAAATCTGATGAATCTACTGACCTATTCTCTCTGGAAAAAAATCTTATATATTGAGAAATCCACCAAATAAACCTTTATCATATATAGAACTAGAGAAATATTTAAAGACATGTTAACTAGATTAGGATTAGATTCGTCTAAGTATGGCTTACATTCTTTTTGATCTGGTGCCGAAACTGTAAGTGCTTACTTTAAAACTAGTGAAAGACTGTGGAAAAGACATGGTCGGTCGGAAAGTACATTGGCCAAAGACGTCTATGTGGAAGATTCTTTGAAGGACCGTTTGTCTGTGTCATTAAATCTACATTTATAATTGACACTGTTATTAATCAAAAGCCATGTGTTTTGAAACTATTACATTATTTTGCGACTTACAATTATCACATCAAATTGTTGTTTGAAAACTATTTCATCCAATAGTGATTTGAAACTATTACTTTATATATCAGTGATAATGTTTATAACCATATATGAATCATTTGTAAATTAAGGAAGATTATATTCTTTTCATTCTGTTTGCATATCTTTTTACATCGAATGGTTGCCTTGAATCGAAGTGTGCCCCTCGTTGGGCGGAAGAATTGCCCCTCAATAGGCGGAATTATTGTCCCTCGTTGGGCAAAAGTGATGCCCCTCGTTGGGCGGAAATGTTGCCCCTCGTTGGACGGAAATGTTGCCCCTACGTGGGCGGAAATGTTGCCCCTCGTTGTGCGGAAGTGTTGCCCCTCGTTGGGCGCAAGTGTTGCCCTCGTTGGGCGGAAGAGTTGCCCCTCGTTGGGCGGAAGTGTTGCCTTCTGTTGGGCGGAAGTGGTGCCCTGTTAGATTTTTATATAACCGAGTTATATAGTTTTACATTTTTTCGCTAGAAACTACGAAGCAAATTTTAATATTTTTAATCTTTTAATATTTATAAAAATATTTATACTATTTATGTTGTTTTGGACATATTATAAACTATCGGTTTTTGGCGAAAATTTTAATAAGATTTTCAAAAAAACAGATGAAACTGACATGGTCACGTCTTGCATTGAGTCTCTGGTGTACTACAGTTTATACAGGCCTAGCTAAGAGATGGAAATACTCTGAATGGATATGTTTCTGGTATATATATGTATCTGGGTTACATCATTCTTTTACTGATAATTTGTTTAAAAGATTTGATTATTTTATTTTCCAGACGTGATACCCTCTTTGTTTTACTCGATATGTTCTACCAAATATTAAGCGTTATTCCTATGTATTTGTTGTTGTTTCTTGCTATAGTAGATTAGAGAATAATTGATTACCTCTCGACATAAGAAAGGGTAAATGAAATTATTCTTGTATCGAATATAGCTTAAATGAGCGTTTATGTATGTTTTTTGTACCTTAAGTTTAATATGGAGTGATACCTTAAATAATTTCTTTTAACGGTGCGCATGTATTTCGTGGGCAAGTGGGGTATATACATAAAAGCAATATCCTCATTCGGGAAGTAATTGGTAACGTTTAACAATAGTTTCATCAGTTGAAGTTTTAAACAAATAAGGAAACAATGGGGATTCGTGTATTTATCATTTGCTTTGTGAATTTGGTTTATCTCCTTAGTTTTAACAGAGGTGAGGAAATGTTGATTTTTTATTATAATAACAGAATGTGTGTTAATATCATTGATGATAGTAAAGTGAGTGTGCATACATATTATTGTAAGGTTGGATTGCGAAATGATATTACAATAATTGCACTATTATACACTGCATTCTACGATCATACCGAAGAGAACTGACTAAAATATATGTTCTTAATTTTGATCAAATATGCAATCTAAGAAGTTAAAAGTTGAACATTAATCATTGGTAATTTGATAATTTTTGTATGCGTTTATATATTTACGTAAAATATGTTAGTAAGGTTATATTAAAATAAAGATAATGATTCGTCAAGAGACAAAATTCGTTCCACTGTTTATGAAAATGTAGCCTATAAAACAAACACACATCACATTCAAACCATGTCCGCCTGTCAGTATCTGCAATGTTTAAGTAATGAATACTTATTAACAGACAACATCACATGAAAAGGATCATGTATTCTCTATTTGTTATGCCTCTTCACAAGGGTAAAACTTACAAATATTTCAAGTCTGACACAAACCCTATGAGCAACGACCACCTCTCAATTACAGCCAATGTTGGACTATCCGGCTGCTGGCTGTTAAACTGTGCATTGTTGGCTGTCTAACTTCAATTTTTCATTTTGCTATTCCAATTATTGAAAATGTTCAGTTTTGTCAATCACAGTCGGGCAGAAAAAAACTTTCCTTGTTCACTTCATAATACTTTACTTTAAAACAGATTTTCAGAATTTTTATGAAAATAAGCATGACTCTAAAGGCATGCTGCTTTAACGTGTACGTGAAAAACCATAAAATGATATTTCATGTTAACTTATCTATCTAAAAATTATCTATAAAATAATCATTCTTTTACATGTATTCTTGTAGTGCTAGGTCAATACATTCCAAAAGAGGAACTACGAAACAAGACCACTTGTGACTTAAAAATTAATTTGGATATAACCTGTGGCAGTGATGGTGTTATTGTCATACAATCGTTCTATTTTTACTATCATCCGACTTGTGAAGCAACATGCTGTGACTTCGATAGTGCTCATTACAAAATAGGGGCAGACAGCGATGACATCACAACTGTAAGGCGTTTGTGCTCCGGAAGGACTGATTGCAGTCTCGAACCGCTTGAAGGTATTCGAGATTTTGGCGTAGAAGCAAAACCTCAGGAGCCGTCATACGTTGTCATTTATCACTATTGTGTACCTGGTAAGTAGAATGGTAACTTACAATACCTGGGAAAGGTGTATTCATTAAAACACCGAAATAACATAAAAATTGCAGACACGGTACATGAGGAATCATAAAAAATGCAACATCCCTCACGCTCCCTAGCACCGGCTTGAGCAGTACTTAATTATTTAAACTAAAAGTGCTGCAATCAATAACCCCGAAAGACCAGAAAAATATAACAACACTGAAGTGAAGTACGAGGCAACTTTTTGCAGCTGCCAAACGGCAAGTTGGTGGCAATCAAATCGACACATCAGTGCAGACCAAGATCAGCCTTGTATACGGTGTAGACTGATCATGATATGCACTGTTCGCTATTTATAGTCAGTAATTATTTTGAAATGTTCACTAAAAATGATGAATATTTTTGTCAAGATTAGATAATGTGCAAGTCTATTGTTGGATATCATTCAAGGACGTCAAAATATAAAGAATATTCGTCTAAAAATAAATAAATAAATAAAATAGATTGTTTATTATGAATGTATCTTAATGCCATAAGCTTAATTATAGAAATTTCCGATAATTATGACGTTGTCAGCTTTTTTTCTTTTTGCAATCGAAAATAAATATGATTTCATTTAAAATTAAAAATAAATGACGTTATCGTTTACAGATGAAATTTAATGTCATTTAAAACGTTATTATTTTCTTTTGCTCTCGTTTAGAGTCGAGAATAACAAGCTGCTCAGGAACCAGCCTTGTATCTGCGGGAGAACCGATATATCTCACAAGCAACGATTACCCACGTGTGGCGACAGAGGACAGCTCGTGCACTTGTTCAGTAGAAGTTTTCTCGTGCACGTCACGCGTTAACAGTTATATTATCGACGCTGACATGTATTTAGATCAAGTCAATTGTGAACAGAATATTGACTTTCTTGATGGGAGAAGCACATCTTTGGACAAAATTGATTGTAGAAGTTACTCTGTTAACGAAATAGTTACGAAAAGTTTTGCAACAAATTATATAAAGATTGATTTTAATGATAACTCTGATCAGAATCAAGAAGGGTTCTTCTTTCTCGGATTTGGAGGTAATGTGGATTTTTTATGTAATTTCAATGACATTGCTATAAATTATACATTTCATTTTGTGATACAAAACATAGTCGTTACCTGATAAAGGCTCAAACCTATGGCACCTGTGTTAAGAAGCAGTCATGTTTTTGTCCCCTTTTTTAAAATTGCAATATGGCTAAACATTATTACTTTACAGCAGCAACATTGAAACACTCACTGGAAAACGTATTGAGACATATACGAACAAACCTGTAAAATATTTTCAGCCCTTTTTACAATTTACTAGATTACTGTATATAGGTAAATTCGTTCTATGTGTAAAAATTGTTTTTATCTTAACTTCAGTGACTGAAGAAACTGCTTTTAAACTAAGCTGTTCATTTGAGGAGCAGACAGTATGTATGGGTAAGTATTAAATATTCTTATAAATTAAAGTAGCAATAACAGTAACGTGGAGAATTGTTATGTCATGATAGTATTTACACAACTCTTTATTCCGCATTTACTGATACATTGTTTTACTGATACAGCTTAATGCTTCGTGCAATTACCAATCAAATGTATTTTTCTTCTTAAAAAAAAATAGATGAAATGGGAGACAGTATGTTTCATGTTTAGTTAATAAGCAATCTTTATTTGTCTTTTGAAAATCAAGCCAGTGAATCTTGAGCACAATTTTCGTAGCAATATTCCTCATATCTTCTTACCGTTCTATTCTTGAGAACGCATCACATGAGTTATGAAAATTGCATTTGCTATTTGTAAAATTCGATACAAGTAAAAATAGTAGCAATTTTTGCATGGCAAAGACAAATGTCTTGTAGCTAAGAAAAAATCCATTTTATAAACACGGAAAATTATAGTAATGTCATATTAGATTTAAAGAGAATAACGTAAACAACCAAAGTTTGATAAAAACGAAATTTAAAAAAGGATGTTTCTAAATAAGAACGTTGGTGCAAAAAAGAGTGAGACTAAAAAAGGATTGGAGCAGTACACTCAATATCGTATTCCGGTACATACCAGACAAGAGGTAACCGAGCCTGCAACATATTCAATTTTGACATGTTGGGCCTTCTTTAGGGATTCTTATTTTCTCTATTCTATTTGAATGTTTAAATGCTAAAATTTCGCCTTTTCACCTTAAGAATGAACTTTAAAATGTCTGATTCATCTTTTCACACCGATTAATGTATGATAATTAATGAAAAATGTAATAATCGGCAAAAAAACGATATTTGTTTATTTTGTGATCATGATTTCTGCAAGCGTCAAGAGGTACTGCTCCAATCCTGTATTGAGTTAAATCCATAAAAAATGCACGGATTCGAAACAAGTACAGAGGGAAATAATGAAATAATGTAGTACACTGAAAATCCTTAAAAAAGGTAATGAACCTTTATATGTAAAAATACTTGTGTTACATTTGACAAAATGACCAACGATAAGATTTAACAATGGTTATTAATCTTGAAAAATAGGACACTGTAAGATGCATGTGTTCCTAAATGAACTTGTCGTGTTTCTGTAAGGGAACTCAATTTCTAGCACCAACATCTACGTAGTACGTAGGCATTATATACATGTATCTATCAATGCATGATTGATATGCAAAAATATATGAAAATTATAAACATTATATATCAACTGAACACATCAATGATCGTATATTCACTATAATATACAGGACACTTTTGAATATCATTATCTGAGGGTACCTGATAAGTTTTAATTTTTGGTGTGTTTTTCAATATTTAAAAGTGAATGGATAAACTGATAGGATCATAAATATTATTGGCGGTCTCGTTACTTTAAACAAACTTTTAAAACTCGGCAAGTTCTTGTGTAAAATAAAATGTTTACTAGAAAAATGTAATGAGAACTGGACGCAATGTAATATTTTAATAATAAATTGCCTTATGGAGAACAAAAAAAACCTTTTATTATTCAAACAAAACATTAAGTAGAGAACAAAAGCTGATAAACTACGTGCGTAAAACTGTAATAACGTACAGGGGACCCATATTTCATCAATCCAATATGATATGTAAATTAAAAGTTGTTATTTTAATCCAGTGTTGAAATGCTATTTCTGATATAAAATAAGTTATTTTAGGTCTCCTCTTCATCAAAATTGTGTATTTTATCGTTTCAGATTGCGGCACACCAAACAACATTCATCATGGGACTATTTCGCTTGTCGAAGATGGAAACAGCGGTTATGGCGCGTTAGCCAATGTCGTCTGCGACAAAGGTTATGAGTCCGCAGATAAAACAGTAAGCTGTTTAGATACGGGTTTGTGGAATACAACCGAATGCAACCTTAAAGGTAGTCAATTGTTTACATGTTCATGCCTCTTTTTATGATTGATTTCAAGGATGTTTATTATATCTTCATTATGTATACAAATTATCGAAGACCTTGTCCACTTATATCTTGTCAAGAAACACTACTCAAGAAGGTATTCATTTCTTATCTGTCTTAAATTCTGTACGACGTTGTGGTGTAACTGGGTTGAATACCTATAATTTACAAATTTCAAATTAAATTTGCTATGTAAATGGACCAGCGATTATTTGTTTTCAGTTATATAATCACAATTTTACCGACATTTTTCTGAAATATAATATCTGAACTATAATACAAAGGTTAATATATAATAAATATTCTAAGTGATTTATTTTTATTTCAACAGACTGCGGATCACCCTTCAACATATCCAATGGTATAATCACGCTTGTCACCGATGGAAACACTACTTATGGCGCAAAAGCAAATGTTATATGCGACGAAGGATTTCAAGTGAAAGGTAAGGCAACAACAATTTGATACATGTATTGCAATATGTAATCATGACAAACCATATTAATGATTATTGATTACCCAATCAACATTCTTCGCTACGCGATCAGCATTAGTCATCATCATTTGTAGGTTTGTTTACGTCTTCCGTCGCTATACGATCATAACTTTTACAACGCAATCGTAATTCAATTCATTAAGTTACCATCGTACATCGCTATACGATAACTACTTTGATTACTACGCGATCATTACTGTTGCTACTTTATCACCATTCGTCACAATGTGATCATCACTTTTACAACGCGATTATTGTTCATCACTACGTTATCATCATTCACGCGATCATCATTTTACAATACAATAATCCTTTGTCTTTACGATATCATCATTTGTCTTTACGCCATCATAATTAGTCTAAACGCCATTATTATTTGTCACTATATTGTCATAATTTGTTTTACGCTATCATCATTTGTCTGTAAGATATAATCATTTGTATTTACACAATCTTCAATTGTTTCTACGCTCCCTTTTTTGTCTTTACGCTTTCATCATGTGTATCTACGCTATCATCATTTTCCTCTTCATAATCTTCTTTGTTTCTACGCAATTATCATTTGCCTCTACAAGATCTTTATTTGTTTGTACGCTATCATCATTTGCCTCTACATGATCTTTACTTGCTAGTACGCTATCACCATTTGCCTCTATATAATCTTTATTTGTTTCTACGCTATCATAAATTTGTCTTTATAATCAACCTGTTTGTTTGCATATCTAATAAGATACTTTCTCTTAAATAGGAAATTGCAGTAGTAATGAATTTCAATGTGGCGACGGTTCATGTCTCCCAAACAGTAAGAGATGCGACAGCTTTCCTGATTGTCCTGACGAACTTGATGAATTACTATGTTGTAAGATAGCTGACATTTTATATTATGCCATCAATAGTGAATTTTTTAGGGTTTAATAAAATAGATTATTTTTAGAGAGAAAACTTATTTAGAACAATGTTTGAAAGATTTTTCACAGTTCGTCTGACAAATAATTTCTTCAAATGCAAAATGATAAACCTTTAAACAAATTTTGATAATGAAGTATATTTAACATGTGTTATATTATCGTTTTGTTCTCTTGATTTCAGCGGATCAAACAAATTGTGCCGAAGGTCAGAAATTATGTGGCAAGTCATGTGTAGACTCAAACTACACTTGTACAGGTATGTAAAATTGTCAGAAATAGAAAATTTAGTTAAAGCCGATTTTGACCTGGACTTATTTTTTTAGGCATCTCGATGATCGAAATTTAAAATTTGCAAAAGGTCGAATTTCGAGCAGGAGTTGAATAACGAGCTAGCTTGCAGATCGAAATTCAAAAGTACAAATGGCCAAACCATATAATTATGTCATGGTCAGGAATTAACTCTCTTGTTTTGATTAACTAGCATTCTAAACGATAGATGTAACATAATTAAATATTTTAATTCAGTGTTTGTGGCATTTCAGATAGTGGAACTGATGAGGAAGAAACAGAATTTAGTAATGGTATTATTAGTTGCTTAGTGATAGGAAGATGGGAGATTGTCCAGTGTGTACCAAAAGGTTTTTAGCTAAAGTTTCTAGCTTATGTAAAATTACACTTCTATGCCATCCTTTTTAACATTTGGGAAACATTTAAAGGTTTTTCATTTAGATACACATACATTGATATTAATCAAACATGCTTTAAATATCAACAATACGTGACACACTGCACGATGAACGACATTTTGAATATTAGGACATAATTCTACTTTCAATTGATCTTTGTTTCTGTCAATATGTGTTTCATTGTGTACACTTACAAAATGTAAAGTACTATTCCGGTGCAAAGCTATCATTTCTTCAGTATTTTAAATTTAATATGATATATTTTCTGAACAAAATCAAATGTATCAATTTTAAGAATACCTATTCCAAAACGTGTATAATACATGCCATATTAGAAATCTGACTCGTCAGCGCTATCGAAGACGCCAATTCACTGTTATACATATATTGCAGTTATATGCATATTTACATTAAAACATGCAATTGAATGGGAAGGCACATATTGTAGTTGACTCCAAAGTGTTAGGTGATCAATGTGGTCAGTAAGTTAGACCAAACATTATCAAATTTATTCTGTTTTCTATTCTTTAATAAAATCCATCACAATTATTATCATTGTAAAGTCAAGTGAAATAAATGGTATTGAATAGTTTCTTTTATTATTTAGACTGTGGTACGCCGGCAGGTCTTCAGTATGGTTCCTTTTCCCTGATAGAACCAGGAAAGACTATTTATAGATCTATGGCTCACGTCACGTGTGATAACGGTTTTATAGCATCAGTCGATCAAATTTCATGCCTGGCAAATGGATCATGGGCGTTTGTTAGTTGCTTTGTTGGTAAGTATTTGCTATGTAATTCTAACTGATCATGGGAGTTTGTCAGTTACATTCATTATAACTGAATTCTAATTAGTGGGGGCCTATATTATATTGAAGATTTATGGTGAAACAGTGTGATTTCATTTTTTTTATTATTACACTTCTATAGATTGTGGAGCTCCATATACGATTAAAAATGGTACCATCAATTTAGAACGTTCTGGTTTCACAACGCTGCAATCTACCGCTAACGTGTCATGTGACACTGGATTTGATAGGTCTACGGACTCGATAAGTTGCCTGGCAAATGGTACTTGGGAACAAGCGTCCTGCATCATCAAGGGTAATAAATTTCATATACATTTCACATGTGATGTAATAGATAACTTAAAAAATACACATTATTTCGATTTTAAAACTCCTTTTCGATTAGAACATAATGTCAGCCTAATTATTCCTTGTGAAGTTAAGAAGTTGTTATAAACATACGTTGAAAATATACAAGCAGAAATCACAGTTAGCAAAATCGGTCTGAAATATTTGTATTCTAGATTTTTTACACGTTTCTTCTATAGCACTTTCATTTTAAATTTCCGGATACTTAATGGTGAAGTTTGTCATGAGTGGTATCATAATGTTGATTTGTCAAGGGAGAAAGCTACTATGTACACATTTATCATAAATCAGTTCTGTTCATCAACTTTGACAATACTTATGTATATCATATATCTTAAGATTGTGGCGAGCTGGCATCAATTGATAATGGATCATTAACTCTGACAATCCCTGAAAAGACAACTTACCAATCAAAGGCAAATGTTACGTGCAGCGACGGATTCGACGAGTCTCTTGAGTTTATACAATGCAAAGCGGATGGAACATGGCAAGATGCTTCTTGTATTATAAAAGGTAAACTCAAAGCTAGTTAAAGCCCGTGTTCAACTGCTAATAAAATGGATCTTGAACATCCTTATCTTTTTATTATTTTATGTTTGCTCTTATTCTTTGACTTCCTTTGTCTTTATTTGTTGTTTATTGTAACACTTTTATTATTCCAATATAGATTAATGTCGTTTGTAAAATTTCATTTGATACTAGTTAATAGTCCAAAATACGTCAAAACTTTCATTTCAATTTATGGCGGAAAAAAAGTTTACATTTTGTGTTGGAAGAACCATTATTGAATCATTTCATGCAATTAAAATTCTGTGAGATTGACTAATGCCATTGACTATTTTCTGATGTTCTGTTTTTGAAATTAACTGCTTTGTTATTGAAGCAGGGAATTTAGCTAAATGTTATTTATCTTTGCGATGACATTATACAAGAACATTTTCAATAAAAGTATAAAACATTTTAGATGATGTCAAATTATAGTGTTTCGTATCCTGGAGGTATTAAAACATTGACAATAATAGTCAGGTTTTTTTTTAATTTCTTCTCAGATAATTTACTTTTTGAAAATAGTCCCATAAATGTTGTCTCAACCATTAATTTGTAGTTTGCTTTAAATACAATAACAATATCAAGAATTTATGATCAAAGGAAGATAACTCAAATACAATACTAGTGTATATTATTTAGTGAAAACTTGAGTTGTGAACCAGATAAGATTATTTTTCAAATCAATATTGTATATTCTAATGTTTTTATAGACTGCGGAGCACTTCCGGAAATAAACAATGGAACGCTTACAGCGGAAGAAACAGGACAAAGCACTTATCTGTCTAAAGCAACAGTAACATGTGACACTGGATTTGACAGTTCAAACGATTCAATTGTGTGCCAGGCAAGTGGTGTCTGGGAAGATGTATCGTGTATAATAAAAGGTAAAACAGAATGAGCAGAATCGCTGTAAAACTCTGTCTGTCTCCGGTTAGTTCCGTATGCGTCTTTTCTGTGAAAAATATTTGAATTTATAACTATATGATTTATACATATTGTTGCCTATCCAGGTAAGTGACGAAACTCGTTGACTCTACTCATGGAGGTGCTCTCCACCAGTAAAGCTGAAAAGTCGTCGCATGAGTGTAGATTGATATAAGGGACTATATTTTTTTGTGGCAATATACTTTTATTTAGCAATTTTGCATTGCTTGATTGTAATATCAATAGTAAAAGACACATTATTCATTTTTCAAACTATATTTTATTGATTACATCAATAGCGTAAATAACTTTGGTTTGTACAGGTTCTTGCAGAAATTGAACACTGCACATGTTAAAATATTCACAAATGTAGCACTGTAATATTGTTTCTATCCTTATATTGTCATATTTCAGACTGTGGAGCGCTTAAAACAATTAAAAACGGAACTTTAGACGAGGACTCACCTGGTCAAACAAAATATCTTTCAACAGCAACAGTGTCATGTGATACGGGCTTTGATAGCTCAAACAATTCTATATCATGTCAATCGAATGGCGAATGGCAAAATGCGTCTTGCATAATAAAAGGTTCACGCACTTACTATCATATTATGGTAGTATGATTAAATGTAACTTTTCATTTTAAATTATATCGCTAATGCGAACGAAAATGATATAAGTAAATCAGTTTCTATATAGAACAATATAGATAAATGAATATTTACTACGTATTACATGTAAGTTTGAAATGATGTGTTATTCTTCATTCACAAATAATTCAAACAACTATGTATTCTAGACTGTGGCGACCCTGGCCGTGTCAACAATGGGAATATATCTTTGACGAGGGCCGGCAAAACAATATACCTGTCCGAAGCAAGTGTCACGTGTGATCCTGGATACACTGAGTCAACTGACGTTATATCCTGTCAGGCGGATGGAAAATGGCAAGACGCCACCTGTAAAATTAAAGGTACATAGTACTGGTTTTCCTTAAATTAAAATGTTGTTATATTAGACTATCTATGATTGTTATTTTTAACCGATGCTCGAAAGTGGATTTCTTTCCATTAAAATGTGAACTGAATTGTGTGAACATCGTTTCATTGTTGATCATGGTTCTCATATTTTCTTTTGGCTGTCACTTAACTTGACATCTTCTTTGAAATCCATATTAATTTTTTGAAACAACTTTTTGAACAATTGAAGAAATAGCGCTGAACATGCAGTATTGTGTCGTAACGGAAGTAAAATGTAAACCAAGTTGCATTTTGATTTCCATAGAATATACTATTTCACTATAATAATACCAGTTGCCAACATAACACAATCAGCGAAAGATTGTTTATGTATTTAGCAAATTAGTATGTTTGGATACTGTAACGAGATACCAAAACTTAAGAAGTTTTCGAGAAATAAAAAATGATAGCACTTCAACAGTATACAATGTAATTGGTCTTCAAGAAACATTCATGTTACTTACCTTTGAATTCTATAACAATTTGTAGATTGTGGCATACCAAATCAAATCCAAAATGGTAAAATCGAAGCAGACTCAGAACAAACAACATATTTGTCTTCTGCAACAGTTAGTTGTGACACTGGCTTCGACAGCACAACAGACTCAGTAATATGTCAAACGGATGGTTCATGGCAAGACGCATCATGTGTTATAAAGGGTAATGGCCATGTTAACATAAGCGGCGAAGCTTCTTCATCAATCAATTTAATCTCAACGTGATTTTTGTCTTCTTTGTTGTTCCTAAAGTATCCAGATATCTAATTGTAAATAGTTTTAACGCGCAGTTTTGTATGATTTCGTTATTGAATTTTAATTAATAAATATTCAAATGCTATTTTCACCATTATTATGCATTTAGTTCTTTAAACAATTACATGTAATAAGTACCATATAACAACTATCATAATGGGTATTTAAATGTATATATTTCGATTCTGATGTTTTAATATGTTACATATATACCTATCTTTTTCTGGCGTTAAAAAGCTCCAAACATTTCAATTTTCAGATTGTGGGGATGTACAAACAATTAATAACGGAAGCATTACTTTAGATCAGCCTGGCGCAACAAAATACCTTGCTACTGCAACAGTAGCATGTGACCCTGGATTTAACAAGACAATAGCGTCGATAAAATGCCAAGCGAATGGCAAATGGATGGACGCCTTTTGTGTCATTGAAGGTAGAAAACAAAATGTTATCTTTTATTTATGACTTAACGATTTACTGATATATAATGATTTTGCTTTTCGTTCAACTTTGATACACTAAAATGTAAGGGTTCTGGGACTTTAAAACACATTAAAATTATTTGAAAGGAATTTAATCTACAAAATAAATTTACTAACATATGCTGATTTCGAGATTAATGGAAATGTTAGTTTATGAAACATATATACATAAACAACATAGTTACAAGTGGTTTACTTTTCCTTTCTTATCTAAAGTAAAAATGTATGAAATGCAATATAGACTGGTTTGATTTTGGGAAAATGTTCATCCTAACGGCATTTTTTAGTACAAGCAGGTAGTTGGGCTTACTTACCTATTTTGAGTACGCTGAGTTCATTTTTTGTTCTACCACGGCTGTATTTTTAGTCCTTGACCTTTAAAAATCAATTTCAAAATGGCCGCCATTGAATTTTTTAATTTTACTTTAATTTTCCCATGGGCGAGATATATACACATTTTTTGGCATTTTAATTTAATGCTTTGTTAATTTTTCTCTGCTGAAGTGTGGACGAGAAGAATAGATGCAAAAATAATAAAATTTATTGCGGCAGCCATCTTGGATTTCAAAATGGCTGACAATTTCCTATGTTTTATACACTGTATTATAATTAAAGTAAACAAGCACAAGAAGACATTTCACCACGCATGATTTCTTTTATAAGAAGTTCAGTGATACTAATTAAGACTTCCAAGCGCAGATTTTGAAAGACATCCATTAAAACTACAACTTTATGGTGCAAAAAGGTCACAATTTATACCCTAATACAACGTAAATGAGAGTCATATTTGCGTTCACTTTGTCATTGAGATGTTATTTTTATACTTCTAAGAATACAATGCATGTTCGTTAAATTGAATTTGTATCGCTCTGAGAGGGGACCTGCTCAATTGTCTGTTCGTCTGTCTATCTGTCCGAGCGTCCTCTTGTGTCTGTTAGGGGTATTTGCGATCACAATTTGGCGTTTAGATTAATTCCGTATACCCCCAACCTATAGGATGAATCATTGGTTATGGGAGGCAAAAGGCTGCTTTTGGAGTAAGAAACAAACATGAAGATAACAGACATCTTCACAAATCTCTCAGTAAGAGCTTGTCCCTGTCTATCCGTTTTTAATCCCGTCCATATCTGTCATTTTTGGATAGATTTTGAAATAAGTTGCATTAATGTGTGGCACATTGATACAATGTCATAAGAAAGACCCAGGTTTGAAGCTCAACTCCACAAGTTAGACTTGAAAGTGCTTGAAAAAAGATGTGCGTTTAGTATTCTGTCATTAAGAGATGGATTTTGAAAAAAGTTGAGCATAAATATACGGCCTATAACGGATTTGGGAAATTGTGTACCTTATATTATTACTTAATCTTCAAACAGGGATACCATGAAAATTGTTTACTTATTTCTTATGTCAATTGCGCAAGAACATGTACTGGGACATGTAGTGATTGAGAGCCAATTCAACAGTCCAAAGATCAGGGTCATGTCTATCAAGAAAGACAACAATTTTTCTCGCACGACATGATATTTAAAAAAAGTCTTAGTATTCCCAAAAGTAATATAGGAATCGCCATCCAGGCTGTCATTCGAAAAAATGTTTTTTCATGAAATGGACTACATTCCTTAATAATAGAGTTAATGTTTCTTCTTGTAAGAGAAATATTCCATATGGTGTTTATCCCATGGAAGCCCCTACATACTAGTGCCGAGCTTCGTGCATGAGGATAGTATTTCATTTGCTTATATAGGTAACCCGACAAGAACATGGTGGTTGAGGCCCCTGTGTTAGGACTTTTGTCGTCTATTTTGTTATCATGTGGTATTAAATTATCTGTTTTGATTGACCTAGAGCAGGCGGTGTACGGGTAAAAATATTTAAATCTTGTTAATTGTATATGCCGCCGTCCTGGAACGACAATAACTGCGTAAATGTGTAATTTGAAAAGGTCGTGTCATGCACAAGCAGGGTTATGTCTACAGTTAAACTTCTATATCATAAATCATGATATAAACGTAACAAGATGGTTGTGTCCGATCTATAACTTTCTCATTAATTGATGCCTTTTGAAATAATAATTCTGCATAAATATATGGCACATTGGGACAATGAGTCACATGTAAACCCATATGATGATGTAAATCAAAGATCAAAATCATACTTTCACTTCGAACAAAATATTTTCCTTAAAGTGTCTGGTTAACGATTTTGTCATTCATGGATGAATTGAAAATCATTTGGGATAAATATGGTGCCTCTTTGTAAGTAGACATGTAACGGACAAATGTTTCAAGGTCACACTTGTATTTCAAAAGTCATTGTATGAGAGTGCATATGTGGCCATGTATAGTCCATATATGTGTTATTCAGCGAGAGCTAAGAATAAATACGTGGTACTTTGAAACAATTTGTCTTGAGTGAGAAAAGAATTGTCGCATAAAGTAAGATTTCAGACATTAAAGGTCATATTTTGAAGGTCATGTCCGGTCATGAATTCTGTCATTCATTAGATGGATATTGGCATAACTGGGCATACATTTGTGGCACATTAGGACTACTTGTAATGCTTAAACACTAGGTTGACAGCTGGATAGGTCAATTTAAAACATTGATGGTTGTGTCTATATCTTTGTCATTTATTAATGAATGCTTTTTAAAATAATAAGGTTTACCGAAGATATAAATAAATGCTTCTTAATATTTCTAATGTTTGTAAAACTTGTAAGACTACAGTAACCATGCCTTCAATGTAAAGAATGGAAAACAAAATTAACAAGGAAAGTGGCACACCCTTGTTTATCTTTGTTTTACATAATTGTCAGGATAGTGCAAAATTGGTGGTACACATTTTAGTGACTAAAATTACACTAAGAAATACCAAAGTAATTTAATGGAGTGATCGTAGAAAAAAATATGAGATTAAATATTTATATTGTGGCAAATGACATCAAAATACATGTATGTTATATCATAATGGAATAAGATACTCATCAATTTCTTGAAAGATAGCCAATACAAGAACATAATAAGTATGAAGATTTGAATTATAGTCACTTGAATGATTTTAAAACATGAGATAGAATAAGGCGCAGCGTCCTTGGCAAGGTGACATAATATAATGAAGACATTGATATTAATTAAGACAATAAATTGTCAATATATTAACTGCAGAATTGGTATCAATTATCTGTCTAATCTTCTATGCATGTACCATCATCAAATACCCGCGGTAGACCTATAATGTTTTACTCTATATTATTCATTAACCGTAAGACAGTGCAAGCTCGTAGACTATTCATGGTTCATGTTTGCGAGACTTTTTTGTTCAAAGTGAAAGATAATAAAGATTATAACGACCTTACCATTTATTTGAGTTTATTTCAATTAATAAATAGATGATCTGTTTTTAACCATGTCTATGCATGTTTAAAGTTTGATTGATAAATACGACCCTTTATAAAGTAGCTATATCAATACAACAATAAAAATATATCGTATAAACACATATGCGGATGTTTCTAATTTCCAAATTTCGAAATTCCCCCTTTTATATATGAATTTTGCGTAGGCAGGTGCTAGGGTGCTTGAACGGTACCTTGCAATTTCAAGTAGCTGTTTTTTTTTTTCTATTTTAAATCGGGTCGTACAATAGATATTGTTGCAAAGACATGCGGGCCCGGAGACATAGTCGCTGACCTGTGAAGATGACAGGCAATATTTAAAATATTTACATACTGACCTTGACTCTTGGCATTCAAATTATAAAATGACCTAGTGTCCATAAAGGTTTACACAAATGCTATTCTATCAAAATAAAAAACAACCTTAAACATCTAATGGAAAATTAAAATTTGTAAGACATTTGGGATCTCAGATACCTGATATAGATTAATTGTCCAAAAGGAATGACCTGTGATAGTTTGAAGTTATGATGTAAATTGAAGTGTGCAGTATACCTACACAGTGTGTACAATTCGATATGACATGTTGCTTATATCATTTTACAATTTTTGATACTCATTCCTACAGAAGGATCCATTTGTTTAAAAACACTTTACTTATATTTGTTAAAAAAGGTGTCCATTTTGAAATCAAAGATGTCCAGCATAGCAGTCAATGTGTAAAGCATGTATAATTATTAGCCAATTATTCCTAAAAGTAATTGAAACTTTATTCCATGTAGATTAAAGGACATATGATACGATATGTACCAGAAATAATAATGTTTTACGTAGATGGTAAAGGACAATGGCGGCCATTTTGATTTGACCTTTAGAAGGTCAAGGACTTTTCGAGTACAGCCGTGGTAGAGCAAAAAATGGATTCAGCGTACCCGAATTATCTAAAAACGATTGACTACCTGCTTGCACTAAAAATGCCGTTAGACTCTTAACGGAGGGTCTTTTCTGAAAATCAAACCCGTCTAAGGGTCTTTTCTGAAAATCAAACCCGTCTAATAATTTTGTATTCGTGTTCATGTATTTCAGATTGTGGAGAGCCTAATCAAATAGATAATGGTGAAATAATTGCGGACATGGACAAAACATCATATCTTTATACTGCAAATGTTTCCTGTAACATTGGTTTTGACAAGTCTGCTGAATTTATTTCTTGTCAACAAAATGGTGAATGGCAGAATGCTTCTTGTACCATTAAAGGTAATTTAATTGTTGAGATTTTTTGTTTAAGAATACAGCGTTGCTTGCATACGCCATCATCAGCTATGGATCAACAAATCAATTTTATAAGTTCTCTGCAAAAATATTTTGTTAATTCTGTCTAAAATTTACGAAACTACCTACTATAAGAATTACTTTGATATTTGATGACCAAGGTCCTCAAGTTTTTTCACTCCGTTTAGCAAGTGCCCCTGATAGCTAAAATGTGTGTTTTGACTTAAGTTGTAATCGCATGGGCCATCAACACGAGCATAAATTATTTCAGGATAACATGTCTTTGATTATAATTCTAAAGAATATGTCCATTTTTGCTAGTGGTCCTCTTAGAATGATTATTATTCTTCATGATTATACGTAAATTGTAACCTTTGACACATTTTCAGACTGTGGAACACTTAAAACAATTTCAAACGGAAAGTTGACGGAGGATACACCTGGTATAACAACATATCAATCCACTGCAACAGTGTCGTGTGAGACTGGCTTTGATAACTCCACCGATTCTATATCATGTCTAGCGAACGGCGAATGGCAGGATGCCTCATGTATTATTAAAAGTAAATGTTCTTAATAAAAAGTACTTTTTAGATATTAAAAAACTTGAACAAGTTTATAAAGAAGAATTATAGTTTATTAAAACATACCATTATAGAAGTATCGTATTATTCAAATTGAAGAAATTAAAGTATTTTGAATTTGGCTCGATAGAAGTAAAGTATCATAAAAGAGTAAATTGATGATATAAGGAAAAAGCTCAATGAAAAAAAAACAAAGAAAGAAATTTAACGGTAATTCGAATTGATTTTCAAAGTAAGCGTACATCCGTTACAGATTTATCTTATTTCTCTTCAGTTAAATAATTCAAACTTATCTTATATTTGCTTTGATTACATTTTGATATCTATAAGTGTTACTATATAAGATCTGTTTCATGACTAAACGAAATAAATATATCTATGATCTGAATTGTAGATTGCGGTGACCTTTCGGAAATTAACAATGGCTCTTTAACTTTAACGGACAGCAATAAATCTACATATCTCTCTAATGCGACAGTTGATTGTGATCCTGGATTTAGAGAATCAATTAAAGTCATATCATGTCAGGATAATGGACAGTGGCAAGACGCATCTTGTATTATCAGAGGTAACAAAGTTTATTACTTCTTTGTCTACAAGGCATTATAGGTATATTAATGTTTTAGTATAAATGATCTTAGATCTCAATGGCATTGAAACATATCAATAAACAACCAATGGTCTCTTGCTTATAAAACCTTATAGAAACATGGTTATTATTCATATTTTGACAATATGAGCAACACCAGATGTATTTTTATTTGTGGTTTTGTTTCTATTGTTTTCATGTAGACTGTGGCGCTCCGGGACAAATTCAGAACGGTTCAATAGTAGCGAATTCAGGGCAAACAACGTATTTGTCCTCTGCAGCAGTTAGTTGTAACATTGGCTTCGACAGCACAACAGACTCGGTAATATGTCAAGCGAATGGTTCATGGCAAGACGCATCCTGCATAATAAAAAGTAATGATTAATTTTATTGAGATTACCATGTTAAAAATATATATATACTTAAAACACCAAGTGTTAAATTTATTGTTACAGTAGTGACTATATTATTTTACATTTTTATAATACCGCATATCACAAATATTTTTTCATATGAAACAATTGATATCTGAAGATTTGCTATTTATTTCTTTGGTTGTATCACAGTTTAAAGTATCGCTCAAAATTGATATGTACAAACGTCCTATTTCCTTTATTTCGACAACCATCTTTATTACCCCAATAAAATATAGCTCACTCTCCTGCGCATTGGTCCAATGTTCCACTTTTGTTCACTTTCTTACTATAAAATAACGGCAGTGCATTCAATTAAGTGCTAAGGGAGCGTAGTTTAAGCACATGATTAAGGATAAAATTTGCAAAATTGTTTATGGTTACACAGGAGATGTATTGCAGATACCAAGTTTGTGTTCAATAATTATTGATAATATTATATCTGATCACAATATGCTTGAACAAGTTTGATGTTAATCCTGGCGACTGTGCAAACCAAAGAAAAATAAAGTTTACTATGTAAAGACTTTGATAAACAGGTACAAATATTTAGCGGTAGTGTCAAAGTTTCATTTAATGAATAAGAAGACTTATATGCTAAACATGTTGCATAGTATTATAAGAATTCAAATATAATGCTGAAAATATTGAATTTCAGATTGCGGAGAAGTGAAAGTAATAAACAACGGAACAATTCTTTTAGATACCCCTGGTGTAACGACGTACGATGCTTCTGCCTCAGTATCATGCGATCCTGGCTTCGAAGCTAGTTTAGAATCAATTAAATGCCAGTCAAATGGTGAATGGCAGGATACCATTTGTACTCTCAAAGGTTGGAACCTTATTCATTTCTAATCTGAATCATCAAGTTATACAATATATATATTTATTGTCATTAACTACCGTGTTAGTAGATATTGAGATCGTATTATTGACTGACAAGTAATGCATACTTGCAGTTTTTGAGGAAAAGTAACTACTAGAGATAAAATGATGGCAAATGCGATACCTTTTTTTACATATTTTAAATTTATTTAAGTTCATAGTACATTTTTTCTGAATATAATGATTATATATTTTAGATTGCGGAGAACCAAATGCAATAGATAATGGTACTATAACTGTAGTGGACAAAACAACCTATCAATCTACTGCATCCGTTACATGTGACCCTGGCTTTGACAGATCTGTGGAATCTATTTCATGCCAACAAGATAGAAAATGGGAATATGTTTCATGTGATATTAAAGGTATTGAACTCGATTTAATGTTCTTGATTTGTTTGCAATTTGTGTAGGCGGGATTTTCTATGGTTTTTATTAAATAAGGACAGTTGTGCATTGTTCTTGTTTTGTTTGTTGATCTAATATATTGTCTGAAAAATGTAACATTTCATATTTAGTTCAATAATGCTTTGGTATATTAGTAAGTTATAAATATCGTTATCTAAAAAAAATTGTGTTTTTTTTCAACCAGATGATTTTTTTTCTCTTTTTTTTTTCAAATACAAACTTTTCCAAAGTATAGATGCATATCATTCCGCTTATGCAAATCCCAAGCATAACTAGCATCAATGTCAAACAGACTTAGATGGAAAGGATAGGGTACCAAATATACACTAAGAGAAACGTAAAACTATAAATAATTTTCACTTTCAGACTGCGGAATACCTAATACAATTTCGAATGGTACCATCACTGCTAATGAAACAACGTATAGTTCTTCAGCAATGGTTTCATGTGACGCTGGGTTTGATAAATCAAACGATGCTGTTACATGTCAGGCAAACGGTGAATGGGAAAGTGCTTCGTGTATAATTAAAGGTATGTTTAGAATGCACAATTATAATAATTGTATTGTGTATAACTCACTTATATAAATACTTTGGTACAGAAGATATTTCAGTTTCATTTCTTTAATTTTAAATATGTAAATAAATATAATATTTCCCTTACTTTTCCGTAGGATAAGATCTCTTTACATATGCTCCATTTAATTTGTAAAAAAGGATTTTAGACGATAAACTTAACTGATTTATTATGTGATCTAGTATCATATTCATTCAATTTTGCTGAGTTTGATATTCCCGATCTTAAATTAGAATGAGACTCATATTCAATGACCATACATCGTAGAATTTTAATTTCGAGCGCGCATAAAAATATAAGTGATACCTTTTGTTCTTTGTGACATATTTCTCGATTAAAATATCATTACTTAAATAAGATAGTTAAATGTTACACAGCAATGTGAGTATAAACTTTTGATAGTCGTTAAACGCTTGAAGTCATCTTGTTTATATGCATCTTTTTTTCCTCGATTCTTTAAAAGTAGGTTTGTTTTGTTTTTCCCTCTTAGGCTTTTCTATGTGATTTTTTGTCTTTCTAAATTCTTACCTAATTATATACTTAAACAGTAATTGACTAGAGAGTAATAGATTATGATGTGATATTCACCGGCAGAACATCATATTGGCATCGGCTATCGCCTTTGTCATTATGTCATTTTGCCGGTTAATATCACAATGTCATAACATTTTATGGCTCATTAGTCAGTAATTGTACAATATGGGACTGTAAATGTTTGTTTGTATATCATTTTTTAAAAGTTCTTTAAATGTTCCTAAAATACATTTCAGATTGCAGGCAGCCACGAACAATAGATAATGGAAACATCCAAGTTATCGGTAAAACTACGTATCTTTCTAAGGCAACCGTGTCATGTGACATTGGATATGACTTGACACCTGTTTCAGCGTCCATAATGTGTAAGGCAGACGGTGAATGGGAGGATACATCTTGCACGATAAAAGGTGTGCCATTATATGAATTTAAAATTAGTCCAATCATGGAGGAAAATATAAAAAAATGATAAATGACTGTTTTCATAAAATTCCATAATCTCAACCCTAACTTCACATCATTTGATGGGAAATAAAGATTAATAATTAAAGTTTTTCAGGTAAAATTTAAGAGTCAGGCTGTCCGTATGCTTAGGCTCCAGTAAGGTAATAGTTAAATTATGTTATCCAATTAAATGATTACTCAACAAGTATTGTTATGAAGTAAAACTCTGGGGTAAATAGATTTTTTTTTTTTTTCAAATTTAAAACCATTTTCAACTCATTTTCGTTCATGTACAACACTGATTGAATTTTTTTGTAAAAGGAATAAACTAAAGTTTAAGGTTTATAATTTAATTTGTATATGTAAGTATTTTTTTCTTCGTTTGTAAAGTATTGTATGTATCATTTGCGCAAGTATTTTGAAAAAAGCAATGTATAACTGCCTATGCGTTAGTAGGTAATACGGTACGTGGTAGTGCTTAGTGTTCTTAAAAATGACTGTCTGCACAATTTCGATTTTAGAATGACATTTGGTCAAACGCACTTTGATATAATGTGTGTCCTTATACAGTATATCTTAAGACTCGGTAGGAGATACGTTTATCACAAAATTCAACTTCAGATTGTGGAAGTTTGAGTACAATAGACTATGGCAAGATTACTCTAGATGTTTCTGGAAACACTACATACCTTTCAACAGCGTCAGTTACATGTAACGTGGGATATGTTGAGTCAGTTGCCACCATTTTATGTCAGGCAAACGGTCAATGGCAAGTCGCTTCTTGTAAAATCAAAGGTAAATGTATATTAACGTTGTAGAATTACATATATTATAATTATGAATACTTGAGATGTTTCATTTATATCATTTGTACTATGTTCAATATTATATGTTGATTTCAGATAGTGTTAGGTAAATACGATTTTTATTGAAGCCGTCGTAAAATTCATTAGAAATTCATTGAGACAGGAACTTTTCAAATACGCAGTTGGAAGTAAACATAATTCTTGCTTTTCAATGTATGCGGATGCAATTTATTCGAATGCCAAACATTATCATATATTATAAAGTAATTTCAGTAAACAGATGTAACATTTCAAAAAAGTAAAACGTAAACTCAAACGTCAAACGTGAAAATGTTAAATGAGTTTGTTGGAAAATGTAAGCTACCGTCCATGTTCCCGTAGCTCTTACTTAAGCATAATTCAACATTTAACATGAAATTGTAAAATACTGAATTTAGAGAAAGCCGCAAAAGTGTTTATTCGGCGGTCATCAAACTAAAGATAGTGCACATTTTTTACCTTTTATGATAGCCCCACATTTTACGAAGTATATTTTCATGTACTTTGGTGAATAAAAGATCTGTTCTAAAACACTCACTTACTTATATTTAGAAACAGTTACTATATGAACAAAGGCTCATACTCATACTAAAAATGTACATGTAATGGACCCTACTTACAATTGTTATAGGTGACAGTTATTAGCAGTGTCTAAACTGATATTAAACAATTTGCAAAATTATTTTGATTTAGATTGTAATACACCCAACACAATAAACAACGGAAGCATACAATTAGATGTGTCTGACTCGACAACATATGGTTCTACAGCAAGTGTTTCGTGTGATACTGGATTTGACAGATCAAGAGCATCCATATCTTGCCTTGCAAGTGGAGAATGGCAAAATGCAACATGTACTATAAGAGGTAAGAACACATAATGTATTTCATTGACATATTGTTGTGTATAACTCTGTTACACATTAGTCAAGATGTACTAGTAATAAGCCCCGCCTACTAACCTTATCTAAACACGCCACGCTCTGTATCAAATCAGTTAATAAATGATAATTCAGCAATATAGACTGTTACTGCTTTATAGAAAACACAATAACTATATTTTGCACGTAGATGTTAAATTAAATAACCATTTATGAGACTTTATTTGAAATGGGAAAACAAGTTCATTTATGTTTTTGCATGGTTGATTTTTTGTTAAGATATATTCAACAATTAATATGCTTACGGATAATGTGTGACTTCATAACCTCTGATCCCCTTTCAAAATTCCATTTTATTTAGTTCCGCCCATGGTTTCTCGTTTAGGGCACACGCTTTTTATTACTTGGGGACCATATGCCGCTTTTCATGGAATGGCATGGAAGTGTCACATTGAAGGTTCCATGATAACCGCCGTATGACTACATCTGCGGATGTTTCTAAATTCAAAATTTTACCATTTCATGTTTAAATGTTGAATTCTGCTTAAGCCAGTGCTAGGGGGCGTGGACGGTAACTTGCATTTTCCAATACCGTCCATGAACAGGCTCAATCAAACCGAGCCTGCAACATTTTCAATTTTGCCGTGTTGGGCTTTCTTTAGGGATTCTATTTTTATCTATTTTAAGTGATCCTGTAATATGTACTAATATTCGTGTAAAAAACGTGTCATTATTCTCTTTTTCATTTGAAGACTGTGGTGATCTTTATCAAATACGCAATGGTAGTATTAAACTGGATATTTCTGGTAAAAGTATTTACCTATCGAAAGCGTCTGTGACATGTGACCTTGGTTTTGATCCTTCAAATGAGTCCATATCCTGTCAGGCCGATGGTACATGGCAAAATGCAACATGTGTTATCAAAGGTACAAATGTTAACAATAATATACAATAAAAAAGTATTCAGAGTACATTTCTATATGACTTTCCAGCTTTAAATATGTAAGAACGTAACTGACCATAATAAGTAATGCTTATTGTATGAATTAGGCTAGTACAAACTGTTTGATATAAGATACATGATGTATAGTGTATAATGTTGAACCATTAAAACATAAAAATGCTTAACCACTTAAACATAATTTTATCATTTCCGTATGAATCATGTTTTAATTAATGCTTTTTCGTCATCTAAATGTCTACTCTTCTTTTACTATCCAACAACTTTGAGGGTAACACAGTCATGATATATAATTCATGTTTTTTTCTTAACACTGAAGATTGCGGTGCACCTGGACCAATAGACAACGGGAATATAACTGAAGCAGTTATAGGTGAAACAACGTTATTTTCAAAAGCAATAGTATCATGTGACACTGGATATAACAAAACTTCAAGTTCAGTTACATGTCAACCAGATGGATTGTGGTCAGAAGTGTTTTGTAATATTACAGGTAAAACGAGCGAGTTAATACATTATAATATTTTAGAGAAAAAGCAAAACATTGAATCTAATTGATAACGTTTTTTTGTGTGCGTGTGTCCATAAGCAAGTTTGCACACTGCTGCATGCAACGCATCATTTTACATTATATTTAAAGGGATTAAATATAATATGTTCTTTCTTGTTAGGATATGACTGTAGTACATTCAGTTATTCATGTACAATTTATTCTGAATTAAAATAACATATTCAAAATTCACAACTTGTTAAATAATACTACACTAACATATATCTTTTATTTAAGATTGTGGGGACACAGGGTCGATTTTAAATGGGAGCATAACCTTAGATGTGCCTGGCAAAACAATATATCAATCTACAGCATCTATATCATGTGAAACTGGTTTCAACCGGTCAACAGCAACAATTTCTTGTCAGTCAAATGGCGACTGGCAAGAAGCTTTTTGCATAATCAAAGGTGATAAACAAAAATTTCTTTTGTCAAAGTAAATTATTTTATTGTAGAGTCCATTGATGAAATTGTAATGTATGTGCTATATCATTTCGGTTTGCGGTAAATTTAATTAACACTCCTTATTGAAAACTGAAATAGTAAATGAGAACTAACTTTGAGTTTTTGATAATGAGTATATGATGCATTCGTTTGTTAGCTGATTTATTTACGATTGTTAAGCATCTTTTACGCATTTACGCAAAAGTTTTGCATTTTTTCCATGAAAATTAATAACACAATTCATTAGATGTACATTAATATATAACTTTTGTCCTTGAATAAATGTTATGATGAATGCATAGCTGACAATACTATAATTAATCTTACACAAGCACATGACGAGAGTGTGATTCTTGTCAAAGTAAATTTTGTATGAACAAAAATCATTGATTCATTTACAAGAATTGTTTTAACAATATATAGATTGTGGTGTCCCAAATAAAATAAACAACGGCTCCGTTACTGAAGATGTCGCCGGTAAAACATTTTATCTTTCCACTGCAAAAGTGTCATGTGACACGGGGTTTGACTCGTCAACAGATTCAATAATGTGTCAGGCAGACGGTACCTGGCAAGAAGCTTCTTGTAAAATTAGAGGTGTGTTCCCAACTGTATTAGTTTATCTTTAAATGGATAAGTAGTATACGGAAATCGTTTATAATAAAAAAAACAAGTTCAATTAATGTACAACATTACTGACTGATATATGATAGAAAATGTACAAAAATTAACTTGAAATAAAAGAAAATTTTAAAAAACGCATTTCACACGTTTGATACAGTAAGAGAAAATATATACACTAAAATGTAACAACAGATGTGCTGCCTGAATAAACATACCAGTTAGTTATATGTATTTGAATCACTTCGTATTAAATCCATTCATATATGTTTCCAATTAGACTGTGGGGAATTAAATACCACTATAGAACATGGGACAATTACTATCAACGAGGATGGAAAGACAACATTTCGTTCTACTGCATCAGTAACTTGTGATATTGGTTTCTATCCAACGATTGATACAATAAAATGTCAATCAGATGGCTCGTGGGAAATTGTTAACTGTGTCAAAACAGGTATTTGTCATTATTGTGATAAAATTTATACTTTTATTTATGGTCATATTAAATTAAAAATGCTGAATTTCAATTCCAAAATACCGAAATTGAAATACTAACAATAAACAAGGGGTGAGCGGTGACCAAGTGGTCAATGTGTCTGATTCTAAACCCTGGGACCATGAGTTCGAGCAAAATTCGGGTCACGGACATGTTTTTTCATAGGACACCAACAGTTAGTTCTAGACAGCTGACCCGACAGTGATTAGTATAAATTGCAATTAGTTGCAAAAATACTAGTTTCGAAACCGAGCTCAAGTAAATATGTTTCAGCTAAAAGTAAAGAACTTTGTCAGACTGCAAACTGACATGGTTCTATACTGGTGGTAATATTCAAGAGAAAGAGTGATCCCTCTTTCATTTTCGGTTCCAACAGCTTTAGTGTTAAAACAATTGGATAAGGAGTCCTGTAAATAATTCATCGTGCAACACTGTCTAAGGTTAGGAGAAAATAAAATCGTCTAAAGTTACATAATAACTAGGATTTGTTTATGAAACGTACAATGTATACCTACTAGGTAGATATACAAACGCATGTCGACATACAATGCATTTATTATCACTTGTTGGATTAAAGCTGAGAACGAACGTAGTATATGAAGTTGATTTGCATATTACATTTCTGTTTAAATTCATGAAAATGAATAAAGAATTTGATTCATGTATCACTAAATGTAACATGCTTTCTATAGATATTAAAGTATATTGTCATTTTTACAAGTATCCGTAATCGACCACCTTTTAAAAGTTAAATAATTTTATGATTCTTAAAATAGTATTTGTTAAAATATATCTTGTTGCTGATGCCTTTATATAGAGACAAAGATAACAAAGATAGGTAATTTCCTAGCCAGTTATGATATAAAGATGCTTGCTAAGCTAAAACCTATGGCAAGTAGAAATTACTAACTAGATATCAAATCATCCCCCATAATACGTTTCCTGAAAGCTTATACATTCATTCTTTACCTAAGATAAAAATATTTTTAGGTCCCATTTAAATAAATGATACATCTTTTTTTCTGAATGGAACTACTTAATTATTAACTTTTGTTACATTACTACGAATATGATGAAAAACTGGCTCAGTGGGTATTTTCTGCTACGATATTTTAGGTGAAAGGCATACTGGCATGCGAGCAGTTCCCGTACAAAAATCGTAGTTACTTAAACATTATTTTTTATTACGCGCACTCACCAAAATTTGAATGTTACACATCAATATTCGGCTCGTCACACAAATCATGGAAATTCCATCATGTTCAAAACATAGAATAACCCTTAGTTATGAGGCCTCATATGGGGTACCGAAATTATCAATTATTTTGTATGAAGAGAAGTAGTTCCCGTACATAAAATTTAATCCATTATAATTATACAATTTTATCATATCGGACCTATTTTTCATTTATAATTGTTGAACAGACCATTTACTAAGAGATAAATAGATGTTATTCAGGAAATAGAAAGTAGACTAAACGCGTGTATCTATTACCCGGTACCGTTACCCCCAACGCATTCACATGCAATTGCATGCTTGTATGCATGATATTTTACGCATCAAAGCCATACAATTACTTTATATAGTAATATTAGTCAAAATTTTGATAATTAAACAAGTTTTCATCACATTGCCTTCTTATCTGTAAACAGGTGGTATTAGTGGAAAACCCTTTAACATGCCTCACGTGTAAGTATGTTTGCGCATGCGCGCAAGGACGGAATTCCCCAGATAAAACAAGGTCACGTTTTGACAACGCACAGGTGAAAGTGATTTAAAATGAGACTTTTTATACGTACTGCCGAACTGAGGCTTAGATTTCGTCTCGTTTATGTATCTGCTTGATTCGAAATGAATTTTTGAAAAATGCATGTAAAAATCAAGCGTTTAAATGAAAAATACGGGTACTGCTTCTGTACGGGAACTGCTCGCATGCCAGTAGAAATAGTTTAACATGCAGCAATAGATCAAAGTTATAACTTTCATATGATGTATACAGTTAATATAAATGAATTAAATCTACTCCCATTAAGTTTTAATCGCTACAACATGCTTACTCTTTCACTTATGGATATGAGTGATATTTATATGGATTATAGAGGAGCTGCTTATCTCTTTAATCTTCAGCTCTGCTTTACATAAACATGGGTGCATTTGGAATTGACATTGCTTGAATTTTATTAATATAGAAAATGTCCTGTTATGGACTGAAAATTGTTATTCAACATTGTTTGTTCACACAATTTGCTGCAAATTTATTTCTTATTTGTTCTTAGATTGCGGAACACCACCGTCGATAGAAAATGGAAGAATTGTTCTTGAAAAGGAAGCCGGCACGGTATTTGTATCCAAAGCGAACGTAGAATGTGATATTGGCTTTACTCCGAAACCCTCCGTAATATCTTGCCAAGCAGATGGTTTATGGGAAAATTCATCCTGTGAAATTAATGGTATCCCTTTATTTCTAATTCATTAAAACAATAATGTGACGGAAAGTACGGAAAAATATCCATTAGAGCTATTATATAGAAAATATGTATATAGTTGGAATTTATGTTTCAAATTAGCACTAACTAATTATCGCCCACAAGTTTAATGATATGAAATTTATTTCAATAAGCTTTTTTGTAGATTGCGGGATGCCTAGTCAAATTGCAAATGGAAGTATTAAGTTGGATTCTTCTGGAGAAACAACATATCGTTCTACTGCAACAATAACTTGTGATACTGGTTTCGAAACATCCGATGATTCGATATCTTGCCAAGCTGACGGTTCATGGGAAGAAGAATCATGCAAAATAAAAGGTATTTCATTATGAAATTCCATTTCTTGTTTAAATATTATTTTGCTTTCTTAAAAAATAATGTATCCTTTTGTCTCCTTTTTGTTTTCTCAATTCACATGGTTTCTAGCTAAAACCAATAATTTACCCAACTCATTTACCATTATCTATACTGTCTTGGTGTATTATTTTATATACCGGTAGTTTAGCCTTAGTGTGTAGATGAATCGCACTTGGCACATGTGGCTGTGCCGATCTTAGAAAAAAAAACACTACAAATAATAATTCAAAATTTTGTAATGAAAAACGCATGTCATTACATAGTATATATCTTTAAAATTAAATAATGTTTACAATAAGCTAACTTATGGATTTCTTTTTTTTATGTCAACGATGAATATGAATTATTTATAACTAGTTTAATTTTATGTAATTTATACAGATTGCGGAGCTCCCAAGCTAATAAACAATGGTGAAGTTAATCTTGATATTCCTGAAAAATCGACCTATCTTTCCAAGGCCACAGTAACTTGTGACCACGGTTTTAATACATCAACCGACACTCTAATATGTCAAGCTAACGGTTTGTGGCAAGATACCGCTTGCATTATAATTGGTAACTTTTTACAGAAATTCATATTTTAATAGTAAATTAATCTTTGAATACTTGGCTGAAGGATTTATTAATTTTGTTTCACATTTGGATGTACTTTGAGTATAAAATCATGATTTTACAATGAATACTTTTCATATAGCAATTGTTACCTCCCCTGGCCGCCAATTTTGGAATCATCTCCAATATGTATCATATGCTTAACATAATTATAGCATCTTCATGAAAACTGATATTATATTATATTATATTATATATAATTATAAGGAATTTAGTTTTTAAATAAACACGTACTGATTACCGCCAAAAAGTATACACGAGGTTTATTTCAATAACCATTTTGTAGATTGCGGGATGCCTAGTAAAATTGCAAATGGAAGTATTAAGTTGGATTCTTCTGGAGAAACAACATATCGTTCTACTGCAACAATAACTTGTGATACTGGTTTCGAAACATCCGATGATTCGATATCTTGCCAAGCTGACGGTTCATGGGAAGAAGCATCATGTAAAATAAAAGGTATTTCATTATGAAATTCCATTTCTTGTTTAAATATTATTTTGCTTTCTTAAAAAATACGGTATCCTTTCCCACACAATAAATTAAAGTTTTCCTTTTCTTCACTCCTTTTTCTTCACTCAATTCACATGGTTTCCAGCTGAATTTAATAATTCACTAAAATAACTCTATATATATTTACAATAATCTTTACTGTCTTTGTGAATTATTTCATATAGTTTAGCCTAAGAGTGTAGATGACCCGCACGTAATACCTGTGGATCTGTCGATATAAAAAGAATCAACTGATAACAATTCAAAACGCAGTGCAACATTTTGTAATCAGATAGTATATGAAAACCATAAGACATTTATTTCTTTAACTAAATGTTTTAATTCAGAATGTGGAATTCCTGAACAAATACACAATGGTATCATTTTATTGGACAATCCAGCTGAAAGTCACTATCTTTCCATGGCAACAGTATCATGTAATACAGGATTCAAGGTGACCTCGGCTTCAATAACATGCCAAGCTAATGGTCAGTGGCAAGACGCGTCTTGTATGATTAAAGGTAACTAGCAATGAAAAGTAACGGGTATCACAAAAGTTTTGTTCCATTTTTTAAAGATACTTATAAGCTTATTTGGTAAGCTGATGCAAGTTATGTGTTTGAATTAGGCGTATCCGGCAACCTAATAGAAACTAATTGTTTGAACAAAGTAGATTGATTATAATTAAGACTACTACCGGGTAAAATAATTCTCCATACCGATTCCTTACAGAGTATATTCATTAAGTGATATGAACGCTAGTTTCGAATGTATACAGGTATAATTAATATATATGTACAGCGAAATACATTTAGACCAATCACAATAAGCTAAGCATTTATTTCGTTCCAAAATCGACGATGAATATGAATTATTTATAATAATTTGTAATTGTATGTAAATTAATATACAGATTGCGGAGCTCCCAACGTAATAAACAATGGTGAAGTTAAGCTTGATATTCCTGGAAAATCGACTTATCTTTCCAATGCCACAGTAACTTGTGACCCCGGTTTCAATACATCGACCGACAGTGTAATATGTCAAGCTAACGGTTTGTGGCAAGATACCGCTTGCATTATTATTGGTAACTATTTACTGAAACTCATGTTTAAAGAGTAATGCTTTATTTTTCTTTGAATAACTGGCTGGCGGATTTCTATTTCTATTGTTTTGTTTGTTATTTAGATATATTATGAGTATAAAATTGTAGCTTTGAAACATGTTTTGTAATACATACATAGATGCTTATTACCATCCCTGGCCGCCATTTTGGGAGTCATTCCCAATAATAATATTCTTAAGATACGATAAAAATCTCTCATTATAATGCTATCATCTTCATGAAAAATGACAAAGATTCTTTACATATTGGTGCTATAATAATATTTGGATACATATGTATAAAAGATTATGACAATTCATGTAAAGTAGCTTTTTTCATCTTAATGTCAATTATATTAATGTATAGAATATTGACCCTAAAACAAAGGCTGTCACTTTGGGCAAGGAAGTTAAATATTGCAGAAATGATATCCTTAAATTTTAAATATCCTTTCTCTGCAACTTTTGACAATTGGATTAAAATGTAACTGAGCATGATTATGTATTATTAATAGTATCCAAAATTGTTACGAATGCTAATAAAGAAAACATGACATTTTTGTAACATCTTATTGTTACAGTAGGTTTTTCTTATGAAACATTTATGTAAACGTGGTACCTATATTTTAGAGTGCGGGCTACCTGAAACATTGGCAAATGGAACAATATCTTTAAATGACCCAGGTAAATCATCCTACTCCTCTAATGCAACAGTAACATGTGACATAGGATTCGATGCATCTACAAATGAAATATCATGCGAAGCTAGTGGTAAATGGCAAGAAGCTATTTGCATAATCAAAGGTAACACGCATTGGAAAATGTTTCACTTTAAAAAACATAACGATTTAAATATAAGTAATATCAAATACAACACATTATAAATATAATCATCAAGAAATACTAAGAATAACGTTCTATGACCGTTACAATTGTCAAAAGTAGTATTTATATCAACATATATCGCTACTATAAATCAATTGTAAAACGCCTTTAAAGTTAACATTTGAAAACGCCTAAATGGTGGGTAAGAATTACTCATGTTGTGATTACAGTTGTAAGATTCAGATTCAGATTGGAGGTTCTTGAAGTGTCCATTATAAGCGCTATTTGAAATAATATGCCTATGTTTCTATACTCATCTATAAGTGTTAAATTCTGCTTAAGCAGGTGCTAGCGTTCATGAATATTAACTTGCATTCACAATACCTGTTCATGACTACACTACGCTCAATCAAACCGAGACTGCAACCTTTCCATATTTGTCACATTTGTGGTAATGTGCCTACCTCTTAAGAATTTCATTTTTTATCTAAATTATCAGACATTTGTTGAAGTAATAAAACTATATATTATGATATCATACATATTTTAATTACATGATAACTAAGGGAAAGTTAATTTGAGTGTCTAATTGATTTAGACTGTGGAAATCTGCCTGAACTTGAGAATGGCGACTTTGTGTTGAGTGATGAAAACAAAACGACTTATGGTTCGGGCGCGGTTGTTGAATGTCTCACGGGTTTTGTGCCATCTGCCGCGTCGATATCTTGCCAGTCGAATGGTAAATGGGAAGATGCCTCGTGTACAAAGGAAGGTAAAATGCTTTTAAATTGTTTATCACAAATGTATCCTCATATTCTTGTGGGTTGTTTTAAGAAATAACCTTAACAATGACAATCCCATTATGTATTGGAATTCTATAGTTTATCTGACAAAAACGAAAGTGACCAAACGTTTTTAGCAGGCTTAGAACCAAAGACGCACGTACATTTGTTGTAAATAAAAAAAGTTTATTTCAAACTGTTTCTTCTTTTTGCAGCCTTAAAAAAATATTTTGGTTATATCTGTACACTATAAATAAACATTTTTCACTTCTTAAAAGTATATATGCTATGATAAAATTGCACGTGGCAATGCCTACGTGCATAAACAGAACCTAATAGTAATACAAAATTGCTTTATGTTTGCTGAGTAATTAACTGAATATATCTTGGAGCTGATGTATCACAGTAACAAATGTATTTGACCGGGTAATATTCATGTTCATACTGAGTAATACATTATTGATGATAGTCTTAGACTGTGGATCTCTCCCAAATCTCGATAACGGAAAACTCACATTGACAACAGCTGGCAAGACGCAAAAAGGAGCAACCGCAAGGGTGTCGTGCAACAATGGATATACCAAAACAGATGATATAATTACTTGTTTAAACACTGGAAAATGGCAAAATACATCTTGTGACATAGTTGGTAAGATCAAAAAGTAACTTACGGATTTTGATTATCTTAAACTGTACATAAAAGGACGTTAAACAAGTACTTGATAATTGCAAGAAGGACAATCCCCTTTCAGTAGATAAAGATGATGAATTGTTACTGATCATTTATAAATATTTGACATTTTTTCAAACTTGTTATGTAAAATATAAGTAGATCTACACCGACCACTTTATGTAATATCTTTAATAAATGAAGCAAGTTCTCAAAAGCAATTTAATCATTTAGAGAAAATAAGAATTCCTAAAGAAAGTCCAACACTGCACAATTGAAGTTGTTGCAGGCTCGGTTTGATTGAGCCTGTCCATGGACGGTACTGTCAAGTGCAAACTGTCGTCTGATATGTTTCATATGCTGTTTATTGTAAATGATCTTGTTTGGAGAGAGAAAAATTCTAAGAAACGAGGAAGGAGAGATAACCTTGTAGCAATGAAAATTAAAGCAAATTATTGAAAATTTAAGACTCGGTGTAACGAGTATTCCATGAAAGATAGTAGAACATCCAAAATCTCTAATGCACCCTGGCACATGCTTAACCGATATGCTTACCTCTCAAAGCCACCAACAATTATCGAGCTACTAAGCTTAGATAAATATTGATCTTTGTAGACATAATGTATTGATTATTACAATTTCAGATTGCGGTAGCCCACCTAGTATTTTACATGGTATTGTTAAGGTTTTAGACGGATCATATAGAACATACGATTCCATTGCGCATGTGACATGCGATAAAGGATACCGAACAAAGAAACAGTTTGTGGCTTGTAAGGAGACAGGCATTTGGGAAGAAAGTTCTTGTGAACCTGAAGGTAGCTATTACAATTTTTCAACAACCCATTGTTAGCATTATTTTTTATAATTATAATACGGCGTGTCTGAAACATCGATTATCATTGGATGACATATTCTACATACACGGCTGCCCCAAATTTAACGGCGCGGAAAGTGCTAGGGTACAAAAGCCCCTAGCACAGAGATAGACGGCTTAAAAGACTGGCCCTTTACTGGCATAACGGCCCTTTTCAAAGCTTCTTCCTCATATTGTCTCAGTACATTTAGGTTCTCATTGGTCGCCGTACAATGACCTTGTAGCTCAAAGTTCATATCTTTGGCTAATACTCCCTCCATTGAAATTACATTGAGGTAGATTAACACCACTTTGAGCTTCAAAATTAAGCCTTTAAGGTCATAACTGGTGACATGTCTTGGGTCAGTCTTCGACAGCGACAGCTGCTGTTTGTGCCGGAAAAGGCGGATGGACCCTCATGAACCATAGATTTCATCTATACAAAGAACAATGCTTACATTTAAATAAAATGTCTGATAAAAAAATAATGTCACAACAAAACCTATGTGTTGCTCGTATCAAAATTAAACCATATCAAATATGAAATATACAACTTCATTGTTCAAATCATTTATGTTCAAATTCAAATGCTCATATTTTTGGGGCAACAATATGTTTAACAAATTAAAGTTACATTTTCTATTTACAAGAGATAAATGAGTGGATTTGATATCCTAAATAATTAGAAATATTACATGTTATTTATTTCTTTCATATTTGGTTTCCGTTTCAAGTCGTGGCTTTGATTGTTACAAATTAAAACACTTGTATATGTTTTACGAAACAAATATTTTTACAGATGACGACGAGGACACTTTTAAAATCATTGTAATAGCAGGTGGCGTTGTTTTGTTGATTGCTGTTATTTTACTTGCTTTAATAACGTATTTGAGCCGGACAAGGAAAAATTCTGCAAACTTGCATGACCAGGTAATTGGTACAATTTATCCATTCTGTGTTACCTGTTTTCATTATTTTAGACGTCTAGATGAATGCTAAGAGTTTATGAGATGTTATAATATTGTTACAGCTTCATTTTATGCGTACCTTTCATTATGATTATGATTAAGATTAGGGTTGTTGACAGGACTTTGTACATAATGTTAACTACATGTTCTTCCTGAATGAGCTAAGTACAAGTTAAACTAAAAAACAATTTAAGCCGCGTCATGACAAAACCAACATAATGGGTTTGCAACCAGCATGGATCCAGACCAGCCTGCGCATTCGCGCAGTCTGATCAGGATCCATGCTGTTCGCTTACAAACCCTATAACAAGTAGATAAACTGATAGCGAACAGCATGGATCCTGATCAAACTGCGCGAATTCGCAGGCTGGTCTTGATCCATGCTGGTCGCAAACGCATTATGTTGGTTTTATCATGACGCGGCTCAAATGATCAAGTACGTCTACTACGAGACAGCCGTAATACCATGGCAACCGAATAAAAACAATATTATATTTTAAGCATTGATTGAAAACATGTCTTATTTAATTAAGAATATATCATTTTAATAAAGGAAGATCGGAACTACATGCATCGAAGTTCTGCTTGCTGTTATGTATCATTACACGTAGTGTCGTGGGAGAAATAAGTTTACATATTACAGCTATCAATAACGTAAGATTATTCTCAACAACATATTTCAGAAAAGCCATAGACGACATTCTTATGATCATTTTGAAAGAAATGGACCATACCAAACGGCCGAAAATGATGCTTTTGAAGATGATGACATAGTAGATAATGAAATTATCAATACCGTAGAGAATGGTGCAGAACCTTATTCCGATCAGCAGCTCCCTGAATCGGGTCACATTATGATTCCGCAAGAAATAGATACATTAGAAAGGACCGTTTTCAGTCAGCATGAGCCTCACAGGTGGCATTCAGATATGAGTACTCATGCAGAAGGATCTAGCAATGGTTGGGATTTTAATTATAGATTCTAGAATGACGTAAACTGAACATTGTGAAATTCTGAGAATACGAGTATCAAAGGAAAGCTTTTTTGTATTGTGTTATTTAAAATTCTCTTTAATTTAACAAGGCACTAGATCCTTAAAGACTTTGACGTTTATTGATAAATTTATTTTAGACGTCGTAAATGATTAAATTGTTTAACTCCTATAACTACATCGAAAGGAAAATTCGACGACAGTGGTATAAAGGAAGATCGACTTCACCGCAATACTCTTTTTTGTCTTGCCTCTATTATTCTCAACAAGTTCGGATTCACAAGATAGAGATTATGCTATATTTTTTAATGTCCTGTTATAGTTTTAAAAAATACTCATATGTGAAATACCATAAACATCTTTTCTCCTCCCTTCATACAGTTAATATAATTGTGATTTAATATTTTGTCATGTTGTCTAAATACTACTTTCCGTTCATTTGCTACTTTTATGACAAATAGTTTTTTCATGCAGTTCTTCTTTTCCTCAGGTGATAAATTTCAAACATGCTCTTAAACCATTGTTTAAATGTTATAAAATTCATATTTGTCCTTTCAAAAAGGGCGTCAGACATTAAGCCTATGGAAAACTTATTGTACTTCCATCACTTTATTTTATGGCATGTTATTAGCATAGAAATATTTAAATATCTTATTGGTAGAATACACCATAATGTACGAGTAGCATAATTAATAACCATTTAACCATTCAGTGTGCTTAAACTATAGCATACAATCATATATTTTTTACCTTTTATGTAGCTATGAAGTATAAGACTATGACTATTAAAACAAAGTTTTGTTTTATGATCCTCCAGGTATTTGGCTCGTTTAGCACTCGTTTACCGCTAATTTGTTATCTTTTAGGAACAAGTATTTAAGCTTGCTCACGCAATTTGATTAAGAAGCTGAATTGAAAACTGATTCATTGATCCGAGCTGATGTACACTACATGTTCTTAACAATGGAATACGCTAAAACGAGATATGTGAGAAAAACAAAGCATGCTCGTATATACATTTGTTTCAATGGTCTTATCAAATTAACAATTATTCACTGTCATTATATGTTTCAGATGGCATTTACAGGGTAATAAGACTTAAAGATATACTTTGCTCAAATATTAGTAAATATTGATAATTGCTTCAATTTTCTTGTTAATATAAAACAACATGTTTTGACTCCTTTTGAAGTAGATATATTACTTGAAAAAAAAATGTACACAATGCTCGTATGTGGTCATCATATGCATATATAGTGCCTTTAAAAAAATGGTAGTTTTTGTAAGAAAGGACCAACTTTACCTGACCTGTCATAGGGACCGCAGCTTTCCATACATAGTTTATTAATTCATATATACAAATAAGACAGACTTGGTAAGAATTTTACAGATTATCTTTTTAAAGGACGATGATTAAAATGTTACTCAAGGATGAGCATAGTATATCTTACGGAAGCGCCCTGGTGCCAATTTAACATGTTCTATAAAAATGATAACTTCAAAGTAGGGGATAAAATGCTTAATTAGGAGTTAATGACCCTTATGTAGGACTTCTGAAGTCCTTATTTGGCTTTTGAATTTCCTACGTAGGAGTTACAAAGTCCTACGTAGGTTTTATATAGTCCTTTGCAAAAGTTATACACTCCTAATTAGACTTTTTTTATCTCCTACGTAGGAGTTACAAAATCCTACGTATGACTTTAAAGTCCTTCGTTAGAGTAATTAAGTTTCACGTAGAGCTTATAAAGTCCTACGTAGTAGTTTTGAAGTCATAATAGGTTGTTTTTTATCTCCTATGTAGGAGTTATAAGTCTCTATAGATCATGTTAAATTGGCACCGGGACGCTTCCGTAATATCGTAAAACTGTTGTCATATTTGTTACATATATTTCAAATCATATAAAATGTATACAATGTATGTGTTCGTACTTGGTATGTTCATTGTGTTTATGTGTTACAATAAGAAGTATTCAAAATATTCAATTGTATGTGTGTACCTCCTTTTGAATTCAAGGTGTTTAAAAGTTACATGTACATATGGGATTTATAAATACAAGAGAAAAGTGGAGAAAATGGTATTCGTTGATATTGATTATGATATTATGAATTTGTCATATTAAAAAATAAAGAAATGTAGAAATGTTCAGTTTTCTATATTAAGCTCTTCTTTTTTCAAATTAAATTTCTGTGATGTTTTAAAATTTATTTCTATGTATATGTATATGAACACGCTTTGTTCGTATTTGATTGTTGTTGTTTTTGATATGTTAAGTATAACGTTTTCCGTGCTAAATAATCTTAATTATTTGAACACGGATACACCTTTATGTACGATTAAAGTACGAAACTATCATAATTAATTGACAAGTTACTCATATTGTCATAAAAACCTTACTATCTTTAGCAGTTCCAAAGTCGTTCAGGTTATATGTTATTCACCTATTCCCTCCTATTTGAGAATATAATGATACTTTATTTGCTTTTATTAAATCCTGAGTGTTCCAATTCGAAAGGGGTGAAGAGTTTATTCGATTGCGGAAGTTAACCAGTATAGGACTACTGATCATGATAAATATAAACAAAAAAAATGATGATATATATAGATGTCAAACGAACGCTTTTTAGTGAGAAAGCTAAGGTTGCGAGTAAACTACTATAGTTATATTGTCATTAAACAAACATCAGCTTTCTGTAAAAGCAGCTTGCCTTTAGCAACATAGTTGCATAGAAAGTCCCGTCGTAGTATATTATTAAATATTTTGAAATATTTATGGTACTTTATGATGATACAAAAATTACTTGTTTCAACTTCACAACTTCACATATACACCCTAACTATGCTTCAACCTACAACTTTCTAACAAGAGCGCCGCTTGAGTTACCTCCAAGGCAGAGACATGCATAACCACATGTGCATAATTATTTTATGAAACTTTTGTTGAGATCTATATCGATGCATGCTTTTGTTTGTTTTTGTTTGTTTTGGGTTTTACGTCACATCGACACAGTATAGGTCATATCGCAACGTTTCAGCTTTACTGGTGGAGGAAGACCTCAGGTGCCCTTCCGTGCATTATTTCAGGCACGAACGGGCACCTGAGTAGAACCAGCGACGTTCCGTAAGCTAGCTGGATAGCTTCCTCACATGAAAGAATCGAAAGTCCCTGTCGGGATTCGAACCCACAGCGGTGAGGGGCAAGTTGTTTGAAGTCAACGACCTTAACCACTCGGCCACGGACGCCCCTCGATGCATGCCAAGATAATTAGACGACTAATGTATGCTTACGATAGACGTACATTTTATACTGACTAACAACCATATTGTTAGTTTTTAATTGAAAAATAAAATAAAACAGCTACAAAATATATATAACAAGAACTTAGAAGAATTAAAATTACCTATTAATATGTTTGTTTGTTGTCACACCGACACAGTATAGGTCATATACATTACCTAATACAAGTCTATATAAAGATGACAACCCTGGGGCAGTACCTACATTTAACCCCAAAGGATAAATGTAATTCAGTTTCGTAGAATTCGTATAAAAATGCTTCGTGCCAATTATCTTACCATTGACATTAATATTTTTGGCATATATATACACTTAGAGGCACTTATAAAACGACACTTACATTTTTTCTGTATAATTAGGTTATTTGTGGACAGATTTTAGGCTTTTTAAATTCACTTATTCAAAATGCTGTGGTAGTCATGCGACTTTAAACATTGATAATTATTTATAATATCTCAAATACAGAAACTTTATCTCTGCTCATCTATCCATGTAAAAACACATCAACAATAGGCCGTAAAATAACAGGTGTAGATTCGCAATAGATATCATGTCAAAAAAATTGAGCCGCGTCACGACAAAACCGACATTATGTTGGTTTTGTCGTGACGCGGCTCAAATGATTTCTTACCATATCAACCGCCCGTCATAACCGAGGAAACGGACCGCGGGAATGTCACAATGCATGTCCTGAAAGGTTTAGATTTGCCAAAAGGTGGTCATTTCATTTTGAATCCAGTTATTCACAGAATGATACTAAATTAAATGAGTATGCAGAAGTTGATTGTGTGATATTTACTATTTTGATACACCGGCTGCCAATAAGGCTTTTATATCAATCATGGAGAAAGATAGGTGTCAAGGGATCGTATTTTTCCGGCTTGGAACTCTGAAAAAGTTTGGCAAATCGATCTGGTACCTTACAGATTGAGGTTGGTAGACATACAAAAGCACCCTTTTCCATTTTTCCACAGACGAACTTTGAATGAAACTTTAGCCAAATTATTGCGATTTCCTTCAATGTTTCGTCGGTTAATGTAAATTAATGCAAACATCCAAAAGTAATACAATATCAGATGGCCGTGAAGTACGCGGGATAACGGGCTAGCAGTCTAGCGGGCTAACAGTGTGAACTGAGCGGGATTGCAGTCTAGCGGCCTAACAGTGTTAACTGGGCAAGCTAGCAGTCTAGCGGGCTAGCATTGTGAACTGGGCGGGCTGGCGGGACAGCTGGCCTAACTGTAAAACTTAACTGATTCAACATGAAAACGTTATGATACATTTCCTAGCAGTGTGAAGTGGGCGGGCTAACAGTGTAGCGGTCTAGCAGTGTGAACTGGGCGAGCTGGCGAGCGGTCTAAACTTTAATACTTAATTGAATCGACATTTAAACCTCATGATACATTTCCTAGCAGTGTGAACTGGGTGGACTGACAGTGTAGCGGGCTAGCAGTCTTGCGGGCCAGCGGGATAAACTCTAAAACTTAATTGAATCAACGTGAAAACGTCATTAAACATTTCCAAGCAGTGTTAAGTGGGCGGGCTAACAGTGTAGCGGTCTAGAAGTGTGAACTTTGCGGGCTGGCTGTCCAGCGGGATAAACTTTAATACTTAATTGAATAAACATGAAAACGTTATGATACATTTCCTAGCCCTCTAGACTGCTAGCCCGCCCAGTTCACACTGTTATCCCGCTAGACTGCTAGCCCGCCCAGTTCACACTGTTAGCCCGCTAGACTGCTAGCCCGTTGCCCCGTGTACTTCACGGCCATCAATATCAGCTGTATAATTTTGAGTTATGATAAGGACGATTTATTTTCATTTACCAAACACGTGATATATGACTGCATTATATATTTAAAGCTCATTATTTACCAAAAATTATTTTGATGCCCCCACAAAGTGGGAGAATATAGCGTTGCACTTGTCCGTCCGTCCGTACGTCTGTCTGTCCGTACGTCCTAAAAGACTCGGCTGCTTTGAAGCCGAATAAACAACTCCATTCTTAAGGAATTTATCCAAACCTTCACGAAATGAAAGTCATCAAGTGCCCTGATACCATTCAAGGTTTTGGAATTTGGTTGGTTTGGGCAGAATTGTAGAAAGTTGCCGAAAAGCTGGTTTTGCTACTATTTCATGTCACTTGCTGAATTATGTCACATTGATATGGAATTCTTAAGGAAAAAACTTTGTTTCTTACTACATTGTATATTTTACATCGTGTTTGCACAAAAAGCAAAATAAAACAAACGATATATTTATACATGTATAAATTTTATTAGAAAAAGATAAACAAAGACAGAACTTATATGTAAATGTATCACATTCAAATTGCGTATTTTAACACTTGAGCATCGCTTAGAACAAAGCAGAATATACTATATTTGTATTATTCATGCAATTACTCACAAATATTAACTTTTATTTAAGGCACATTATGTCTCAGAAATCCACAAACGTTTATTCACTATAATTATACCAACTTCTCATATATATAAAACAACAAAGCAAATTTATTTCATCTATATGACAAATGAGTAATGTTTTGGAAACTGTAAAGAAATATAAAAAATAAAGTTTTTTTAGAAATAAAAACAGTGGCATATCTGAGGCATAATTGGCCTTTTAGTTCTAAACCTTCTGCATTTGTGTAATGGACTTGCTCTGACTTAAAAGCAGAACCGCCCATTCAAAATTCAAGCGGTTCTTGTATCAAAATACAAAAATTTAAGCAACCCACAGTTTAGAGCGTGACAAATTCCTCACAGTGATTACCTCCCTTAGCAGATTGTGCTGATAGGGGAGATCACTGCGTAGGAGATTGACTGCGTAGGAGATGTACCGGATGGTCTGGGTTCAAACTGGCGGTAAAGGCTATAAAACATTATGTTCCGGCAGGTGAATGGTTATAAGCGTTAATAGTCTAACAAATGAAATTAACAAAATAGTTTGAAAAACATGATTAAACACACAATGTACAAGTAATTCAAGCACCTATTATTTAAAAGGTTCTTTTTTCCACTGTTTCATTCAAACTAACGGATAGTCTTTGGTAAGAATTCATCTAATTTATAGTTGTAATCAAATCAGTATGAAAAGTAAAATTCTATGGCACACAAAACAACTAGCTTGCAGTTTTATATTCATGTAAAGTCTGAGTTTTTTAATTCATAAAAAAACGTTGTTGTGTTTTATGAAACATACAATTCGATGATTATTAGCACACAGAACAAACGGGTGAAAATATTTCTGGTTCCTAGCGTATGTTGGGAAATATGGAACTACAGAAACCGGTAGTTACTGGTTCCCAGATTTAGCTATCAGCTATAATCACTAGGATCGCCATCGCGGAACCAAACAAGAATCCACCGAGGAGCAACATCAAGGCAAACGGAAGGACCTGAAATGAATAATATTCAACATTAATTTGTCATTAAAATGAATACGCATATTAAGGCTACAAATTGATTTCCAATGTCGCCAAACATGATATGATTTTTCTAAAATAACTTGCAAATAAGATAATTTGCAACTTTAATTCCTAGTGGTCTTACATGCATTAGCCTTAAATTTATACATCAATCTTATTTCGTTTGATAACTAGATTTGTGTGAAATTAGGTAAGTATAAAAATTTTCATTGTATCTATGTGTTATGAAAGGGACACAGTTAATGCTGCTTTATTTCTTTTTTTCAAATTTATTCTTTCATCTAGCGGCTTTCCATAGCAACACAATATATTTGCGCATAATAATAATAATAATAATAATAATAATAATAATAATAATAATAATAATAATAATAATAATTAAATAATAATAATAATAATAATAATAAAAATAATAATAATAATAATAATTAATCTTGTGAAGGTATGACACTAACACGTGAGAATCATATTTTCATACAAAGTGACCTCGTATAAACTTTGTATACAAATGCAGTTGATGGAATATATCAATTAGTATAGTATGTTTAGCATATACCTTAAGCAATGCTGAGGCAAATTTAAAGTCTGACGCTTTGAATTTAAGAAGCAAAACAGTTTTTTTACCATAATAAAAACTTACAGAGGGTTTTGGAGGTTCTGACACGTCCTTGACCTCTTTCATCTCGATATCTTCAGGAAGTACTCCATTTTTGTTTTCTATTTGCTCTGTTAATAAATGTGTGGAAAAAAATACAAAGATTATAAATGTTTTTTGAAAATCATTTTCTGTTAAACCCATTACCTATAGACGTGCTTTCACCTATTCAACTCCCCCCTCCTAAGTTTGAGGCCTAAAGTAGTAAAAATATGCGTTATGTAGGCCCAAAACACTTGCTTTGGCAATTTTGATATGTCCACTCGTTGCAATTGTAACAGGAAATTTCAGATTGAGCATGCCTTTACAAAGGCTATGGTCTAGCCAATATGTGTGCCATGCAAGCTTAAACTGTATTAAAAATAATATGGTTTCATAGCAATTTGAACTTGTAACAGGAGCCTATATAATTAAAACAACCATTTTTCACACAATGCTCATGCAGTACTGGGTTTAAATGCATTATCATTGAGAAAAAAAATCATCATTTAACAAAATAAATTATGTAATCACTTATACAAAAAATTGAGAAAGCACTAAGAAATAATATTTACTTTTTTGCTTCATATAAGATTTCCATTTGGTGATCTCGAGGACTACACAGATGATAGCGATGACAATCAGGTGTGTAATGGTCACATAGAGAGCTTCGTTTGGCATCATAGAACGTTCCAGTACGTATCCAAGGAAAACAGTCACAACTAAAACAGAAGTGAAAAAAATGTCAATTTGTTAACCGTTTTTTGTGGGTTTTTTTTCAAATTTAAGTATATGATAAAACATGATAAACGATATCAATCAGGAAATGCAGAGTTAAACGAACGCAAAGCCCCACACGACAAAGCAACAAGAATCAGCGACAGGAAGCCAATGCAGGAGGACCCCAAACAAACGCAGTACAGGGCGCAAGGCAAATGATAATAGGGACCTGTGTATTACTAGATACAGTGACTTCGGAAACAATATATATTTCATTTAAATATGACAAAAATAAATAAAAATAAAATTCATACACCGAACATTGTACATGTTTGCACTAAATATCAATCTATATAGAAAAATATCTTTTTACATGTATATGGTGTTCTGTATTAAATCATGTTGGATGCAAATGTCAAATTTGTAAATGGGTCGATTGAATCAGCAATCGTGCCTGAAAAAGCACCCAGAGTACATGCCCAAATCGGGATTCAAACCCAGGAGCTCGGTTTCTTATATTTAGAAACCATATTAAGCTAACTTTTATATTCTTAGCTTCACAGCTGTCGTCAACTTTTTCCAATGTATTAGGAACAAATTATATTTGATTGCTAAATCATTGAACTTTAAAAAATATTTTTTGATCTTTATGGTCTAGGCTAATTGCTTAAACAAACTCTTTCACAAAAATATACTTTTGCTTCTTCAAATTGATACTTAAATATTTTTTTTAAATTACTTATAGTCATAGTTACATTTGTATGAGATTAATATGAAACTAATTTCTCTGTAATCTTACCGGCTAACACCTGTGCAATGACACCGACACCCAAATGTGCCCAGTTGAAGATCCACCTGAATTTGTGGTCACCATCAGGTCGAAACAGAGCCATAATGGGCTAAAATATAATATAAAAACATCTCTTTATACGTCCTCTTGAGTCATAGTTTTGCATTTAATTGTGTTTTTTTAATTAACTTTACAATTGTAAATATTCTTCCACCCTTAACCTGCAGATTTTTAATACAGTAAGAAACACGCTTTGCGACCACCCCGATTTCGAAACCAACTCACTAATAAGAACGATTAATTTTCAGACCCGGTTTTTTGCTTCTCTATTTCAATGGTCGCCAGCACCGATATCTAGACCATCCCGTTATTCCGTCACACTACAGGTTATCAGTCCCGTTTGGTAAATCGTGTACATTTGTTAAGTGCATATTTGAATGTGCCCTGATTTCAATTTGGAAAGTCCATTTAAGTTTAAGTGATATTTATATCAAAATAAAAAAGAACAACATAGGGCTACAAGTATTGCGCATGCTCAGATTTCACGGATGTGTAGACTGACCTGGCTCTGCTCAGGTGACAAGTAGTAATCATTTACAATAACAACGAGGTAAGGGTTAATATGCTCATATAATTGAGACACTGTTGTCCAAATTGAACGGAAAATATAAAAAAATGATTTCATGTTAAGTTATTTGAAAACAATTTGCTTAATCTAGCGTTACCAGAATTATTTTACTTAACCACCGTGAAAGTCCGTAACGCAGGAATGTGAATATAACTTAGGAGTTGCACAAAACATGCCACGTAAAATTGTGCAAATGAATAACACGCGCGGCAAGGTTAGAATACGTACCAATATATCTTATTGTTAATCAATTTAATAAAAAAAATTCATACATATACTCGTATACAAGGTAATAGGGCAATAAGTTAACAACTTACATTTAGGAAACACAAGACCGTCACCAGAATTCCTAAAACAGGATGGGCCGAACCGGATTCTATGATCTGAAAATAATACAGGACTTTAAAGTCAAACTTTGGGTGAAGAAAATGCACATGTATACAGTTGAACTTTTTATTAAGACAACATTCGATGAAATGTCATAATACATTTAGTAAATCTTGTAGTCTCTAAGTGGTGAAATAAGTGCCCTATTTGGTCTCAACCCGGTACGGAATTAGACCCAGCCCGTTGTAGTCTAGAAAGTAGTTCTTTAAAATTTTGAAGTGGCCCAATTTAAGTCATCTCTAGTTAGATTGGTCATAATTAAAGTGTATTTATTGCATGTGTGTAGTTTTTGTGTGTTATATGATGAGTTTAAAAGTTGTTTTTTGTGTATTCTCCAGGAACTCATTTGTTGGCGGAATGATTAAAGATGTACCAACCACCAGCAGTCAGGAGTTTTTAAAGTGGTGAATTTAAACTGTGTTACAACAGAATGAAGATTTCTGAAAAAAGGAGATGGCTAACCTATTATATTTTGGGCCTCATTTGACTTAGATCATAGTGTTGATGTTTAAAGTTGAAGACAGTATATAATTCATCAAGAACAGTGGAATCCAGAATTAAGCCTTTAATGTGACTGATTTACTATAGAACAAAGAATACGAAAATTCACCAGGACGACACCATTTACTATACTTTAGTTGGTGCGAGAACCGGCCTACTTTTAATGGATCTTCTGTTAACTAGTCCACATCTTGGAACCATTTCAAAAAAATCTTGAATAATCAGCTTTTTACAAAGTGTGTTTAATTCAAAGGTGACGTAGGTCATTAGTTTAACTGTTCGAAATGTTTTACTTTTTCAGCGGAAAGTTTCTCTTTTTAACTGAATATTGCATAATCTGTTGATATAAGCACACGGTTTAGTTTCATAACACATTTGATTTAATGTTTTTGTCTCCATATCATATTAACAAAACAGCAGACGTTAACCAAAAGAATTTATATACGAACCTGACTGTAGCCTTGGACTTCAACAAAAATAGGTATGAAACCTATTACTACAAACAACACAGCTAGCACCATTGCTCCACGATGAACCTGAAATACGCATGTTCAAAATTAATGACGTCGTTAGTATATCGTTAAGTTCAAAGGTTTATAAAATATAAAAAAGTAGAAACTATAACAATATTAACATTTTAATTAATTTCTAGTCGGTTTAGGTGTGTAGACGTCTAGTACCAATCATCATTATACTTGTTTTTTTATTTATTTATATTTTTTATTTGCTGTTGCTGTTTTTGTGTGTTTTTTGGCCGCACATAACGTTTGGTTATAACATTTTGTCCACGGTTAGTTACGTACCTGGAACCAGACTTTGGTACCTAACAACTTCTCCCCTGGTAACATATCTTTATTGTATCTAGCCGTGACAATGCCTATAACTACCAGCAACATCCAAGCTAGAACCATCATTATACCTGTAATAGAATTGAAAAATAAATCACATAAAAAGTGTCCAATGTCTTTATTCCAGTAGCAGAACGTGTTTTATATCATGGCGGGTTGGTAACTCATTCATTCCCTGATAAGGGGAGGTCACAGAGAGGTATCATTTTTCGCGCGCTTTTTTAAAGTTTAGTATTCCTAACTGCCCTTACAGGTCCTTAACTTATTCTATTCATATTGACCTAATTATTGAGTAATATAAATAGATGAAGAACCTACAGACGGAAATTGTAACAGAATAACCTTAATTAGATTGGAACATAATTCGGTTCGAACTAGCAAGGGAGGTAACAAGTTCATTATATGACGAAATTTAAAGGGAGGTAATCATAACTACTCACCATGTAGCTTCACCGCAGGACTGTTGAGTTTGTAAAGGTCGTAGATTTTGTGAGTATTGAAATCTACCTTGCCGTCACTACTCCATGGAATCTTAGCATGTTCCTCTAATTTATACGTCCCTGTTTCGATGGTAGTATGGAAAAAAAATATGCTTATTAGTTTGTTTTTTTAAATGTAACTTGTAAGTTGATAACAATAATGAATTTGTCTTTTTTTCAAATGCAAAAGAAAAAAAAATGTTCGTTTCAATTTTTGTCAGAAGTGTTAAATGGATTTAATTATACAGACATACCGCATGAGCATAGCCGAAGTCTAAACCATATTTTCTTAACCAGAAAACAGTTTGAAAAGACGTTCATGCGGTCCATTACATACGTTTTATGTTTTAAAGAGCATTTACACAAAACCTATTTTTCAGTCATTCATACAAGTTGATTAAAAAAAAGAGATAATCGAATAATAAAAATTCATAAAATTCAAATATATACAAGATAGATACTAGATACTAAAACACCGTTATATTGAACAAGGAACACTGTCTAGCAATATGTGTCCTTTTGAGGTAGGCATAAAAAGACGCCATTTTTCAACGCGAAAGTCATTCCTTCCGTCTTTGCTGCTATTTGGCTTTGCAAAACAGTATCTGTTCAGAACAATGATACGTCAAAACAATATTTAATGACCAACATGGACGATTATCGTTAGACGCGGCTGTATTATTGAAATATACCTTCGTCCTCCTCCGCCTCTCCAACGACAAGCATAAGAATATAATCATTGTTTAGATCAAAGTATTTGTCGTCTGATGATTCTGACAGCGTTCTCGTGAATGTGCACGTGATCACGCCGTTCGTCTGCGATACTGATGTGGCGCTCAGGCCTAAAGCTGACTGTAATTGAAAATGCAAATTATGAGAAAAATTATTTTAATTAGATAGCTATTAGCAACATAATAACAAAAGGTTAAGCCCCTGGAAGAAAAATGTGCACATTCTTATCAATTTAATAGTTACTTTAATTTCTTATCAAAACAATTGATTATTAGTTTTATCTTTAAAAAAATCGCACGTAACAATTTTTGAGTATTTATAATTGCTAAAGTCTGGATGTGAATACGGTTTTGTCACGGCAATGTTCAATCTTTATTGATGGCTTACATTAGAAAGTTCGTCTGTCTCTGTGCCCTCGTTATAGTAGCTCTTTACAGTGGTTCCTGGTACAATACATCCCACGACACTGTCCTCACCCTAAAATAACATGAAACTTCAGATACTGATATATTCATCAACGAAACAAATGTCTACTTTATTCATTAACAGTTACATGAAGAAAGAACGTGTGGGAACATTTTCAACATGAAACAGCAAAAGTGGTATCAAAATGAGCAGGGGTGGGGGGGGGTCTTTTTTTTCTTTTTTGTTGTTGTTGTTGTTGTTGTTGTTGTTGTTGTTTCTTTGTAGTGTTTTTATTTCCCTTTTGATCCTACGCAGATCTATATGAAAATCAAAGCTCAAAAGATGTCCTATGTAAATAAAAAATAAATAAATAAATAAATAAATAAATAAATAAATAAATAAATAAATAAATAAATAAAAAAATAAATAAATAAAAAATCCCTTAAGAGTGTAAGCGATATTGAAACATTGTTCTTAAAAGTATAAACATGCAGTAAGTTTAATGACAAAAATAAATCCCGTAGAATGGTGTCATAAATAAGCATTATAAAACTTAGACTCTTTAAATACCAGTATAGATTCGACTTGTAAAATATAAGTTGAGCCGTGTCATGACAAAACCAACATAATGGGTTGCGACCAGCATTGATCCAGACCAGCATGCGCATCCGCGCAGTCTGATCAGGATCCATGCTGTTCGCTTACAAACCCTATTACAAGTAAAAAAATTGTAATAGGGTTTGTAAGCGAACAGCATGGATCCTGATCAGACTGTGCGGATGCGCAGGCTGGTCGGGATCAATGCTGTCGAAAACCCATTATGTTGGTTTTGTCATGACACGGCTCAGTTTATTAGGACTTACAACTCTATTAAGAGAATATACATGTGTATATAAATGTACGTTATAGAAAAAACATTTAAGCCTTTGTCAGAGTATCATATTCAACTTAAATATTAATTGATTGTTTGAATAGCCTATACAATTCAAAATCACGAAACGTTATTCAATGATCTATTTTGGTATACATTTATTTGTATTTACAGTTTAAAAAATTCTTGTAAGATGCCTTTTATGCACATGGATCCTGTAATAAATATAATAAAAAAAGTTAATTTTCTCACGTTGAGTTAGAAAAGGTTAACCTAATTTTTAACATATTCCTTGAATAAGGCAAGCCAGCCATTCACTTAAATTACCAATTATACATTCGTATGCGAATTGCAAGATTATAGAATCGATGTTTAGATTAAATCAATACGTTTATACTTGAGTACCTGTCTCCGTGTTATTGAGAAGTTTTTTTCCGATACTGTTATGACAATGTTCCACTTCTTTTACCAATATTTGACGCCCGTCATGAAATCCGTACATTTTCATAATTTTTATGAAAGGCCTAATTTCATGTATGAGGTCAGCTCATTTTTTCCTTCATATTTTTTTTTTAGATCTTCTTTGTTTTGTTGGGTTTTTGTCCTTTTAAACTTTATTTCCCGTATAAAGTTTATTTAGAAATGGCATTCATCCCCCTTTTAAAAAGCGCGGTTTAGGGAAATTATAAATGACTCCCTAATTTAGCCACTAAAGAAAATTAGGTTTAAAGAAAATTTTGCCAAATTTTTGGAAACATTTTTTTTCCCAAGTCTTTCAAAACCAACTTGAAATTGGTTTATTTAATTCTCAAAATTCTCAAACAACAGAGCTATATTTTAAGTTTCTGCTCTTAAACACCTAGAATGCGCTGCAAAGTTATGGAACCTATGGTAAGCCTTGTCGGTTGTAGGGTTGTCTGACACTATTATTGTACGCTCAAGGTCTTTTGGAAGGAAAATAAGCGAATTTATTTACTATATGATAATCTTTGGAAAGACATTTCATTGACTATATGATAATCTTTGGAAAGAAATATCATTTACTATATGATAATCTTTGGAAAGAAATATCATTTACTATATGATAATCTTTGGAAAGAAATATCATTTACTATAAGATAATCTTTGGAAAGAAATATCATTTACTATATGATAATCTTTGGAAAGAAATATCATTTACTATATGATAATCTTTGGAAAGAAATATCATTTACTATATGATAATCTTTGGAAAGAAATTTCATTGACTATATGATAATCTTTGAAAAGAAATATCATTTACTATAAGATCATCTTTGGAAAGGGATTTCATTTACTATGTGATACTCTGTGGAAAGAAATATTATTTACTAAATATTATTCTTTGGAAAGAAATATCATTTACTACATGATAATATTAACTATATTATAATCTTTGGAAAGAAATATCATTTACTATATGATAATTGTTGGAAAGAAATATTATTTACTATATGATAATCTAATCTTTGGTAAGAAATATCATTTACTATATGATAATCTTTGGAAAGGAATTTCATTTACTTTATGATAATTTTTTTGGGAAAAAATTTAATATCATTTATTTTGATAATTTTTTTGGAAGGTTTTTTTTTACTATATTTTTAATTTTTTTTGGAAAAAAAAAAATCTTTTTACTAATGATAATTTTTTTTGAAAAAAAATTTCATTTACAATGTTTAATTTTTTTGGGAAAAAAAAAATTAAACAAATACCCCTGTATCTGATAATCTTTGAAAGAAATCCCTTTTCCCAACACGATAATCTTTTTGGGAAAAAAATTTAACATTTTACCTTTAACAAATAATCATGGATATATTTTTAAACATTTACCATAGGGGGATATTTTTAGAGAAAAAATTTAGCGAGAAAAAACATTAGAAATCGGGTCTTTCGGGTTTTTTAGGGGTGAACGAAAGTGGAAGAACCCGAGGAAACCCCACTTTGACTAAAATTTTCGCAATTTGGTGCAGGGGGGGGAAAAAACTTTCCTTTTTTTACCCCGCAACCCGAACCCCGGGTTTTTAAATTTGCCCCTGAAATCCCCTAAAAAAATTAAAAAATTAAAATAATGCATTTTTTTACTGAAAAAACATGAAAAAAGAAAAACCCAGTTTAACCTACGGGTTGAGATTTTAAAACCTTTTTTGGGAAAATTTGGCTTTTTTTCCCTAAAATTGATCAAAATAAACCAGAAAGAAATTTTTAAATTTAAAAAACCATTTTTTTTTCTTTTAGTTCAGTGCGATTTTTCAAAAAGGTGCTTTCAAAAACAAGTTTTATAATACAAGTAAACAACTGTACAAACAAAAAATATTTGCGTTCGGGATAATCATCGTTATATTGCCTTTGCCTTAAAGCTGTATTTACATTTGATTAATTTTATATTTAAATGAACATCGTGATTTCCATTATCAGTTACAAATCTTTAAATAGAAATATCTACACACATTTAATAAGTCCCGTGTGTATTTTGAAAGTATTTCATTAACAAAAATTTTATAAAATTTTTGGGTTTTAACCATTTTTCCTTTTTAATAAAAAAAAAGCGTTTTTTTGAGATTTTCAAGATGATTATGGGGTGTTTTTTTAGCCCTTTAAAAATCAAAAAGGGAAAAAAACGAATTTTATTTTTTATTTGGGTGAAAAAAGGTTTTCGTTACACATGGGTTTAAACCCCTAAATAAAGATTAAAAAACAAATAAACAAAAAATTTTTTATTTGCCCCAGGGATTTAAATAAAGATGATTTGTTGTTGTTTTTAATGACGAAAAAAGATGGGTCATTTTTTTGAAAAAAAACGTTTATAACGTGATGATGATGGGTGGGTGATTTATGGTGGTTGGGTGGTGGTTGGTGGTGATGATATGATTTTGGGGGTAGTGTTTTTGTTTTTTATTTATGACGCTTGGGGTTGTTGTTTTTTGTTGTTTTTGAATTGTTTTTTGTTGTTGATGCCTTTTTTTTGGGATGATGATAATGATGATGATGTTTTTTGTTGATTTATGAAAGATAATTTATGAGGGGGATGAGGTTTTTGACGAACCCACGGAACCCAGATTTTATGATGATGATATTTTTTGGTTGAAATGATTTATATTATGATTATGATATGATGATTATTTAATTTTTTGATGATGACGACGACGATGACGACGACGACGACGACGACGACGACGACGATGATGATGATGATGATGATAAAGATGATGACGATGATGAGAGGAGGAGGATTACATCTTTGACAACAATGATAGTGATGATGAACCATAATGGTTGCTGTTAAAGCTGTTATTAATTCTACCAATGTCGTCATTGTCATAATAATATAGACCGTTGTTATCATTTTACCAATACTATCATTGTTATTATCATCGTAATATAATACAGGCATCACCATTATAATATATTATCATTGTTATCATTAGTATCATCATAATATAAAAATTATAATAATAATTATTAGTATCATCATAATATAAAAATTATCATAATAATTATCAGTACCATTATTATATAATAATTATCATAATAATTATTAGTATTATCACAGTATATTAATTATCATAATAAGTATCGGTATCATCATAATATAATGTATGATAATTATAATAATAATCAGTATCATCAAAATAAATGATAAATATCATGATAATTATCAGTTTTATTAATGTATATGATAAATATAATTTGTAATTATCAGTACTTAACATCATAATATACTATAGTTGTTTTTCATGATGGTTGTAAATATATATATATTACTTAAAATATGATTTTAATTAAAATTTATAGGAAAAAAAAAAAAAATGATTTTTAATTTTGTACACAGAAACCCCCAAAGTTACATAGGGAAACCCAACAGAAAAAAATTTCCCAATTTTTTTTAAAAAAAAACCCCTTCGATTACACTGGGGCCCACAATGAAAAAAACGAGCGTAAACGGAAAAGGGGCTAAAAACGATTTCCAAAATTTATAGCTTTTTTTTGCTAACGTTTTAAAAATTTACGGCCAAAGGGGGAAAAGTTTAACTTAGTCATTTATGCATATGCGATTGCCCAATTTTAAATCACGATTTTTGGGGGTCAAAAAAGCAAACCCAAATATTTGGTCCCCATGATCCAGGGGCGAATTTAAATATTTTTTTTTTTGCTTTATTGAATTTTTTTAATTTTTTGATTCATTTAAAAGGGGGGTCACGATTT